CCCGGGTTGCGATTGTAACGCGCGCCGTACCTAGCCAACCTCGGGCCGCCTCGGAGGTGCTTAAACATTAGGCACTGGTTGTGGCTGGCAGCTTTGGGTTTCATCTAGCGCAAGATTATCACCCAGTATCGCTCGCAACCAAACCCCCTGACTTTCGACATCCTCCTTTTCCCCGCAATCATGATGGGAGAAAGGAAAGGAAAGGAAAGGAAAGGGGGGGGGGGGGGTTGGTGGAGGGGGGAGGCCTGATGCCGGCCCGTCGTCTTTGGCTGCCTCTCCCTGTTTGCTGTTGTCGTCCAGCCTCTCAAAGCTCCTTTCCTTCTCTCCGTGTCAGTCACGGGCCACGGGTAGAAGCTGTCTCGTGAGGCGACCTGCTTTTATACCCCTCAAACGCAACGTTTTACGCAACTCGGGGTGGGGGGGGCAGATTCAACCCACCCGTACGCTGTTGCACGGCAGAGGTTTGTTTGGCTGGGACAGGTGAGGGAGAGTAGCAAAAAGTACCCTTTCAGCCTGTTCGAACAGAGAGGTCAGAACAGCAAACAAGCGTCACCGCCGTTCCTCGGTTGAAAACGGGTCAACACTTACAATCGTCCCTGATGTATGTGCCCTTCCAGCACCTGATTTTGCCGGAGGGTTGTTGCATGTCAGAGAGGTAATCAACGCATCCTGGTCACGGTGATGATCAAGGGCAGCCGCATCAGCATGCATCATACATAGTATCGTCTCTTGGATTTCGTCGCTGCTCATCCGTAATTAGCTAACTGACCAGGCCTGCTTCCTGATGTACATGAATCATCGCAATGATCTGCCCAATATTAAAAGCCGCTGGCAGACCTTGTCGCTTTTCCTGCCATTCACTGAAACTCTCTTCCGCCATCAGTGACCCGAGCCCTCGATGCACCGAGGACGCACGTTGTGATCGTAATTCAAGCCATTGCCAGTTCCTCCCTCTTTGACGTATCAGTATGCTAGTAAAACAGGCCGACGGATATGGTTGATGTCAGAACGGGGCGACAGTCGCCGCTTTCTCAACCGATAACCACGGCAAGATAAAAGTGTCGGGTATAAGAAGAAGAAAAAAAGAAAACCAGGTCATTTGTCGACCCTTCCCAAACGCCTTTCCTGGCCTACGCGAGGCACCATTTATCCATGTCACCTCATCCCCCTTTCACGGTCAAACAGAGCAAACAGAGCTTACATATCCCACAGGAGAGCGTCCTACACGCCCACCATGGACACACCGTTGGCCTCTTCGAACGATGTCGTTTTCTTGAGAGGCTCGAGTCCAATCGGTAGCTCCTGGTGAGCTTCGAGCTTGCGGTCGTTGGCTACACGGATGCTTCCTCTGGCTCCCTTGACCAGATGGCCAGTGTCGACATGGTCTTGGATCATCTCGTCCAGAATCTTGCTCATCTCGTCAACACTTTTGGTGCGAGTGCGAGGTTTGGCCGAGGCTGCTGATGGTGCTGGCGGCGGGCTGACCGTTGGCGGGGGACTATGTTCGTACAGAGAAGACGTCCTGCCGTCAAAATGTCCCTCGGCTATGTCTCGAGATCGAGCTGCAGACCGCAACGCACCCAACATGCGATCCTTGTCGTCCAATCGTGCCTTCAGTTCGGCAATCTCGGCATCCTTTTCCCTCAATAGCGTCGACACACTGTGGTCTTCTCCAACCATGATGGCCTTGTTTGGAACAGAGAAGCCGATGGAGGTTCTCGAAGAGCTAGCTCTCCGTGCTTGCATCAGTCGCTTCTCCAGGGTCTGGATGTATCTCGTCTTGTCTGCCAAGTCGGCCTGCAACGCGCGGTTCTGGGCCGCCAATGAAGCGTTGCCGTCTCCGAATTCGCCGATGCTGTCCTCGTCCATCACCAAGCCACCGTCTGCACTGGATCGGCGCAGGCCTCTGCTGGACCGACCGCTTGACCGACGGCCAATGGTTGAGGAAGCCGATGTCATGGATGCGGTTCTCTCGAGAATTGGTCTACCGCTAGTCGAAGTAGCCAAAGACGATCTTACCGAAGCCATTGGAGATCGAGAGTGTATACCGAGAGCACTGTAGGATCCGCTGGCGTTGACGCCAATTGATTTGGAACTCAAGATCAGACGGTTAAGGTGATCAATGCGTTCCTTGAGCGCTGTTCGGGCTAGCTGCATCTCAAGCATCTGCTCCTCGTGCCGGTGCTCGGCCTCTAGTTCGCGAGCCTTTTCCTCGAGGGCATCTCGTTCTCTTTCTGGGTCGGCATGGTTGGAGTTTTTTTCCTTGGCCTGCATATCGAGTTGCTGTCTCAGCTCCAGAATCTCCATGCGGTACCTCTCCAGGAGGACTCTGGCGCCACCATCCCCACCACTTCCGAGAGCCTCCTCCGACCTTTTGGCGTGGCTGACAATGTTGTTCTTGGCTCGGGACGCGAACTTGAGAGTGTTGATCGTTTCGGACGTGTGAGAATTTGAAGAAGCAGCGCTACCGGCCGCGCCAATCTGAATGGTGCACAAAATGCTCACGAGTGAACCACCCGACAGAGCTCCTTGTAAGAGCCTGGTTAGCTTGCTGTCTCGGTATGGCAGATGCTTCCCATCTTTGTCGGCGGCCTTTCCGTCCTTGTCCTTGTGCTCGGAGAGTTTGGAGATGACCGTGCCCAAAGTGAGCAAACTCTTATTGATGTGCGAGCCCTCTGTCCGTCGCTCCTTGGACTCGGCCGCCTTCTCTGATCCAGCGAGATCGATTAAGCTCAGCGTCGATACGCGCACACCGCCGGGCAACATTCCTGATCGTTTACTTTCGCCAGTGCCGATGTTTCCTGGTATCCGCTCTCGGCTCTCTACCACGATTTGGACCACTGCGTGACTTCGAGAGCTCCTCGCATTGAATTGCGTGCTTGCTGTTCTGCGCGCTTGGTCGCCTCGGGCAATTACTCTCAGAAGCTGGGTTGGACTTTGCACAATTTCTTCCTTCAACGGGCTGGCGTATACACCCCGCTTGCTGTCTTCGCGCAACTTGATTTCTTCCTGCCCACCAGCCCCGGTACCGGTTGACATGCTCAGTAAATCGTGGATTCTCTCGTTGTATATTTCCAGGTAGCTGACACGGAGTAAGAATTCGCGAGACGGTGTTTCCCTGATGTAGGAAAAGATGTCGGTGATGGCGAGAGGGATGACACCTGGCGAAGAAGCCGTTCCCTGCATCGAGAACGTCTTCCCAGTACCAGTCATGCCGTAGGCAAAAACGGTTCCGTGGTAACCCTCCATTACACGACGGACTAACCGTTTTGCTATGCAGTCGTAGACTCGGCTGTTGTCGTCGTGCGTGGTAAAAACATTATCTGATGGCCAACGTCAGCATGAACCCTCAGAAGTAGGAGAGGACGCTTACCATAGATATAGTCACCGCCTTCTTTTCCTCTGTACGCAACAAGAGACTTGCGCCCGTCGACCATCCATTCGCACTCGGCCTTTGTGTTTTCATTTCCGCCCGCATCCGGTCGCACTCTCACGCTAACGAGAACGTTTCCCTTGCCGTCTAGCTTGGAGGACCTCTTATCAGTGGTGTCGACAGGGTCATCATACGTCGTCGCGGAAGTTGAGTAGGAGTCTTGTGCCGATGAGCTCCTGCTCTGCGGCGGCGAAGAGATACTGATAAGACCGTCTGACATGCGGACGCTGGCGCTCGATATCGACTTGCCCTCGGCGTTGTTGTTGAGCAGACTCGGCGCGCCATTGCTCTGCGAGTACGTGGATGCTAGAGAGCCCTTCGATTTGCGTGTTGAGTTCCGTGGGGAGTCAGTACCAAGTGGACTAGGGGGTAGGCTGCTGATGCGGTTGTCGCCCCGGGGCGGCTGGGGGAACGAGTTGATGCTCACTGTCTTGCGCAATGTCCGAGCTGAAGAATTGCTCATGGCAGAAGCCGTATGTGGCTGCGGAAGTGCCGAAGTAGGTGCAGGAGATGTGGGAGGGAGAAAACTGCTGGAAGGTGCCCTGAGGCCGCTCTTGGAGTTCGGGGTGGCCGGGCTGGATTTGAAGGTGGTCGTAGGTATGCCTCCAGTGCTTTTTCTCGTCTTGGCGACGGGGAGAGCGGGCAGGCCCATAGTCGGCGGGCCATTGGACGGCCTTGCTGGCCGCGGGAGCGTCGTCGCCATTTGGTAGAACGATTGCGAAGCGTGATCCGTGATCTCCGAGAAGCCAAAGTCCCAACTAGGGCAGAAAGCCTTCTAAAGTGTCGGGGGCAGTCAAGAAGCCGGTCGGTCCATGAACTCGGAGGGTGGAAAGGGGTGATTCGTCGGAATGTCGATAACGAACGTCGATAAGGGACCTCTCGTGTGGGTTGGACTCGTCCGAAGATAGCAGACGTGGACGGGCCTCCGAGTTTGCTTATATCTGACGACTTTGGGCGAATCCGAGAACAGGGACGTGTGAAACGTTATTATGCGTTGAGGGTGTGCAGGGTAGCGTGGGAGCTTTTCATCGGAATTTGGTGCTCTGCTGGTAGCACGCTTGTCAGTGCACTGTTAACCCTTAAAACCAGAGCGGTGAGCACGGGTAATTGAGCATGACTTGCAGATGGACCGACATTGCAGTCGATCCCAAGGACCGGAACGGGTTGAAGCAGCAGGGAGGGGAGGCACAAGACTTACCGCGATGTATTGAGCAGCGTTATGTGAATAATCGTATGTATGGTGGTGGATCGGAACGGGGTAGAAGAAGGATACCTAGGGCCAAGCGGTTTGAGGGGGGGTCCGATTGAGGTGGCTCGTATGTCTCGTAGGCTGTTCTTCGGGTGTTTAAACCGGGCTCTGCTGGACCAAGTGCGGAGGGAAAACAAAGGTGGTGGTGGGTTGGTTGGGGTTTTTTTTTTCTTTTCTTTCCCCACCCCCCGTCAAGCTGTCTTCCTTACGCTAGCGGGCGGCGTGAGGCGTATGGCGTATGGCGTGGGTTTACTTTTCCGTCTGTATGCAGAGCACGGTGCCTCCGGTGTCTCGCGCAGCTCAAGTCGCAGGACTGGGATGGCGACTGGTACTGGGTTGGGGCGGCAGGTCGGGGCAAGTCAGAGAGCTGGGCGTGGGACTGAAGGGGTTGGTGGTCGAGTGGAAATGTTTCGATGGCAGCAATGGGCGTGGGACACGCGAACGCGGATTCGCTGTGGCAGTGGGCGTCTGAGCTCTGCGAACCAGGAATCGGAAACAAGAGGGTTGTAGTAATGGGGCGAAGGACGCGGGATACGATACGGCGAGATGTCAAATTCGGAAGCGCGGTAGCAGAGGGAATTGAAGAGTGGTACAACAGAGGGTTGCGATGCTTCCTGGAAAGGGGCAGATCCGGATCTCGAGCGGTGGGCAAGTAGGTAGGTGCGTCTTTTCTTGGCAGGGTAGGAGAAAGGAGCGGACGAAGGCGGGAAAGAAAAGCAGGCGTTTTGAAAGCGAAAGCGCGAGCGCTCTCAGAGGGGAGATGAGGCAGGAGCGGTTGGTCAAGGGAAAAAGAAGGAGGCGCGAAAGAACGTGGTGATGAGAGATGCAGTTGGGTGAGAGAAATTAAAGCAATCGACGGCCAGATAAGCGGGAAATGACTGTTGCAACCACAAAAAAAAAGGCCGTAACCTGTAGAGTTACGTAGCTAGCTGCGTAAAAAGGAGCGTGTGAGCGAGTGACTGGCTAGGTAGGTAATTATCAGACCCCGTCGGGTATGTTGGCAGTATCCGTAATATGTACTGCAAGTTCGAGGCCAGTCCAATTATACCTCCTGTCCCGTGTCAGTCGCATTCATTGACGTTGGTTTCCCTCGACGACTAGGTGGATAGGTAGGTAGGGTAGGTAGGCAGGTAGGTAGGAAGGTCGACTGAGTGACTGACTACCTAGGTATTCTACCTCGCCCAGAGCGATTCGAGCTCCCTCCTTCGGTCCTTCCTCTCTCTCTTCTCCCCATTGGTTTCTCGTCTGCCAGGAGAGCAAGGAGGGAGCTGCAGTAGTGGAAAGGAAGTGGATCGGGTGTACGTACCTAGCATTCGTCTCTTTGCTTTTTCTTGACGGGAGCTTGCGAGTGCTCCACTACAGAAAGCCCATGGACGAAGAGCGATCCTTGGTATCTGTGTCCAACAGAAACGGGGCACACGAAGATCGAGGGGCAAAGGTCCGTTCCTGCATCAATTAAGCTCAGAACTGCTTCCCGAGTACCAAGCAAGTTAACAGAGCAAGAGAGGCCTTGTCGACAAGCCAGAAAAGAAGAAAAAGGGATTAAAAAAATGTGATTACGTGCAAGGGAAGAGATATGCGAGATGTGGGATGGGGGATGGGGGATGGATCTGAGAATTGGGCATGTTTGTGTGTCAGTACCGAACGGTCACCTACTCCGTATGATGGGTAAGTATAAACTCCCTAGCAGGTAGTGTGGAGTTGTGACCCACGTACGAGAGACTCTCACTGGCCAGAATTATGATAGATGTGCACAAGAAGCTCAAAGTACCGTCGCTGGGATAATTGACGAGGGGGTTAAACTTTGGCCCGATGCCGTACCTAGTAGTTAGGTTCCTTCGAAAGTACGTTCTTTGTCTCTGTCCATAAGCAGCAGTACAATGTCAACACACACACACACACACACACGCGTACAGGAGGGATGGAGATTTCCCCTACCCTGGCATCTTCTCATCTCAGACCCCAGTGCTGAATCCCTACAGCTTAGGTAGGTAGTACGGATACCCATTATACCATAGTACAAAGACTCATCCATGCATGTACTCCCAAAGACCAATTGACATCGTCGTCGTCATTACTCACCTTCCTACCTACCTACCTCCATCCGACGCAAAGAGTGCTACTACGTAGACAGAGGGCACCACCGACAATTCCAAGCTAAGACATCCGACATCACACGCCGAATGCCTCTCTCTCTCTCTCTCTGTTCCCCCACTGGCCCGTCGCCCAAAGATCCATCATAAAATGACTAGCCAAGAGCCACAGACACCGTCCAAGGCACCGCTCATCATCACTCCCAGCCCAGGTGGCTTTCCCTTGCTAGCCTGGTCATCATCAAATTGCTACACAGACTTGGAGATTAAACCCCTGCTGCACCCCCTATTCCCTGTAAGACCCATCTGCCCACTCAGGAACGGACAAGGGAGTATTAACCCTTTCCGGCCTAGCAAGGTGGCACACGCAGCGCCATCACAAAATACCTACAGGTACCCGGCACCCCTTTAGTCTAGACTAGTAAAACGATTATTATATTCGACAAGAAATAAATTCGTGACAATGCCGCCCATCGCCGACCACTGCATAAAGCGGCACTTCCCAGGTGAAGCGGAGGCTGCCGGTTCCTACCCCCATCCCATCTCACACCCGCCTTTGCATCCGCTGCAAACTTTGTGGAAGCATATTCCTCGGTAGCTCACCACCCACCTTATGAAAGGATGCCCATGTGCCAGTGCCGGCCACCGTTACACGCATATACGCGTGCTCTTGGCCGAGTACCAAGCAATAAGTAACAAGCACAGCAACCGAGGGGAGGGGGGCTGCTGCTACAGGACGTGTCGAGTCCACTTGCGTTGCTCAGCCCAACGCATCCGTCTCACGACGAGACAACGCGCTTCCGCTTGTCTTATCTCTTACCGAGCTCCAGCCAGCAACCCAAGTGCGGATATAGTTTGTTCCATCATGTTCGGGGTTCCCGCCCATCACACGCTGTGTTTCTTTGATGTAGGTACGGAGTAGGTACGCTACACAACACCCTGATCCCACCCACCAGACCCTCGAATCGAGGCAGAAAGCCCCCCCCCCTCGCTGGGCTCATGCACGACGGCTATGCTTTGATCGACAATTGGACAGAGCTCCCGCGGCAAAGAAACTTTGTGATGGCTGGGCCAATCGTGATGGCAATTAAAACATGTCTATCCGTACCTACTCTGTGCTCCGTATCCGTACTAGTTATGTAGTTTACAAATTGACAGTAAGCACCCCTCCCCGCATGGACGGACCACGCTGTAATTTCCGGACCCCATCGCATCACTGCCTCTTCCAGCCAATGGGCTACCATGTGTGGCGTGCACGCGCACGCTTGGTCCAGGCACGCCGCACTAAGACCTCAGTTACAGTACCTAGGTTATGGTAGGTACGCTCCTGTACACTACCTACCAGCCTTCCTATCAGGTCACCCATCATGCACCTTTCGCAGAAGCTGGCTCCAGTCTCTGTGTGACGGCAAGCACGCTAGGTGCTGTCCTCCCTCATTCCCCCGGCTCGCTCTCATTCGTCCATGGCTTGCCGACTCCCTGCTCCAACAATCTCCTCGGCCTTGGCCCGTTCTGCCAATTCATCGAGGCTCCTCTCCCCAATTGTCAAGATTGTTTATCATTGTCAGTTGGGCGGTGGTGTGAGAAGCAAAGATGCGCAAACTTCCGCGACCCCGGACCGCATCGCCGAGCCGTGACATCGGACGGATGTATGTGTTCACAGCCACCTCTATCAGCTGTCCTGGTTCTCCCATTCTTTTGTAAACTCGTCATCGTCCGATAACGTTGCATTTGGCGAGGCTCCCACTCGGCATGCCCACGTCGCAGGACGGTTGCGCATGTGCTTCACCATGCCTAGCGACAACAAACATTTGACCCGGCTGGACAGTATCTTACAAGCTTGCCTTCTCCAAAGTACGGGGCACGATCAAGCGTACTTGCCTCGGTCGGCCGAGGCAGCGTCTGATTGGGGCTGTACACCTATCCCTACGCAGGTACCCGCCCTCCGCACTGCGGCCCAGGTTGCTTTTCTTCCCTTGTTTGGTGCGTCTTCTAATGGATGCAGTCCACCTGTGGCTCCTCACTTCTTGACTGGCAAATGAAAAGGCGAATCTGTTGGCAAACTGGGGTGACTGATGCACTCTTGGACCCTACTTTTCATGACGATACATGAGCAAACTGTTCTCATTCAACTCGGGACTCGCAGCGTGGCGCATGCTCACCCTTGATGTTGCATCTTTCATCGCAACCCCATGTGTCGAGAAAACAAAGGCATCACCTCAAAGTCCACCTGTTCCTTCCACCGACTCAGTCACCCGCTATATCGCAAACTGCCATTGGAAAGGGGGAGGCGCAACAGCGTGGGGAGAGGTATATCAAGGTCCGAGTCCTTCGGACCTCTGACAGCGCCACGCGAAGCAATCGAAACAACGGATGAGAGAAGATTGACGTCCATGCTACCAGGTCGACGACAGATGCGTTCCATGAGTCAAGAACCTTATGTCGATGTCAGAATTACAAAGCGGCCCTTCTCGGCCATACGCCGCGCCAACAGCGCGCAACTCTGCGACTAGGCGAAGCATGGGAGATCAAACATCGGCACCTAGGATGTACCTAGACAACACTTGCGCCGCATCGCCTTTCGCCTTCGACGAGCCCCTCAGGACATTCCCGTGCTCGGCGGTGGCGACTTGCAAGGAGTCAGGATACGGGAGAAACTTCATGGGCAGGCCCGTTGCCGGCTAACTCTCTTTAGGCAGAATAAAAAAAGAAAAGGCTACCAAGCTAGTTTGATAGATGAATGGACTGAGAAAGGGAAGACCGGCTCAATTCATCATCAGCACAGTCATTGTTCACATGTTGATTCAATCATTATAATGTTGGTTTTATGAATCCATAAAGAGATGTGGTGGCACGGATCAGATCAGAGGCGCCGCGTATCGGGCTTTTACGTACCGTGATATTACATATGTATCGGGTAAACTGCACTAGACCGCTTGTGGGAGTTTAGAGCGACTACCTATATCCATCAATGAATCCATCCGTCTTCACGATATTGACGACACTCGGACAGGCAAGTCATGACATCCTGGTTTCTTGTGTCGGATGAGGCTAAGCGACACCGCAAGTGGTCCAGCAAGAGCGTTTCATCGACGGCGTTCTTCGGCGTCCGCCCTCATCGAAGAAGCGGTATTTGTTTTGTGTTGATGGTATCAAGCCTGGTCCTTGCTCCGCTGTGTGGATAGAGAAGACGGGCCCGGGTGTCTCATGATTACAGTAAACGAACTCCCCTGCCAACGCTCCGCGTCTCAAAGACTTCGACGTGGCCGGCACCCACTGCCTCCTCCAATACCCAGTGGAACTCCAAGCCATAGAACTCCCTCCACCTTTTCGTCCGACCCGGTAGCACGCCGGCGAACTCCCCTCGGGCCCTCTTTGCGAGACGCGCCTCGTCACGAGCTACCCCACCCTCCCATCGCTCTCTTAGCATGGACACGGGCATCTCCCTATATTGCGACTTGGACAACAGCTGCGTGACATGTTCCACAGCGGCGGTGGCCAGCTTCAAAAAGGACCCGTTCCCGGGCACCGCGATGGTGAACTCATCCCCCGAGCATGAGACGTCGTCGGCACGGGATCGCCGCAGCGCCCCTCCTCCTCCACCCCCACCACCGGCGGCATGTACTGCCCCCTGGCCGCCTACGGCTTCGAAACTGCCGGAGGCTGCGCGGGACACCGCCTCGATGCTCATCAAGCTGCCTCGATCCTCCGGGCGCAGATGTAGATTCATCAGCGGCGTGTTTACATGCTGGGGGTGCACGTTGGCCGTCAAGAACCCTGCGCGCACTAGGGCATCGGCCTGCTTGTGGCCGCAGGCAGACCGCGGCATGGTCTGGGCCAGGGGGTTCTCTCTGAGGAACTTGGTGAAGGCCATCTTGGCCTCCTCGTCCAGTCCCGCGGACTGCGCTATCATCTCCTCCAGCTCAGGCGTCTCGATCAGGGCCTCGCCTAGCCCGCCTCGGCGTTGTACGTAGATCTTGCGAATAGCTCCGCATCGCTGCAACTCTGCGACCTCGCGCTCAACAGCGGTTGGGGAGGCCAGCAGCGCATGCAGGTGCGATACCGTCACGATGCCCGGCACGGCTTTGCGGAAGCTGAGCACTTCGGCAATACGCGTGGACTTCATGCCAGCTGCCTCTGTCGGTACGGGTCCGAACATGCGGTTGCGGGTGTGCTTGATGGCCTGCACAACGTCGCGCAGCGACATGTCGGTCGCCAACGCCGCAACCAGGCCGACGTCATCGAGCCTGTCGTGGAAGAAATCATCGCCGCCGTCGTCGTCGTCGAAACCGGCGTCCGCCCGTACGGGCTTCTTTCTGATGGCGGTGACGCTGCTGCCTCCGGTCCGGGAGGAGCTGGTCCCGCTGTTCTTCCGTGGCGACGCCGACACTGTCACTTTGGGTTTTGGCTTTGACTTTCTCACGCGACCGCCACTCAGTATTGACCGCAGACTACTCATGTCTCTTTCGGTACGTGTTACGCGAGTGTTTTCAGGGTTAACACGGCCTTTTACCGGGCGGGAGATATCGAAGATGGTAAAACGTCAAGTGGGTGGGTAAGCAGTGGATATCCGGCGGCGACCGTGGTCCGGGCTCTCGTCTTAAAGAGCAGCGCCTTTCCGGATGTCGATTCAGGTGGGTGGCGTGGTGGTGGCAAAACCCAATACTTTTTGGACGGGCGACTGTCTCCGCCTTGGATGACAAACCACCTACCTGGCCAACAGGTCCTAAATGAGGACGGCAGAGGCAACGACGCCTCGTCAAGGGCAACAGATAAGTGACTTGGACGTCGCATGCACTCAATTGTTTCTCTTTCCCACGCTTCGTGCTTGTGCTGGGGCAGGTGGGATTTCGTTTCGTTTCTCCGATTTGAATTACTACATCGTAGTCAAGAATCTTAAGGTTTCAAGATAACCGACTGTTTTCCCCTTACGGCAGAAGGCTAATTGGGACGAAAGCAGTCGGGCAGGTTTGGAGGAGTCATGTTCGGGATGAACATCAAACCGAAACAATGGCGATCCCGTCGGCGATTTACTATGACGTCAAAAGGAGGCCTTGAACTTTACTTTAGGAGCGATGCTAAGTGAGAACGGTCTTGGTTCATGCATCGTTTTGATAAATGTTAGTTAGGTAACAACAGCACAGGGAGGTACGTATGGTGATATTGCTGTGGTAGGCGACAGAGAGTTGTCCATGAGAGTGAGCGGACCCCGACTCTCCGGTCAAGTGTCATCGGCTTTGGCTCATAGCTACAAACGACCAGTTTCGTTCATTGGATCGGAATAAATGCGGTTTTCTTCTTCCCTTTCCGAACGTCGATAGACTTTAGCGTTGCTCATTGTGAGTTTGCGAGACTCGGTTCAAGTACCGGCACCACCTACACATCGTTGTGCCGTTGCCCTTGTAAACGATAATAATAGTAATAACAGTAATAATACTCCGTAATAATTATAATAATAATGCCACTCCCAGTATTAACATAAATCACCCGGACAATGCGCGAACCCCTTATTGGAACCGGTAATACCTTCGTCGCTATTACACCTATCGACACAAGGGCTTTCCGGCTTTCCGGCTTGTCGGAGATTAATGGGTGCAACACGAAAGCCCGCCTGCAACCCTATAACCCGGCTTTGATCCGTTCCAGCTTACTATGTAACTCTGAAGCCTTGCGCTGCCCGATTCACTACAACGCGGTGCATGGTGTTGTCCTGGAGATTGCAGCCCCCCTTCCCACGATCCATCCTTGGAGATGAAAGAAAGGATAATGTGGTGCCTAAGGCCTTTTCGACAAGAGGTCATGCGGGAATTCTACTTATCGCCAATCTTTTTGAATCTTTTGAATCCATTTTTGTGAAATCGTGCTTTACTGTACACAACCAGCAGGGGGGTTTCGGCCCTTGGTACTGTGTTGCGTGGTGTTTTCGTGCTCACAACATGGCGGATCTGGGTTCTATCTGCAGAACGAAAGTACCAGCTTGGTATCATAATGCCACAGACCGTATGCTTCGGCAGAGCATCAACACGCCATCTCTAATGCAGTACGGATAACGTGGCCTGATGTACATATTGAAAATCCATATGTTATGAAGAACCCTATATCAGGCGGTTCACACATCAGCCCCACACAAACAAGATGAGTTGCGTTTGTTTTCTCAAACCCCTCGGCTCATGCTCCGCCACACTATTCATCATGTCTCTCGCCATTGCCCGTGTCGTGACTCGGCTGTGCTCCTCGATAGTTTAGTCGCTTAGTCTCTGCGATAACTCCGTCGGTACCATGTCAGGAAAGGGGCGGGGCATGCCCGAGAGCAACGACACACCATCACTGCAGACTGGCTTCGAAATCGGTTCTCCCCAGTTCCTGCATAACCTGCTCATCCGACTTGGCAGGTATCGTTTCCGTGGTATTTCTCTTTGATTCCTTCACAGCAGGCACCTTCGAGAGGTTTCTTGGCGTGCCCTTGCAGGTTCCAGACGCAAGCACCAGAGTCCTCGCCGTCGGCGAAACACAGTTAATACGTCGCGTACACTATACGTATCGACATACAGTGTCAGTTCGTCTCGTGTTCCGATTCTCGTCACTTCCTGGTCCTGGTTGTTTACCAGCCACGGGACCCTGAGGCTCACAAGCCGAACATATCACCCTGCAAACGTTAAGACACCGTTAGAGTTCGGCTGCCAATGAGACACGCCCGGCTGCAGCATCTCGGCATCCCACGGCGGCTGGTGGCGGTAATGCACAAAGAACATTGTCCCAGAAGACGTCCAACTGCCCAAGCATGTACATTGAAGTAGATTTCGACGAGGCTGCACTCGGCAAGCCATCCCGGAGTGCGGATGGCAGGCGCGGACGATTCATCCATGTTTCCGACGAGTCTCGCCGCTAGGGTTCCACAAGAGTTATAGGAGGACGAAGACGCGTGGTGTTCTGGCAGATCCCGGCGATAATTTTCTCGTCTGGGCCATTCTCGAACACGTCTGTCCTGGTCTGGTCTTCGCGCTCCGTGGTATTTGCTTCATCAGCTACTCGGACCGTGCATGTCCCCAATACTCAGAGGGCAAAGATCTAACGTACGTCGTATGTCCGCTATCATGCCGCGAAGGAATATATATGCGCAGACGGAAGCGAGGTGGCTGGCCTTGGCCGTCAGTGGCGACGCGGGCACCACCAAATTGAAGGAGGCGGCAGGCCAATATTCATGGTCATACTCATTTCAGAAGATATTGGTGGCCGCGCATCGTCATCGGCAAGCTTTATGACGAGCTTGCTTTTCACGGGCTTAGCAGGAACTGCATCCTTTTCATCAACAAGTAGGTAGTTTTCCGCTGCCTTTTGTGTCACACCAACCGGTTTCCTACCGGAGGTTTCGTGTTTTGGGCCCAACGATTGACTCACGAGCTGCACCGGAACGTGGGACCGCCACAATAGCCCTCTTTGGCACCGGCATATGAACAATGCCTGTGTGGAACTGAGGCAAAGTGACGTGGGGTAAGTAGTCCCGAGAGAGTAGGTGAGTAAGGGGGGCTGGGGATGGCATACAGTACCGGCTCAAAAGTCTTGTTACAGCAATAAGGATAACCCAAAGAAGAGTAGAAGAGAGGACCCATTCATAGCTCGAGGTCCCTTCACAGTGCGTCACCAAAGACCCTATGTCCTAAACACCTAATGTAGCTTTTTATTAGCTGTCCTTATTGTTGTAACAAGACTTTTGAGCTGGTACTGTAGCAATGGACGCCTATGTTGATGGGTTTTGTACAAGCGTATGAAACCTTAGTCAACTTTGGTTGCTACATGTGAGCGGAATCCAAACCTGTCCCACTTAACGGTCTTGATAAATATAGACAGATACAACATTTCTCTTTGTATTTTTCTCTCTGTCAGGGGACCAGTTGTAGAAGTCGAGAATCGGCCAGATCGAAATGATTTTTAGTCCGTGTATGGTGGGAAATATTTTTTGGTCGACATTTTGGGCCAAAGCCACTCCGTCAAATTTGAAGACAACTACGGGTTGAAGGGCACGTTGGAGCTCGGAATTGCGGCTGTTGATAACCGAAAGCAACAAAGCGAGAGGGGCTGCAGTCGACGTATCCGGACGCTTGATGATGTAGAGCAAACTTCTGCATTCGTTTTAACATAGTAGCATATCGCCCTTCCTAACAGCAAATCCCGGGAATACGTCCCGTTTGATGAAGGTAGTACAAACTTGAAACTGTTAGACCGAGACATGTCCACTCCAGCAACATCGATGAAGGGCCGGTAGAGTTGAGGAGGTCGAGGGTGTGACGCGAAGATAATACTAGAGCGCCCAATATCTCCTTCGGTCTCTCCGGTGGGGATCGCGACGATGGAGCATCTTACAAAACAATGCTTCTCAGAGTCGAACATGCCATCAAGCTATGCGACGCATCCCAGACAGCCGATTCTAAGATCTTTGGGCAACTGACGCCCGCTCGTGCCACGGCACCCAAATTCCCTGACTGGTTCGGTAACTGGGCTCCAATGAAACTGGAACATAAAAAGGTTGAGCAACCTCTGCCTGAGCCCAGAAAAGACTTAGTTCTACGGTGGCCGAGCGATCAGTGAAAGCCAAGCCTGGACAATATGTGCTCTGAGACAGGGCTGAACATGTTGAATGCGAGGTCAAAAACTGGAAGGCAAGCTTATAAATGAAAGATCATGAAATCCGAGAGCATCGTGCAAAGCCAGAACCACCATTACTGGTCGCATGTATTCCAAAGTGAGAGTGGTGTACTTCAGATAAGACTTACCCCATTACACACGCACTACACAAAGCAAGAGAAGACTTTACATGGAAGATAACCAGACGTGAAGGAACCAGCCAACGATATCTGCCCAGTGCGTGACTGGCCACTTGTAGACTGCCCAGCTACGAGGACGAGGCACGCATTGCGCCGTTTTCAACCCCCTTTTCCTGGCGACCAACCTGGTACTCAAGTTCCGCCTGCCGAAAGCATAGGCATTTTCGTATGAGTTGACCAGACCGTCAACATGCCGAAGTCTATGGAATGCGTGGCGACGGCCGCTGTATGGATAGAAAGACACACGACACCAAGACAGGCAGGCGGCGGCAGAGACACCAAGACTCTTTAACAAGTCGCTGGCACTCTTAGCAAGGGCCGGCTCTATTGGCTCCCGCACTCAAACTTGTCAAGACATGCGGGCAAGACATGTCTTCACTTGACTCACAATGGAAAGGCTGTCTTCACAATGGAAAGGCTGTCTGTCCAAGCCCAGAAGACGATGTAATACCAACGGTATCTGTTATTGTCACAAGTCTATTTTGCTCACGCAGAGAGACCTCCAGGTGGTGTCTTAACGCTTAGGTACCAGAAGAAGGCTACCAGCAATACATGTAGGTGAACAAACTTCGCTAATGGCTAGCAACCAAAATGATAAAATAAACCCTCTCCTCCCTCCTTTTTTATTATAGAATCCTTATCAACTCCAGTGACTAAGAAAAAGATAAGAAACGTTTGGTTAGTAATCTCCATCAGACGGCCTATCCAGCCATGGTCAAGATATATGAAGTGATGGAGGTCATCCGCTCGCTAGTGAGCTTCAGCGATACCCTCAAAAGCTCCTGGGCGACGTCCGGCTGGTCTTTCTGAAGCTTCTGCCACCCCTCCTTGTCCATACGCCACGCGATGCAATCTCTGTCAACCGTCACCGTCGCCGTTCGGTCTGTCTCGGAGAAGAAGGGTAATTCGCCACAGGTGGTGCCCGCTACGATGCTTTCCGTAAGCGAGCCTTGGGGTAAGTCGTAGTCGGCACGGAGGATGCCCTTCTCGACCAAGTAGAACCCCTTTGCAGGCTCGCCTCTTGTGAAGAGCACCGTGCCGGCTGTGTATTCCTTCCGGACGAAGTAGCCAACTGCTCTAAACCAAAAGTCCTCGTTTTTGTCGCTGAGGCCCTGGAAAATCTGGAGCATCAGTCGTAACGGCTCTTTGAAGCTTTGCCATTTCTTTGCGCCTGACGACTCCGTGTTCGCCAGCGCGTTTCTAGCGGCTTCATAAAGATGGTTGCGTCTTGGTGAATTGATGACCATGTCGAAGGATGCCCGATCCGGCTTCGCGGGCACATCGAGGTTGGCTGTCGGTGCGTGACGAGAGCCCTTCCGGAGGTCCTCCTGACTAGCGTACAACGTCTTGAGTAGTTCATTTTCACAGCTCTCCAAAGCTGAGTTGAGGTCCGGAAGCAAGGTAACTTCAATGTTGTCGTTGCCAAGCCCCATGGCCCGCAAATTACGACCAACTTCGCTCTCTGCGTCTTTCCCACTCAACACGAGGACAATTCCCTTGTTGTCCAGCAATCTGCTGATAGTGTTGAATGCTTCGCCAGCGGAGTAGTCGAGGCCCGTGACATGATACAGATCGAGGATGAGGTATTTGATGGGCCTCTCCGTAAAGGAACTGTCGTCGATCAGAGCACGAATCTTCTCCTCGACACTCACGACTGTGCCAAAAAACAGAAAGCCAGTCAGCTTCACGATATGGATCTGGCGACGAACTTCCTGTAGGTAGTGGTGTTGCGAAGGATTCCTGCGTACTGTTGAGCCAACAATTTCGCCCGTGTAGCTGGCTCGAACAGCAGACACTCTCGATGTCTGGATGGTCAACGATACGAACGCGAGAATGATGCCTACACCAATACCGATAACAAAGTCGTAGATACCCATTACCAGAACGATTACAATTACCTAGAGGGACGTTAGTTAGTTTCCGTGGATGCGTAGAACACCGTAGCATACCGTTAGATATTCGGCCACTTTTAGCTTCTTCCTTGGTAGCCATACGGCTTCGAGAAGAAGCTCAAAGCCTAGATCGAAGATGAGGGTGCCAACCATCATAATGGGAATGAAGCCAATGATCTTAGGACCGATGATCATAACGCCAAAGGTCAGAGCTGCTAGCATATATCCGGCGAGCCTGCTGTCTCCTCCGGATCGCATGAAGAACACAGTGTTGGCATACACGAGGTAGTTCTGGATGCTGCCAGCCATGCCGGAGATAAAGTTTGAGTAGCCGTGAAGTTTGAGCTCACGGTCAAGGTCGGCATTATCCTCGCCACTCTGCAGAGCCAAGGCGGGAACATTGATAGGGACGTGGAGAATACCGAAGAAGGTGAGGGCAAGCATTGCAGGAATGCACTCCAGTACGGCGTCCCACTCAACCAGGTGAAATTCTAGAGTCAAAAGTCAGCACAAGTCAGTGCCAGCGGCATAGCTTCGGCGTACTGTACAACGTATAGAAGTACCACCACGGTTCGTCTGCCGGTGGTCCTTCAAAAATCCATCCATGATCTCGGAGAGAATCGGGATCGAGCGCATCCAAAGAGAAGACAAAAAAGTAGAAGACAACCGGGATCGAGATAATGTACAGTGGCAGGAAGTACTTGGATGCACCTCGAGCCTGGCTGTAGAAAAGCACAATGGCGAGCAGAAGGGGCGTCACCCAGAGTGGTACCGTGTCGCTTCGAAACAGCTTATGGAGAGTATCCATATCATATTCGAGGCTGCCGTCCATCCTGGCGGAGACTTCAAATCCTGTGGCAACCAAGAACCAGCCGACACCTCCGATACACCCAATCAATATGTGCCTCGGGATGAAGCCAACCATGTAACCAAAGTTGAACTTGCCCATGAGATAAAAGACTGTGCCGGTCATCATGGAACTAATCGCGTACGATACAATCGTTGTTGCAATCACAGCATCAGGCTGGTTTTCACCGATATGGTCCGTGATCGTTTGTGCCATATTATGGAAAAACGGTACGACCTCGATCTGTAAATGGGTTAGTAAAAGAGTCAAGGGTCGGAGAAGAGATCAACATGCCAGTTCAGAGCCAACACCCCCTTTAAAAATACTGCCAGTCGAGAAAGTTAACTGGGAAACAATGGTGCTAACGTAGAAAATGGATATGCCCGCTGAGCCCAGATTGGCAAAGATGGGCTTGCCCAGGGGGAATAGAATCATGCCTAGTCGAGTCAGGTCAAATGAATCAACGATCGCAGCTGGCAAGAGACTCACCGTAAGACAGGGCATCGAGAACATTGAGTAGCAAGCCAACAATGACAGCCGGCAAACAAGACGCGGGGGCCACCACGGCATTGTGCCAGAGCGCCCTGCGGTCCCAAGATTTAGGACTCGTCATGACTTGAATGATATGAGCCACGTGCTCCTCCACGTTCACAGACAGGTCCTTCAAACCTCGTAGCCACTTCTTCCTAGGTCTCTGCTTCTGTCCCTCCATATCAATTCCGTCGGTGGTCCCGTTCGTATTGTAGCTCTCAAAACTGTCAGATGACAATCTGGAAATCAGCGGTGTGCGCTCAGTGGACCCATTGGCAACTCTTGTCGCCGACCGCCGTGCCTCTTGTCGCGGTCTTTCCGCAGACGGCGTTCGCTTTGGTTCAGGGCCGGATGATTCCAATGGCTCCAATGGCTCCAATGCCTCGGGTTGGGGCTCGAATGACGGGTCGCGGTGCGATTGAGGGGGTGACTTCTTGAGTAGGTTTGTCAGGATGGATGGGCCGTCCTCGGGAATCCCTTCCACATCCTCATCCGGCGAGGATGGTAGCTTTACCTTTATTAATCCCTTAGCTTAAGTTAATAACTAGCTAGACACTAGTATCGTTGTCCGAAGTTGCTGTTTCGCGAGCGAGAGCCGAGGACTGCGATCGTTGACGGGAGAGAAACCCCGGGCCTTGACCCGTCTTCTTGTCGGACAAGAGGTACGAGGCGAGCTCTGCCGTGTCTTCGCGCACACTACGGGCGTACTGGGCACTGTCGACGGGAGCTACGTACAAGTCAGCGGTGTGTGATCCATGTGCCAACTATGGGAAGCTTGCCTAAGTGGCCCCTCACGTTGCCGTGGATGAAGGAACGGATCGGCTCCCGATGACTGGAGCTCACTGATGACGATAGTACCCGTGAATCGGCCATTTGGGAGGTTCTGCCTGGACTGAGCAACGGGTTCTCGGGGTTGCTGGTATCACCGGTCCTTTGGGAGCTCAGCGATGCGGCTCTTCTCCGCCATGGAGAAAAGCCAAAGTTTGGGGATGACATTGCTAGCCGACGGGTATGTCGGCTGGCAGCGGCAGGTAGATACCTCGGTTTGAGGTCGCACCTTTCGGAACTGCCAATTGTCGGGTGGCTGAGCCAGTGGTGCGGCTGGTTGTTGTAAGTTTTACCTGGAAAACATGAGAAGCATATAGACGGCAAAGTGTATTTGGAGAAAAGTCGACGGATGGAGGCTCAGATCTACAAGTGAGAGAGCAAGGATAGCCCCGTGTAAGTTGACCGAGTGGGCGAAAAGCCAAAGGCTAGAAAACCAAATGCTAGAAGAAAAAAAAAAAAACGGTTGCAGTGTGGATGGAACTGGCCAAGCGGAGGAAGAGGTGGACCAAGGTGGTGGTAGTGGAGGAGGAGGAGGAGGAGAAAGAGGAGGAGGAGGAGGAACAGAGTTCGAGGTCGAGGTTGTCGTCAATATGGCACATTCGCACGCAGGTGGAATTAGACGAAGGACGAACCTTGATCCTAGTCAAATTTGCATTTGCATGTGGCTCGTCGCCCCTCATTAGCGTGCCTCCTACAGGTACGACATGCCACCAGTGTGGGTGCTTGGGCAGGTACTTCTCTCTTTACGGCAAGCTAGTGCCCATCCCTCGTGGTTTCTTGGAGCGGCCATACCGCAGCCCAGCGCGGCCCAGTGCGGCCCAGGCTGCTTGAATCGCATCGTACAAAGTACGTAACGCCGCAACGACCCCTGCACGTACCACAACAACCCCTCCAGCGAGCCACCTACCTGCAGCCGTTGCAGGCAGAGGATGGCAGTCCACTGTCTGTCAGCCAAGCAGCCCACCCATAACAAGCCGGCGCCCCACCCTACTTTGGATCCAGGATTCCAGTTCTCCGTTGCTCCCCGGAAGCCAGGGCCACACACTCTGCATCATCACCGCCACCATTTTCACCTCATCCAAGCCAACCATGCCAACCGATCCAAGCTCTAAATGTTGGACTGTGGGCCGCTTAGAGCGGATGCGAAGACTGCTGACGTTGGAACACTACTCTTTGTCATCCTCTCATATATCACGTCTCAAAAAGAACACCATGTTCCAGCCCAAACTCGCGTCTGAAGTACTGGTGCCCTGCTCGAGGTTAGGTCCCTCTGGTCTAAATCTCTCTCTCTCTCTCTCTCTCTCTCTCTCTCTCTTTTCTTTCTTTCTTTCTTCCTTTGTCCTTTTCTTTCTTCTTTGTGGGGAAACAACTTGTCAATTGCGACATTTGGTATCGATTGACTAATCGACATTATCTGCAATGGGGTTGAATGTCTGCAACGGAACGGAACAACAATTAGCAAATCAGCTGTTGTTGCCGCTTCATCACCCCCAGTCCCTTTGCGCTAAGGTGATGATTAAGAAGGTAATCCGGGTTAGTCAAGCTGGCCAACGGCGAGCGTTATGCAGTGCATGATGCAATGCAGCGCACCAGGCCTTGCTTGGCTTGTGCTGTGCCGTGCTTTGAGGGTGTGGGTGTATGTGGGTGGGTGGGTGCGACTGAACTACTTACGGATGACCAGCTGCAGCTTTCCAGGTGGCGGCGCTACTGAAATCTCGATCAAGAGGCACGTCAAGTCGTGGGCGTGTCTCTGGGGTTTCAATGCAGTCCGAGTCGTTGAATGTTGCTGTCGGTCTCTAACTCATCCACCGCCGATATCGCGACATCCGATGTTCATTCCCCGCACAATCACGACTTGTCTGAGCCATGCGAGCCGAGCTGTCGACCAATAGCACCATTGAGGACGATAAGGCGTGCGTTTGCTGCCCTTTGCGTGTCATCTTTCCCCAACTCTCCGCTCGTCACAACGTAACAAGAACAACTCAGCTAGAGTCTCAGCCAGAATGTCGTTCGGAGTGCCCTTTGCCACCCTGCTTGGATTCTGTCCATTATAACAGCCCCATCAGTCTCGTTTGCGGACCGTTGTGCGTTGCCGAATTAGCCATTATTGCCTCAGTCGGCCGCCCGGAAGTCCTCCGGTCTGCAGATCTTGACCTCACCATGCCCTGGGCCACATGTCCTTGTTACCTATGACCATTCCTCCACTCGAGTCCGATGTAGTACTTGACTCCGCGGCCAGCTTCGTCTTGTGTGAATCCCGTTCCCCGACCCCTTGACACTGCACATTTGTGCCACGCACATCCGCAGGACACCGGCACATTGGTCAGACGTCGAGTTCCTTTGACGCACTGTCTTGGAGTATTCAAACAGCGATGGCGCACCGCGTGGCATGTGGATTGTTGTGCATGTCGGCGTCTGTTGGGAATCGCGTCTGCGCATCAGACTGGCCCAGACGGCAATACGTCCTTGCCCTCCACACTACTGAACCTCATGAACGAGAGAAATGAAGGCACATTCTTCTTCGTGCCCTCATATCCAGTTGTTGATGGTTTGGCCCACCTCATCAGCTGAGCTTTTGAAGATAGCCCTGTGCTATAAGCCGCTCCACGTCTCCCTGCCTCACGTAGAACTGGCTGTTCTTGGTCAAGTTGATGGCGCTAGATCCCCGAAATCAGATATACATCTCCATCTGAGGCTCACACGGTTCAACTCACCCGTACTCGGTCTGTATCTCCCCCGCATCCTTCAAAACCCTCACGTCGATAAAGAGGTCTCGTGGTGGCTCCAAGCTGCCGGTCAAGTCGATATCCGTCCATTGGCCTTTGTAGGCTGCCAGAAGATCGCCGTATTGCCTCGCGTATTCCTCCTCCTGCGGACTGAGACTGCTTGTGGGGCCATCGGCGTTCCCATTAAGCCCTCCTGTCGATGATCCTGCATTGCCTCGCACCTGCTGTCCGGACAAATCGAGAACGTCTATGCCTCTCCATGCAAGCTCCTCCAGTTTGTCGCTTCGTGTTCGATGGTAGGCGAGAAGACACCGCTTGTTTCTTCGCATCGAAAGGTAGTTGACAAGCACCGTACACGCCGTTGCTTGGTCTGCAGACGGGTCGAAGGAGCCCTGGAAAGGCTCCAGTAACTCCGTCACGTCTCTATCAAGGTCTCTGACTTCGCGCGTAACAGCTCGTACCATCTCGGCTTGATAGGCTGGTAAATGCGCGAGGTTTTGAGTTCGTTTGGCATGTTGCACCTGCAAAGCGCGTTAATCCTCTGCATCACACACGACGGATATCCGCTCTCGAGTAGCCGTACCAGCTTGTTACCTAGATCGCCGTACATTTTTGTCGGAAAATTGATGTGTCGTGCTGCGTCGAGCTGTTGAAAGTAAACAGATCGTCCTGCATCGACTGGCGCGTGTCGTATCCAGAGGAGTCGCGTTGAAGCTGGCCGGTTATGCAAATACGGGTCATGGAATCAGCCAGCCAGTCAAGTCGCGCGTCGCATTGGTCTAGCCCTGTGGGAAGCAGCAAAAATTGCCCCTCACTTAGCGTTGCCCCACTACAGCAACCCACTTGAGGACGAGTCACGTTGGATTTTGCGCCGGCCATCAAGGCTGCACAGCGCGAGTTTACCCCTCACTTGGCTAGGAAACACTGCTTTCACATATGGAGCAAATTGTTTTTGACTTCTTCAAAGGTCTTCATAACCTCATTTGTATTCATGAAAGCCTTAAGCCCGCACTCTGTCGTAGGCGAAGCATTTGCCTCCGCTGGTGCTGAAAACTCCGCGTTTCCTGAGCCCGACTTTTTTTTGGGGTGAGGATTCTATGGATTATCATATCTCCAACTCATGCCTCGTGAAATCATCCCTCCCATTCTACCATAAAGCACCTTACAGCTTCTGCATGGCAGCAATGTCCACCGACTGCACATAATCCTCAATGGCCGAGATCTAGGGAGGTGGTTAGCATTTAGATTCATGGCCATAGGGCAGACCAGGTAAAATTGCAGGAGAGTTGGAATGTGTGAAAAGTAGTAGGGAAAAGGGTAGGGTTTGCATAGGGGCAGTGAGGTGCGAACAAGGCTTACCTCTTCCTCAAGGTCAGACAAGCTGATCTTCTCATCCTCAACAACAAGGTTGATCTGGAGCTTCTTGATACCGAAACCAACAGGGACAAGCTTGGAGGCACCCCAAACCAGACCGTCATGCTCGATGGCGCGGACAGCAGCCTCGAGCTCAGCCATGGGAGTCTCGTCATCTATGAAACGAAATTAGCATCACGCTTCGCATATTGGACATGAAAAAGAAACGTACCCCAGGGCTTGACATCCATGGTGACAACCGACTTGGCGGCGACCTTGGGCTTGTTCTCCTTCTTCTTCTTGTACTCGGCGAGACGTTCCTCGCGGATGCGAGCAGCCTCGGCGTCCTCCTCCTCATCGTCAGAGCCAAACAGGTCGACGTCTTCGTCCTCCTCCTCGGCAGCAGGGGCCTTGGCAGGGTTCACGGGGAGCTCTGAGGCCTCAGGGCCGTAGACGGAGTAAGACTTGGAAGCATCGCCGGGGAGGGTGGCGAAGTCACTCTCGTAGGTAGAGATGTGCTTGTACCATCTGGCGGCGTGGGGGTACTTCTCCGCGTCGGGAGCAGACTGAAGGGCCTTGAAGGTGACAACATCGGCCTGGGAAGGGGTGTGACTGTGCCGAATGTTAGCGGCATTGTCTCGCGTGAGGTTGCTTTTCAGTCAAAAAAAGGAGTGTGAAAGGCGGGGGTCAGAGTTGCACGAAGTGCTGGTTCTGTCGTCAAATAGCAGGTCTTGAGGCTGCCTCCGAAACACGGACCAATTTTCCTCATCATGTAGCCAGAGTGTAGCGAGAAAGAGATCTCTCGAGCGCGAAGCGGTGAATAGAGGATTTTCAACTTACCCGACGATGTAGGAGCGGGTGGTGAGCCAGCTGTTCAGCACTGACTCGATTGTCAGCCGAGAAAGAATGGAGAATCAACGCTGCAGAAACTTACTGGCAGCACCAGCATCAGTGAGAAGGTCGGCGAAGCCCATTTTTGCGGTTTGGAGAAAGTGTAGAGGGAAGGAAAGGGGTATCTGGGAAAGAGGCAGAAGAAAGAAGGGATGTGTTGAGGTTCAGGTAGAAATAGGTCGAGGTGGGGTTTGGGAAATTTTTGACCTGGACTCTTTGATTGCGGTGCTCTTCGCCCACCTCCTGGGCGGCACGGACCCCACAGGATCTGGTTGCCCAGCGCCTCACCCCTCTCTTCGGACTAAGTACGGCCCGGAGAAACCCCCTGTAGATGCGATGGACCCGCCACCGCCAGCCCACCTCACCTCAGGCAGGCTAGGTCTCGTAGGCAGGGAGCTCCTACGCAATTGCAGTTGAGAGCTCCAAACCGATCGAGCTCGACTGACACCAACCACCACCCTTCTCCAAACCACCTGAACAAACGGTTGGCAGCCCCGAGCTTCACTACTACACCTGTATCTTCCATCACAAAAATTCAACAACGCAACATGGCGTCGATCCTGCCGATAATAACCTTCAAGGCTGGTATCTGCGATGCAGACGTTCGTTACCCAGTCTCTTTGCTGCAGACCCCAGTCCGCTGATCTGGCCCGTAGACCTCTAGCAAGCCCTACAAGATCAAACCACAGCCGACCCCCGGCTACATCTACCTCTACTCTGAAGATGGTGAGTAAATTCGATGCTCTTACATTCTGGGCAACGTTTAACACAAGACAGACTTGATCCACTTCTGCTGGCGAGAGCGCAGTGCCGCCTTGGACAGTCCCGATCTCGACCTTGTGATGGTGCCCATGGACGGTGAATTCGTCGCCCACAATCCCGACGACCAACAGTCAGCAAAGACCAACGGCCGTATTTTTGTACTCAAGTTTGGATCCTCCTCTCAGAGACACTTTTTCTGGCTCCAGTCCAAACCCCAGTCACGCAATGGGGATCCTAGCTGGTTCAGCCCTCGGGATAAGAAAATTGGCGAGATCGTCAATGCGCTGCTCCAGGGCGAGGAAGTCAACGTCGGCCGGGAGCTCGCACAAGCTCGCAACACCAACGACAGACGGGACGACGACGATGACGACGACGACGAGACGATGGAAGATGCCGAGGGCCACGGAGACCGGAGCAATCAGACCCAAGGCGGCAGTGGCGGTGCTGGACCTGGCGCCACAGGCGGCGACATTAGGGAAGAGGGAGAGAATGCCAGAGAGGGCGGAGGCGATGGAGCACGAGCGTAGGTTTTTCCCTGATGCATGTCTCTATTAGGCGAAGTCCAGGATCATTTATCTCTTGCGAACTACATGGACATTGGCAAGGGAAGGACGTGAGGCCCGCGATATGGCGCCATCTGTACTTTTAGAGCCTTTCAAAAGAAACGAGGGTTCGGAGTTTGCCTTTCAGCGTGGTGCCTGTGGCTTGACTCGTCTGTGGATGCGTTCCTGTGCTAACTGCTTGATAGCGCTACCAGTGGCCCTGACACGGATGCGGATGCTGCTGTTCGGAATTTCCTGGAGTCATTACGAGGCAACGCTGGCCTGGGTGGATCTCACCAAGGTGGACAGCAACAACACGCCGACAAGCCTTACCCTTACCTCAGCCACCTTCTCCCGAACGAGTCCACAATTCCAATGCTGCGATCAGCCTCAGAGGAGTACATTGATAGCCTCTTGAGCTTCTTGCCACCCGCGATCCTCGTTCTTGCCACGGAATCAGATGACCTGGGCGATTCGGAGCCCACCCCAGAGGCAGCCGCGGCGGCTAAGGCTACCCTGAGTCTGGCAGAGAAAAAGAGCTTACTAGAGAGAGTCCTCAGAAGCCCCCAGTTCCATCAAGCACTTGGAAGTTTGACCATGGCACTTCGAGACGGTGGTCTTCCTACCATTGCGGGAGCACTCAACGTTAAAGTCCCCAACGGCGGCTATATGAGGGGTGGTGCCATGCCCCTGGGTGGCGGCGAGGCTGTCGAGGCTTTCGTTGAGAGCATTAAGTCAACAGTCATAGAGAAGAATCAAAACCAGGGCTGAACCAAACTCAGGGTTGAAGAGGGCACATACGCCAAGGACGATTAATGATATGATAAAGATGATAGAACTTCCGTAACTGGCCTTGGGCTATGATAACCATTGATCACTTGCAACGAATCTTTCTCAACGTGAGCTTTGAAGTAACAGGCGACAGCGGGAGACTGACCAGGACATTTGGAGAAAACGTCCGGAATCAAAAGGGCTTCTGAACATGACGAACCCATGTTGAGCTCGACGTCCTAACAAGCTTCCATCGAGGGCCGGTTCCCGGTTTGGTATTGATCCCGTTGGGAAGCTGCGAATCTAGCCATAACAGCTATCCTTCCCAACCATGTGAATGTATCAACCATTGGCCGTTCGGCGCATGCGGATGCATACCCTACTTTTCAAAAGTCTTGGGAGGCGAGAAAACAGACAAGCACGGATGGCAACGTGAACAACGAGGGCAGATACCTATTATGGCATGGTTGCAGCAACCATTCAAGGCTCTCAAGAAGTGCTACAGTGGACCCCACACTGCCGTCAATGCCTACACGTATCATCCCTGCACTTACCTGCGGGTGATCCACTAAACGTCACCGAATGCAATCGGATTTCGCAGTGCGGGCTTCAAGCTGTGTTCTCTGAATCCTTACAAACACAAGCTCATTCGTCTGTCCACCTTGAAGTATTCCGAACCACACAGACGACCGTATACCCATTCAGTATGGCAGACCAATTGAAAGACCCTTTACCGACCGCCATCGAGGACTTTGGCAACGACGAGCGCATATCCTTCTCCAAGCTTGACAACAAGTACCTGGCTGTCCTCGACGACGGCACCGAGCTCGAGTTCAGTCCGACAACCTCTACCTGGGTCGAGGCAGTAGATACAGCCCTGGAACCCCTCGACAACGAAGATGAGACCGCAGCGCAGCTAGCAGACCTGTCCAGAGCCGGCGCAGGCCCGGGCTACATCAGCGGCGCCGAACCACAACAGACCAATCCTAGGAAACGCAAAGAGTCGCCCACTTCAGCAGAAGCCGGAGGCATGGACACCATACAAGGCGGAGGCAGCGACAACAACAGCAACGGCAATGGCAACGGGAGGGCCCGCCCCGCGAAGAAGGCTAAGCCGGCGCGCGCACCGCCGCAGCCGCGCCAGAACACGGCCGTCTACGTTACTGGGCTGCCGGCGGATGCGACAGTTGATGAGGTGCATGAGCTGTTTTCGCGCAAGGCGGGCGTGGTCGCGGAAGAGATTGACAGCGGCCGGCCACGCATCAAGATGTACACGGACGACAAGGGCAATTTCAAGGGCGACGCACTCGTCGTCTTCTTCAAGCCGCAAAGTGTTGAGATGGCAATCATGCTGCTAGATGACACGGATTTTCGCTTCGCACCTGGCACGGGCGAAACACCGAAGATGCGGGTGCAGGCCGCGGACTCGAGCTACAAGAAGGTCAAATACAATGAGGACGGGGCGGGTACAGCTAGTGGAAAAGGAGGCAACGGCGGTGATGACGGGGAGGGGGCGTCAGCCCAGCCGAAGAGGGAACGAAACGATAAAGACCGGCAGAAGATCATTCGTAAGACACAGAAGATGGCGGCGAAGCTCGCTGACTGGAGCGATGACGACACGGCGGCGATACCCCCGGAGACCAACTCGAAATGGGACAAGACGGTGATACTCAAGCACATGTTTACGCTGGCAGAGCTGGAGGAGGACCCGGCAGCGCTGCTGGAGATCAAGGAGGACATCCGCGAGGAGTGCGCCAAGCTGGGCAACGTCACCAACGTAGTGCTGTACGACGAGGAGCCGGATGGCGTGGTGTCCGTGAAATTCTCGCAGTCGCAGTCCGCGCAGGCGTGCATCCAGCTCATGAACGGGCGCAGCTTTGATGGACGGTTCGTAGAGGCGTCCATAGCGACGGGGCGGGAGAGATTCAAGAAGTCGAAGCAGGGGCAGGCGAGCGACAGCGAATGATCACGGGCATGGGCGTGAGCGCGAATAAGAACTGGTGCTAGGTGTCGAGAGGCACGCTGTATTGGTAGAGCTGTATCACCGAAGACCCAAGACCCAAGACCGCGAGGGCCGATAACCGCGGAGCCTCCCTTGCGAGGAGCGGTTCATTTGCATCCGCGCCAGGTTGCCGTTATCGATATTGTCTTTAATATCCCCGTCATCCGCCTTTCGCTCCTAGGAGGTTGGGTTTTGCCCATGCCATCCTCGAGCCTGCCAAGTGAAGATTGAAGAGATCCCAAACGGGGGTGAGAAAGCTAGAGACTGCGAAAGACTATGGAATGTCCACGTAAGGAGGTGAATGACATGTGAAGCTCTAAATGCCAGGGTGTCCCACACCTTTCCTTCGGCTTCTCATAGACACAATAGTAGTCACAGGCCTAGACCGACCACTTGAACGTTCCGGGTGGCCGTTTTCTTCATTGTACTATAGGCTACTATACCCTAACTCCCCAACTCCAACCAGGTTTTTTTAATCCTACCTCCTTACAATTTACAATTTGCTGTGGTACCTAATTTAGCCCCTTGTGTGATAAGATGGGAAACTCTATGTGCTTATAAGCTCGTCCAGACGAAAGCGGTCACCAGAGCACTCGAAGGCTCAGGTGGCCCTCTCGACCCGAATCTCCGTCTTTTCGGAAATGACGTACCAGATTGCCGCTTCAATGATCCTGCATACGATGCTCAGTTCGTGGTCGTCTGTAGGTGGTGTCAGCGGCGTTCAAAGACAAGGGGATCTCATCTCATGGGGTTCTCCTCCAAGCTTGTATAGGTGCTGTATGATTAAGCGTAAACACGTCTCATCCCCCATGTCGGGGGAAAGGGGAAGAAGAATGAAATAAACCACGTACCTCGCGGGGCGTAGACCATGACAAACTCCTCCGGCACAGGCATCCTCACCAAACTCCCCTTCCACGCCAAGGGGTGCCTCTGTCCCCACCCTTTGGCCAGGACCTCACGGATGTCCTCCGGGTGCAGGTTCATATGAAGCGAGTGGTCCGAGTCGTGGACGTGGCACACCTCACCGTTGCACGTCACATTCACCGGGTGTCGCGCGAATAGCCCCAACCCGTGCTTCTCGAGACACGAGCGCGCCGTGCCGAACCGTGCCGGGTTCCTCGCTGCAAGCCCCTCCAGCGTCCGCCGCAGGGCGTGGTAGTGCGGCACCGTCCCGTGCTGGTCTAGCTGCCTCTGCGGCGCAATGCCGGCGACCATGGGCCGCGGACCGGGGCGGTAGGGCAGAGGCCAGTGGTGCGGATCGTCGTCTTGGCGGAGGATGCCCCGCTTCGGGAGGCGGTCCGGGTCCGGGTCGGGCGCCGTGAAAGGGTCCCGGAGGGCCCAGAGGCGGAACCAGGCGATACGGACGTAGCCCGGGAAGGTGGCGGGGGTACCGCCCGGGCCGAGGCCGAGGTAGTTATGATAGTCGTTGTGAACGAGGAGGAGGATGGGCAGGAGAACAAGGAGGCACTCTGCGACCCGGGGCTCGAGGAAGTGGATGATGAGGGCCAGGGTCATGGAGAGGGCGAAGATGGCCGGGCCATTGAGAGTGACGGAGATGGGCTCCTGTTTGAGAACACAGTTGACGGCGGCCTGGTTGATGTCTAATCCTACGCAGGCGTTGGGGGAAGCGCCGCCCGGCTCTTCCTGGAGGAGACTTGACGTCGACGTGGTGAGGGCGACGGACATTGTGGCTTCTTCAAGAGCCGATGAGACGCATGGGCACTAATATGCACGGCCACCAAGGCACGATATGATGGTTCAGATAACTTCAAGCACACAGTTTTCTTTGCGAGGGAGGAAAGCGGCGAAGCAGGTTATAAGTGAGAGAGGTCTGGTCTGGGGGAGGAGAAAGTTAGGTTGAGGTGTAATTTAGGTAAAGGAACCTATGTAAAGTAAGGGTGTGAGGTCAAGGTGACTTGTCACAGAGAGCGCGTGAGCCACCGGGGGTCGCAAGTCACACCTACCGCACGCAGTATGCGGGGTCGGGAAGCTGGGCGTCAAGGTGACGGTTAATTAACGAAGTGACAAAAGCGACAAACGTGAGTGGCTCGTTTTTAGCTTGATGGGAGGTTGAACCGCAACACCGCATATAGATAGCCTTTGGCCTGCAACTCTCGATACTAGGCTCGTGCGAGGTACCGGCAGAGATAGGCAAAGTTCCCGCCCCTCCCCCCAGGCGAAGGCGAATGCCAGCAGCCGCACACCTGGGACCTCGTGTCGTCTGTCGTTCCTGAGTCAGTCCCAGAGTCGACATCAGACCCGGGAGCAGAGAGGATGCTGGCAGGATGCCGTAGCAGTCGGTAGAGTGCGTTCGTTGGCCAACAGTGGCTGCATGAAGACAACACACCGCATCTGAGGAGGTCCCACCGCCAGTTCGGGTGAAGGTCACCCAGAGCGCCGGTGACGGAGGAGCTCGCTCCCTGGGACTTCCGGCGGCGAGGGGGAGAGGTCAGGAGACGGTGCTATTGGAAAGACTGACTGCTGAGAGCCGCCGGCGCCATCCAGAACAGCGAGTGCTTGTCCCCGCAAAGAGGGGCACCCTTGAGCAGTTTGACGGCAACGGATCAGCCGACTCCCCTTCCGAAATGCTGTCCATTGGCTGACGGCACCATGATGTATGTTAGGTACACTACTCCGTACACAATTCGTAGACGGGCTAAGGTCTTGGGTCAGGAGCGGCCTCGGCGACAACGGTTGGATACCGATTTTGTGCCTCGCACGGAAAACTTTGCTGAACTCAAGACTCGTATTGGCAAGTGCTCGCTGTGCATCACCTCAGACGCCATGTGACAGCGAACGACGTCGATATCGAGTCATTTTTGCAAAAAAAAAAAAAAAAAAACCCCGATTCTTCCACTTGGGTTGGTTACGTAGCTGTTTTCTCTGCATTTCTTGCCACCGAAACCGCCAGCATGCGATGATTGGCGGAGTGTACAACCGGCATTACGCATGAACCGGCATGGACCCTTGAGGAATGCGGCTCGTCGTACCTCAGCATTCTCAAGATTCGCTGAGCCTGACGAGACTACAGCTGTTGGCCATGGACCGTGTTTAGGTGAGACAGGACGCGTCAAAGGTTTGCCAATCTTATCGGTGCGGTGCCATTTCCCCTAGAATGCGGAACGAGGAGGAGCAAGCAACGGCAGGCCGTAAGGTCGGGAGATGTAGTATCCGTACTTAGCATTCATTAGGGATCAATATAGGGGTTTTGCGTCGGGAGGGCGACGCATGCGAATAGAGAGCCAGAAGAGAGACCTCAGCCACATGCACAACAAGATGACAACTGGGCATGCAAATGAATCGATATTTGCGTGGTAGGAATCTCAGCGTGTTCTAAATCTGTTTGGCTGGGGTCTGCAAGATCAGCATGGCTTGACGGTTCAGTATCCCCGCCATTGAAACAATGCCGTAGAGTCTGAAATGAGATTAGCCGTGAGTCGCAATTCGTAGGTGCAGGGAAGTTACCGTATACACTGGCGAGGTCCGGACAAAGCTATAAGCCCCGCTAGCTTAAAACGGCTAGCAGATATCCTATCACAGTTAGCGGATATACACTACGCTAACTCTGATACAGAAAGCGGTCAGCTCACCCATCCACCCACTTGCCTACCTACTTGCCCACGTGCCCACTTGCTTGACAGCCAGCCAGCCCATCCAGATCTCTGCTTTCTGCCAGCACGCCAGCCTCTTTTTAGCAGCCGCGATACCCCTTACCGTTAGCCCAGTAAATAGCTGTGTCCGGACCTCGCCAGTGTATACGGTAGCACAGCCGTTCCTATGGGAGGTACTCATTCTTAACGCTTGCCTTTCTCGTCACAGTTGGAGACTCTATGTAGTTGTCTACCTAGGTAGGGTATTATAGTGTAGAGGAGATGCATGGATGGATGGAACAAGATTCAGCGTGAGCTGGAACTGGGTGTACCTAGGCATTAGGGCCTGTACAGAAGCAGAAGCTCAGTGCCAGCTGGATGCCCTGGGAAAAGAGCCAAACGGGCGATGTTGAGACGAAACCAATCTACGCGTCCGAACATGTTGCAGCTTCGTCCAGTCTTATTTCTTCAACGTTGGGCCAGACGAGGGCTGCAACAAGACAGGTAACGATTCGACGCGTAGCGTGGTGGCGGAACGTGACTGATTCATTCGTTCATCGGTTGTACCTGCAAATGCAAGGCAATGGAAGTTGCAGCTTCCCTTCAATCGTGGTTGCGCGATGGTGGAGAGGGAAGGGGCCACTGTGTATTATTCCCTAGTCGGTCAGTCGTGTATCCTGGCCTCTCTCACTCTCCCCCCTTCTGCTCTAATTGAGCTGCTTCCGTCCTTCTTTCTTTCTCTTGTACAGACAGCGCGGTGAACAAAGGTGGAGGGAGGACATGCAGGGCTGGACAGTGTCTAGAAGAAGCACTTTCAACGGTCCTGAATTGCAGGAGCGGAACGCGCCTCCATATCAAGGGAGCCGAGCCGTAACGGGCAACCAGTCCTGGAGGCTGTCGAATGGTTGTCAGGGAGACCCCAGTCAAGCTTCGATCGAGAAAGGCGAGACCAAGGAAATAATCCCTGCCCTGCGCTGCCCTTCTCAGGTTCCACAAGCATTGGCGCGCACCTTGAAGCCTGGGCAAGCAAGCCCCAGTTGGCTGCTCGTCGCTGTTAGGCCCTGTCCAGTGCGGCGTTGTGACCTTTTCCGGCTGCAGGAGACCGGGGAAGTGGCTTCACAGGTTCGCAGAGACCGCCCACCGTCACCGTTGCTCAGAGCAACATCCAGTTGGCCAGCTGTCGTCTGGAAACCCCCACCAATTCTCCAATTGGATCCAATCTTTCTAGTGGCGGTTGCGTGGGATAGGGGGGAAAGGGCTGGGAGAGAGCTCCACACCCTCTTTTCCCCTGCCAGCCGGAAAACAATTGGGATGCCACTCGATACAGCCCACCCACACTGTGTGCAGTACCCGTAATCGTATAATTGATGCATGCCAATCACCTCTCGGACTACTACCGCCACACTGCCTAGTTTATGTAGGTATGTGTGCGTCGGTTGTGTACACGCAAGGTGAAGTACAATACCGATAGTGTAGACGTACCCGGTCACTTTATTTTATGTTGTCCCGCCGTCGTCTGGGGCGCCTCATATCCAACTCGTAGATCCATATCACTCAGGGTGGGCTGCGTTCTGTTGGCCCGAACTGCCTAGCCTCCTCTCCGTCTTTTTGATCCCCTTGTTGCGTTTTCCTTCCATATCATGTCCTAGCATCGTGCCCACCCTCCTACCTTCATCTCCATCTTTTCTTGGTCGCGTCTCGCCATCTCATACTTTGTTCTGGCCAGAGCATCTACACATATCCAACAGTCTTTCGCTGTACATTGCCTACTTGGCTCTTGCATTCGACCGGCAAGCAGGCAAGGCAACATACGCCAGCTCGTCCCTCGGGTTTCTCAACGAAATCAGAGGTCTTCACAGGGTTCCCGTGGTAAGTAACAACCTCTCGCCGTCGCCCTTCCCCACACGAGCTGACTGTAGAACCCCCAGACCCGAGCCCAATCATCAAACATGGGCATCTTCTCAAACCCGTTGCGGTCTCGCGAGAACCGCACTGGTAAACTACCCAAGTATGAGCAGCTGAGCCCTCTACGAGCAAAGGAGCGCCCCTCCAACGACGACGACGACGACGACTACTACTCTTCCGACGATGAATCGGAAGACTACTCTACTACGTCCTCGCCTAGTGCGCGGAGTTCAAGACATACCTCTGCCTCTCTCTCAAGCGCAGCAATGATGCTCCCCAAACGGGCCCTCGCGACGGCCCGCCGCCCGCGCACCCATCTTTACCGGCTTCCCAATCGCATCATTCGTTACCTCTGCTTTGGACTGGTGACCTTCATTATCCTCATGATCATGTCTCTGGTACGCGCGAGTCACGTCGAGAACAAGATGATTATGGAGGGCAAAGTGGAAAAGAAACCGGATCCTCCACCAGTGTGGGAGTCTTTCGGGTTTCTCCAAAGATATTACGGTGGCGTCAGGTCTATCGTTCCTCCTTCCAAGTACATTCCCTCCTACCCTCGCTCCCGGGATGAGCTTCCTTTGGACCAGCTCGAGATCAACACTACGGCCACTGCGACGAGTGAAGACGGCAAGGATGATGCCGTGAGACGATCTGTCCCCAAGAGCAAGAATATCTTGGAGCATCCGGGCTCTATTTTCGTCACCAAGCCGGAGAAGATGAATGAGTGCTTCATTGACAAGGACAACAAGGTTCGCGTTCCGCCAATTCGGTATCTTGAGGGTCGGCCCCAAGGATTCCCCCAGCACGCCGAAGGCTCTTACGAGATCCTAGGCCTGCCCGAAGATATTTGCTATGAACGTTTCGGACGTTACGCGCCTTACGGTTTTGGATACTCTGTCCCTGCTGGAGGCCTGGGAATCGGCGAGCATGGCGAGAACGAAGGCTCCGAAGACGTATGGGAAACCACGCCCAAGGTCGACTGGCGCCAAGTCGACTGGGCAGATGCCCAGCGCCGCTGTTACCGGGCCAACAACGACAGGTTCAAACCTATGCCTCCCAAGACCCCCTCTGGTCGTGGCTTCTTTGTCGATGAGCCTACCCAGAATGCGACACTGGTCACACGCGATCCCCTCGAGAACCTGGAGCCAAACGCCAAACCTGCCCAAGATGACAAGAATGCTGGCCAGGAACAAAAGACTGAAAAGGAAAAGACCGGTCGCACCGCTGTCGTGATTCGCGTTTGGGACGAGTACGACTGGCGCGAAGAGGACATCATGAATGTCCGTTCAGTCATTGCGGAGCTTTCGTTGGCCTCGGGCGGACGTTACGATGTCCATCTACTGGTCCAGGTCAAGAACGATGCAGCATACCCGGTTTGGGCCGATCATGAGGTTTATGAGCGCCGCATCAGAGAGCGCATTCCTGAGGAGTTCCGAGGCCTGGTTACGCTCTGGACTGAGACTCAGATGCTATCTCTGTACCAGGGCATCTTCGACCTCTTCACCCGTGGCCCTGACCTGCCTGTCCACGGAGTGTACCGCGGCCTCACCATGGCCATGCAATACTTTGCCTACGAACACCCTGAGTATGACTTCTATTGGTCCTGGGAGATGGATATCCGCTACACTGGCCACTACTACGACCTGTTCTCCAAGATTGAGAACTGGGGCAAGGAGCAGCCGCGGAAGGGACTTTGGGAACGCAACGCCCGCTTCTACATACCCAGCGTTCATGGCTCATGGGAGGATTTCAGACAGATGGCTCGTGTCCAATCCGAGATGGGTACCGACGGCCCCGATAACGTCTGGAAGAACATTCCTGGCGCAAACAAGAACAAGGAGGACAAAAACCCCGCCAAGATCTCTAGAGGGGAGAAGACCATCTGGGGACCTGAGCGCCCCACCAGCGAAGATGACTGGTTTGAAATCGAGAATGACCCCAAGCCTCCTACCACATACGAGAAGGACAAGTACACCTGGGGCGTTGGCGAGGAGGCCGACTACATTTCCTTCAACCCTATCTTCGATCCTGAGGGAACTACCTGGCTGCTGTCAGAGGATATCACGGGATACAACAAGAACAACCGAGACGAGCCTCTGCCGCCTAGGAGAGCGCACATCATTACAGCATCTCGTATGTCTCGTCGTCTTCTCATGACAATGCATCGGGAAACTGCTTTTAAGAAGCACTTCGCATTCCCCGAGATGTGGCCCGTAACCGTTGCTTTTCAGCACGGATACAAGGCTGTTTTCGCACCTCATCCCATGTACGTCGACCGAGAATGGCCTACCGAGTACCTGGCTCAGGTCCTCAATGGCGGCAAGAACGGCGCCAGCGGCGGCTCCCGCACTGCTGTCTTCGGCCAGCGGGAGCACAACCTCCGTGGTCTGACCTGGTTCTACAACTCGGGTTTCGCCCCGAACTTGTACCGCCGCTGGCTAGGCCTCAAGGTCAACAATGACGGCGGCGAGGAGTTCGAAAAGACGGAAGACCTGAGTAAGGACGGCTCTTCCGTTGGCCAGATGCGTGGCGGCGAGGGCCGGATGTGCCTGCCGCCCATGCTGATACATCCCGTCAAGGGAATTGAGATTCCGGTGGAGAAGATCCCCGAAGCGGCGAAGGAGAACGTTCCTGAATCTGACCCGAATGCCTGAAGCGGCCTTAGAGGTTTATGAAGCATGACACGTTTGCGTTACTGTTGCTTGGTCTATTTTTCTTGCTTACAGGGGCTTCTTTTGGTATGTTCAGACGGGAGGGCATGGCGTCTCGGGGTTATCAGCTTGTTGGCTTGTTGGATTCTATGACGCATGACCTGTGTGTTTTTGCCGCTCACAAGTTGGATTCGTGGCTATTGTAGGAAAGGCACTCTGCAATGGCCCTGTACATGATGTATGATGCACATAATGACTGTCAAGTTAGAGGGAGTCATAGTGGCCATAGAGTATGGCTGAAAAATCAAAGAATTTGCACCACGACCGAATATGCACATCTGGCTTATGGGCGACGATGGCTCCTTGTGATGTGATACATGTACCCCATGTGCATGTACTTGACATGTGTCCTCGGCCTACCAGTCGCTCTCGTGTGCTCAGCCACTGGCGCCATCGCCAGAGAGCAAAGTAGGCAGCGAGGTCAGCCGGTGAGCTTGTGGCCTCGCGGCTCCCAACTGATTGAATGACGTGTGGCGAGCGACTCTTAGCGTCTATCCGTCAGCAGTCTAGTCCATTCCCCGGCAAGCCGGGGCGGTTGGCTGATCTACCTAGTGTGTTGGGGAGCGTGCGCTGGCGATGCGAGTGACACAGCTTTTTCGCACCGAGACACGGGTTGACGCTGCGAGCCGGCCATCCATCTGCCTCCTCCTGCTACGGCTGCGGCTTTACCGTTCCTACCATACAAGAGCCAAAGCCAAGCTTAAGTTTGCATGCCCGAGGGGCTTGCAGACCTTGCGACTCCCACGATGTTCTGGTGGCTTGCTAGCGTGCGGGACCCCCCCTTTTTTTTTTTTTTTCTCGGATTCAGAATTGGCCGTGTTATTCATGTGTGATTTATGATACACTATACATGTCAACCTTATGACCAGAGGGCCGAGGAATTACGCCCCTTTTTTGAATCTTGCCCTCGCAGAGTCTACCAATGTTTTATGCGCCTACGACCTGTCGTCCTCAGCACGGGTATCTGAGAAACACAAAATGACGCCACCTCTTCTTAAACCACTCTCTTCACCTCGAAAAATCTGCGAAGCCACCACACCTGGAAAACGGACTCTCCGATGACCAGACCAATAACGAACAGGTTCCACCACTTCACTCTGCTGTTGGTGCTCTCGGCGGTGTTACGGTGGGTGCGCTCGCGGATGACGATGTAGGACTGCTCGTCCTTGACCTGAGCGAGGAGTTCGGAGAGGTGACGGACTGAGAGCGTGCAAGTGTTAGTTCAATTACTTGCTCGGGGCTGTCCCTGACCACCAATCATCGTTTTCTACTTACCTTCAGTCTCGAGGGGGTCGGCGGGCACGTCAGTCTCGCTGACGTAGACAATACCGTGGACGTTGAAGGAAACCTCCTTGCTGTGGGCGCCCCAGTGCTCGTTGCCGAAGCAGTATGTGTATTTTCCGTCGTGCTTGGCATCAAAGGAGAAGTCACCGTTGGAAACGCTCTTGTCGAAGGTCTCGTACTGACCCTGAGGGTTTGTGATCTGCAAAGGGAGTTGCTAGTCAGCTTCACGTCATGCAATTGCGCGCCAGCTTCGCGCCTCGGCAGGCGATGCTCTATTCTCTTACCCAGAAGTCGATGTCCAGGTTGCCGGCACTGCCAAACTCGCGGTCGCCGACCTGGAAGGTGACGGTCATCTTGTCATCGCGGTGCAGCGTCTCATGGAAGCACTCGCGGCCATGGGCGGGTAGCGCAATGTTGTGGGCCAAAGCAGAGTGGGCGAAGCCAGCTGCAAGCAGCAGCTTGGCAACCGAAGGGAAGAACATGACGGGAGCTTCTTTGCAGGAGCTCTTTTCGGGAGTGGTTCGACGAGAGATGTTAGACGCGGCTGCTAATCAGGCGGGCACAGCAAAGTCGAGCTGTTGAGTTCAAGAGGTAGGCAAAGTTCAGGGCCGGGGGAAAAGGAGCGACGTTGGTTTGTGTCCAGGCTGTTCTCCAGATCGGTTCCTAGACGTGATCCCTGTTCCTTGAGTCTGGACACTTTGGCGAAGTCTGGTTGGACTTGAGGCTGATCCATAAGGGGACTAGCGTAAGCACCGCAAAGGACCGATGCTTTTCCGACGGCTCGAAAGGTGTAGGTACTAAGATAATCAACAGAGGACCCCTGCACGTGATGCGGGTACTTTGTGCTTTAGAAGGGTCTCCAGTAGTCAACAGCGCTGGAGGAGGTGGGCACAGGGAGAACAGGCACGGATCAGGTAGCTCCAAGTGGCGTGGGCTGGTGGTGCAGGCAAAACATGACAGCGTGGGCAGTTTAAGGTGATTTGTCCAGGGCCAGAGAGAGGTACCGCCGATAGCATTCCGGGCGGGAGGTACCTTGACAGGCCAGAGGATGGCGTCCATTTGTAGCAGTGGTCAGGAAGAAGTGGAGACACGAAGTTTGAAAAACATGGCCCTTCTGGCTGCCAAAATCACCACCAACCTTGCCGAGCCGAACTTATCTTACCAGAGCCCACCCCCTCTGCTCGCCTCTATTCCACCTAAACCTCTTGACACTTGACTGTCTCCCCTCTTCACCGACAATCACGCCCACGACACCCCAAACCACCCCCTCCCTCTCTTTCTAGTCACTCTCCGTCGCAAGAGGGACACCGTGAAGAACGTGAGTAACTATCTTCATTTCCTGTCTCGTTTTGACTCGCCACTCTCCCAGCCTCCGTGTCATCTCCGCAGTCTGCTTTTCGGGTCCCATTCCCCTTCCTCGCCCCCCTCGGCCAAAGTTGCTCTTTCTCGTGCCTGCATTGGTCTGTCTGGTCTGGACACGACACCTCAGGATACGGTACAGTACAGACAAGACCGAGAAACCAACCCACCATACACCCCCCCACCAGCCCAAACCAATTCAATATCCCTATCCCCTATCCCTCCCTTCACGTCGCCTGTCCACATCCACTTTCTTCTATCACGCTGTCTCCTCCCATTTGCGAATTGCGGCAGCCTGGTCCTCAACTTTAACTTCGACCCGATCATCATCGAATCTTATCCGCCTTCTGGTCAGTGCCTAGGCAACCCTCCGTCAGTGTATCGATCCTACCCGCCTCACAAAATCTGTCCTTTCGGAGTTATCTCCAAATCGCTTTATATCCCGCCCGCACCAAAGCCTTTACTTCTCGACATCACCATAAATTGACTGAACTCGTCGCGCGTTTGCTAACACGCTCCGTCTTGCACAGGTTACTTCTTCCACTCCCCATACCCAACACTTAGACCTTCACTACAGTCCGAACCGCAATCATGGGTCTCGCGTTTTCCAAGATTTTCGACAAGCTTTGGGGAAAGAAGGAGATGAGAATTTTGATGGTTGGTCTCGACGCCGCCGGAAAGACCACGATTCTCTACAAGCTCAAGCTCGGTGAAATCGTTACGACGATTCCTACTATTGGTACGCAGATATGACACCTCACTCTCTACTCCGTGTCATCATCGGAAGTGGCGCAGCGCACCCCGCCATCGCTAGCACGTTGGCCCTGAGGCGAAGGATGGCGTGCTAACATCTACCAACCTTTCAGGCTTTAACGTCGAGACCGTCGAGTACAAGAACATTCAGTTCACCGTGTGGGATGTCGGTGGTCAGGACAAGATTCGTCCTCTCTGGAGACATTACTTCCAGAACACCCAGGGTATCATCTTCGTCGTCGACAGCAACGATCGCGACCGTATCGTTGAGGCCCGCGAGGAGCTCCAGCGCATGCTCAACGAGGATGAGCTGCGGGACGCCATCCTCCTGGTCTTCGCCAACAAGCAGGATTTGCCCGTGCGTTACTTTCCCAACCCAGCGACCGCATAATGGCTCCATTGATGAAGCACGCAACTAACATGCTCTTCCACAGAACGCCATGAATGCTGCCGAGATCACAGACAAGCTTGGCCTCCACTCCCTGAGACAACGCGCCTGGGTACGCCCCCCCTGAGCAAACAGAAATCAGAGCGCCGTCATGCTAACCCCTTTGACAGTACATCCAGTCCACCTGCGCCACCTCCGGTGATGGTCTCTACGAGGGTCTCGAGTGGCTCGCCACCACCCTCCGCAAGGCGGGACACCAGTAAATGCCGCGAAGAGAAGCCGAACGGACTCTCCTCTCTTCTGCTACTCTCTCACGTCGTCTCTGTTACGGTTGTAATTCGCACAGCTACCGGTCACAAGGCAATCGAATAGTCCATAACTCATTTTCTCGCATTTCCTCCCTCCGTCTATCCATCGCCTCCTCCCCATGGTGGTCCTGACATTACGTGAGCCACACTCCACTGGCATTCTCTTGACGCAGCAAGCACATTCTGGTCTCATAAGGACAAGTTTCGTTTTGGAAGAAAGGGGGCGTCTTGGGTTGGGAAATCTGTACAGTTCTCGCAGCAACTCTATACGTTTGCCCGTCTAAAAGTGGCGGGGAAGCCTACTCATGAACCCTGGCTTTGCCTTTCCTTCAAACTCCATGAATTGGTGTTTCTGCTCTTTTGGTGGTTTCAGTTGCCTACCATTCTCGGTAGGGGTGGGATGAGACATGGACTTGACGATGTTCTTTACGATTGGTTGGTCCCCCTATAAGGGGCAGTTTGCCTGCTTTACCTCCAGTCTTTCGTCTTTTGTTGTTAGGTATGGAGGGGTTCAGGTAGTTTCTAGCCTTGAGTTGGGACAGAATCGTTATAGACTTGTCTTCATTTGTTTAACCTCTCTAGGTTGTGTGGTGCCTGCAACCACAAGACTTTTCGTTGCCTCCTCCCGGTCCTGCGGTGATGACGTTTCATTCGGTCACACTCCTGCCTCCAATCTGGTCGAGGCCAGGCAGGCAAAAGGTAAAATGCCGCGGCTCCACCAGCAAGGCCTCTATCTGGAATGATGTCTTGCATGCCTGCTGCTACGGGCACTTCTGTGTCACAGGGATTATGGCAGAAGCTTATCGAAGACAGCAGGCTTCACCTAAAATGCGGACGGGGGCGTGCAAGGATCGGTAAGTACTATACAATATTGGTAGTGCATTCAATGGGATAATGGGTATGTAGCAGGTACAGTCTGTATACAGTACAATCTCCAGGGTTATTGTTGCGTTGCTCTTTGTGAACGCTTGCTTGCTTTATGAGAGGGGAAATCCTTCCTCTTGTCTTTCATATCCTCCGTACACACAAGGCCCTTCCCTCTCTTGTTCCGGAAAAGAAAGGAAACAAATACAAAATAGTCGTACATCGTGATTACATTGGTTATTATGATGTCTTGTCCTGGGCCACCACATCGAGCCCTGAGTTGTCCTCCTTGATAGAGACCACCGCTGTGTCACCGGACCGCAGCTCGCCGCGGATGATCTTGTCGGCAAGGCCGTTACCAATCTCGTTGGTAATGAGGCGGTTGAGCGGCCTGGCGCCGAACTTTGGGTCGTAGCCTCGCTCGGCGAGCCAATCGCGAACCTCACCGCTGACGCTGAGGACGATGCGCTTATCGTCGAGGCGCTGCTGCAACTCGCGCAGGCGGATGTCGACGATGTCGCGGAGGGCGGTGAGAGCGAGGCGTTTGAAGACGATGAATGAGTCAATCCGGTTGAGGAACTCAGGCGGGTAGTTGGCGGCGACAACGTCCATGACGGCCTTGCGGACCGACGGGTCGATTTCGCCCCCGGCAGTCTCCTTGTACGGGTGCATCGTATTCGCGCCGACAAGGATATCGGCGCCGAGGTTGGACGTCAGCACGATAATAGTGTTGCGGAAGTCCACCTTGTGGCCCTGCGCGTCGGTGAGATAGCCCTCGTCGAGAACTTGTAGGAGGAGTGCCGAGATGTCGCGGTGCGCCTTCTCGAACTCGTCAAACAGGAGGACGGCGTAGGGTTTGCGACGGACGGCCTCGGTGAGCTGGCCGGCGTCTTCATAGCCGACGTAGCCGGAGGGTGCTCCGATGAGGCGGGAGATGGTGTGCTTCTCCTGGAACTCGCTCATGTCAAAGCGGACGACGGCCGACTCAGTCGAGAAGAGGAAGCCTGCGAGCTTCTTGCAGAGCTCCGTCTTGCCGACGCCAGTTGGTCCAAGGAAAAAGAAGGACGCGAGCGGCCTGTTCTCGCCGCTCAGGCCGGCACGCTGGAGGCGCACAGCGTTGGAGACGGCCTTGATGGCCTCGTCTTGGCCACGGACCGCCTCGCGGAGGGTATCTTCCATGTGCACCAGTTTCTCGACGTGACCGGAGGTGAGCTTGGAGACGGGAATGCCGGTGACCCTCGACACGACGGCCGCGATGTCATCGGCGGTGACGGCATCGTGAACGAGGGTGTCCCCTGTCTTCTCGCCGTCCTTGGGAATCTTCTGCTCGAGGGTAGGGATGACACTGTACCTCAACTCGGAGGCGCGTCCGAAGTTGCCCTCTCTCTGTGCCTGTTCGAGTTCGATCCTGGCCTTGTCCAGGTCCTCTTGGGTCTTCTTGACGGCGTCGATCTCGGCACGCTCTGCCTCCCAGCGCTTTGTGAGCTGAGCCATCTCGTCCTCATACTGCTTCAAGTCCGCTTGCAGCTTTTCGCGGCGCTCTTGGCTGGCCACGTCCTTCTCCTTGCGCAAGCTCTCGAGTTCGATCTGGATGGTCATGATCTTCTGGTCGAGAGCCATTATGTCTTCGGGTTTCGATTCATGCTCGAGTTTAAGATGACTCGCGGCTTCGTCCATCAGGTCGATGGCCTTGTCCGGGAGGAATCGGTCGGTGATGTAGCGGTTGGAATAGGTGGCAGCGGCCACGAGGGCACCATCAGTGATGCGTACACCGTGATGGACCTCGTACTTGTCCTTAATGCCGCGAAGAATGCTGATGGTATCCTGGACTGTGGGTTCGTTGACAATAATCGGTTGGAATCTCCGTGCAAGGGCGACGTCCTTCTCAATCAAGCGGTACTCGTCCATGGTGGTGGCACCACAGCATTGAAGCTCACCACGCGCAAGCGCCGGCTTTAACAGGTTACTCGCATCGATCGACCCTTCGGCCTTGCCGAGGCCGAGCAGCGTGTGCAGCTCATCAATGAAGAGGATAACTTCGCCTTCCGCCTGCTGGACCTCGGTCAAGACCTTTTTCAGCCTTTCCTCAAAGTCGCCCCGGAATTTGGCACCCGCTATGAGCGAGCCTAAGTCCAGGGCAATAACACGCTTATTCTTGATGCTCTCTGGGACGTCGCCACGCACGATTCTCAGTGCGAGGCCCTCTAGGATGGCCGTCTTGCCCGTGCCGGCCTTTCCAATCACGACTGGGTTGTTCTTAGTCCGGCGTGAGAGGATTTGAATGGTCCTCTGAATCTCAGCGTCTCTTCCGATGACCGGGTCTAGCTTTCCTTCCTTGGCCTTGGCCGTCAGGTCGATACCAAACTGCTCGAGCGCCGGCTTCTCAGGCTCACCACCCATGTTCATGCGGTGGGTGCCGCCGGGGGGGTGAGGTCTTCCATTTGCATATGTACGAATCGCAATCGTAGGTAGGAGGTTGCCACTGTGTCTGAGGGCTGGGGACTTGCTGAATATGGCTCTTGAGATTAAGCGTGTAGATCTCGGTGATGATGACCCGACAATGCGCCGGGCCGATGAGATGAACTGCCTTCTGGCTTGCATTGTCTACTACTGGCGTATAAACCGGGTATCGCAAATCTTCATCCAAAGAACAATGCGAGACATGCAAATGACTGGGAACGTTAAGACCCGTTACCCCTTATATCATCAGGCCACTCGTTGTTGTCGTCACCAAGTTGGGCGATTTTACCTGTACGTTCTCGCACTTTCGGCGGCGTCTAGCATATTCGGAAGCTTTATCTTATCACCACGTGGTCCATGCGCATGACGGAATGATGGAGCACCACCTCCTTTTCGCCCACCTTGAATTAAGTACCAATTCAGAGAAGTCGTTGGAGCAAAAACAGCAATAGTGGTGATGCAGGACGAGTAATCAATAAGAGAGATTGACAGAAGGGTAATCGTTTCGGGCTTTGTGTAAGCCGCTTGGCATGCCTTGCCTAGAAATGCACTTCATTTTCGTTATTTTTTGTTGACGTCTAGTGACATACATCCGTTGGCCAGCTACCTAGATACCTGCTGCACCTCACCTGGGGATTCCATTGGGGTTCCATCAACTCGAAAGGTCTGGGCTCGGAAAATCGGAAGCCGTATCCCCCGGCCGAATAGGTTTTTGTTTTTTTTCCCCCCTCCTGCTGTCTGTTGGAAAAAAAAGGCGGGTACGCACACCGCCTGCCCAATTAGTGCCATTGAACGTACCGAAGGCAATGGTATCCACTCTAGCGAATCGAGACTAGCGCGTAAGAGGGTAGGCCCTATACACAGGAATTTCGAATTTCACTGCTGAGTCTCTCTCCCGAATCGACAAGCGAAGCTAACCTCTGATCGAGAAATAACCACTTCTTCTTTTTCGTTCACGATCCCCTATTCCCGCTAACCACCACAGCCCTCAACGAGGACCGAGAGCAACCATGTCGGCGAAGACGGAATCCACGACCAAGAAGTTCGGCTCGTCGACTCGGGTCGTGCCCGCCCCCTCCCAGAAGGCGCAGAAGTGGTACAACGCCGACGATGAGCCCGAGGCCAAGAAGGTGAGTTATTGCTACAATCCACGAGTGCTGCGCCTGCTTCATGCACCAATGGAGGGGACAATTGTCATCGCGAGCGGTCTTTTGGAGGAAACATTCGAGGAGGAACCTGGCAACCCGAGCGCAACACATCGAAACACGATACAAGAGGAGGAAAAGAAAAGATATCGGAGGGCTTCCAAAGCGGACAAGAGAATGCCACAACGCCAAAAATCGACTACGCAATCGCGATCCGACACGCAAGAAAGACAATCGAGATGATGGAAAGAAGACGCTCGTGGCTGGAATGACATGTCCCTCCACAAGCGAAGGCGATAAGCGCACACAATATGAGGCGACAGCGATACTAACCACCTTCAACATAGGTCCGCAAGGCCATCCGCCCCTGGGCCCCTCGCAAGACCCTTCAGCCCGGAACCATCCTGATCCTTCTCGCCGGTCGCTTCCGCGGCAAGCGCGTCGTCCTCCTGAAGACCCTCGACCAGGGTGTCCTCCTCGTCACCGGCCCCTTCAAGATCAACGGCGTCCCCCTCCGCCGCGTCAACTCCCGCTACGTCATCGCCACATCCTACAAGGTCGACATCTCCGGCGTCGACTCCCAGAAGATTGAGGAGATCTCGCAACCCAAGTACTTCACCGCCGACAAGGCCAAGAAGCAGGTCGGCGAGGACGCCTTCTTCAAGCAGGGAGAGAAGCCCCAGGTACGATTTACATCACACGCACAGCCACGATATGAAACCGCCCTACTGGCCCTCGGCTGGCTGGAAGGGCGGGATTTTGACATGACACGCGAGGAATAGAAAACTGACGGGTCGTTCTACGTTACAGAAGAAGGAGGTCAACAGCAGCCGTGCGGCTGACCAGAAGGCCGTCGACAAGGCCCTGCTCGCCAGCATCAAGAAGGTTGACATGCTCGCCTCCTACCTGGCGAGTTCCTTCAGCCTGCGCAAGGGTGACAAGCCCCACGAGATGACCTGGTAAACAGTCTTTTTCTCCGGCTGGTTTGATCTGGGTTCGTTGACGTGAGGTGCTTGTTCCGCCTGTTGCCGCGCTGCTTTCATGAATGAAAGGTAGCAAGGTTCGGAAGGGGAAAACAAAAGACTCGGGGAAGGGAAATGGGAACCAAAAATAAGAACACACATTTTTTCTTCGACCCCAGGTTTCTTTTCTTGCGGTTGAGAACATGGTTGTTGTAGACGACGAAGAACTTATGGCTGCGGGCTGGGCTGGTTTTGCCAATTGCATTTGGAAGTCGACGGCATCGGTCACATTTGGCGTCTGTAATGAGGTTCTTCAAATCCAACACACAAAGAAGATAAACCTATCTCGTCCACGAAACGTACAACCCCCACGGCGCAGCACCCGCCACGCACCCACAAACCCCCGCCGGGGAAAGGACTTTGCCAACAAAAGAAGAAGAAAATGGATGATGACAAAACTTGCTTGCATTGAAGAACGGAAAACAGGGCCCGAGAGTTACATGAGAGGCGTGGGCTTGTCCGGGAACATAAGTTGACTGGGCAATTTCCGCCTCCATGGTTTTGTGATAGACAGCGCCCACGTCACACTTTCAATGCAATGATCTCCCCTCCCGTTCTGCTGGCATTGCTATTAAAATGCGTATTTCATGTAATCCTGCCCCCTCTACTGATTTTTGTCTTTCTACTCTTGGTGCCTCACAGCTTGGCAGCTGTCATGTTGGATCCTGAGCTTAGTCACAACTCGCGGTCGACCCAGCTTTGGATCATGCCGGCTGGGGACGCCTCGTAGTGCTTCAGGCTGACCTTACCCGATGCCTCGTCTAGGAAGGTGTTGGCCTGGACAAAGACCTTGCGGGGCTGCTTGTTCTTCAGGACAACATTCCTAGCCTTGGTGCCCCAGAAGTCCATGTCGACGTCGGTCATCTCCTTATAGAAGGCGGTGCCGTTGTCGACGTCGGCAGTGGCCTTGTACACGTGAAGTTTCTGGAGGTACTTGCCCACGGCTATGAAGAGTTAGCATCATCATGTGCCCGGATCTTACTGGGTTTCTGAGAACTAACCATCGCGACCAGTAGTCAAAATCTTGGAACGGTCGAGTTTGATCTCGAGGTCAGACAAGTCGTCGTTCTTGTACTCCAATTTACAGAAGTCATCGCCAGCTTGGAGGAAGCACTGGAGGATGATCAGTACAAATAACCAAGGGACAACCCACACCATCACCACTACTAACCTGCAGGATGGAGAAACGAGCTTGGGAGTGCGCTTGACCCCACTTCTGGCTCTTGGGGTCCCACATCTCCAGAGCGACAAGACCGGCACGGGCCATCTGCAAGTAAGCAGCATACAAGACGTTGCCGGCCTCGTTGTTGATGTCTGTGGTTCCGTCGCCAAAGCCGAAGATCTTGAGAACAGGGAACTCGCAACTAAACCTATGTCAGCCAATGGACCGTGAGAGAAAGCTCGGTATCCTTACCCAAGGTACATGGCAACAAGCTCGGCACGGCACTCCTCGTACGAAGCAGCAAGACTGCCGAAGACGGACCCCCAGGTCTGACCAGGCTTGTACCAAGTGGTAACAGGCTTGTTGGTTAACGGGCTGATGGGGGGTTTCTTCTCGTCGAAGTTGAATGTCCCAGGAGAGGTCTCCTGGAGGAGCTTGCCACAACCGTGGCCTGATCTCATTAGTGCCATTCTGGTATCAGTAACAAGAGGACTCACCGGTCAGCTCGTGCAGTCCGACCTGGACCTCAAAGGCGGGGTCTCTGTACTTGTGGTACAGCTCCAAGTCTGCTTCCGAGATGAATGGGATCTTCTCGTTGGGGGCCTTGGCGCTCAGAACGTTGCCAAGGGAAACATTTTTGAAGCCCTCCGTCTGCCTAATGTCATCGTAGTTGGGGCTAGACACCAGTTAGTATCGTTGTTGACTTGCGCGGAAAGAACTCGAAGGCCGTGGTTGAAAACCACTTACATGTTGATTCCGGCAGGAATGCCAGACCCTAGCATCACAAGTCAGGATCGCCACAAGAAATTTATCGGTTTTTACATACCCGCAAATGTCAGAACCTCAAGAGACGTGAAATCGGGAGAAAGGAACTTGTCCTTCTCGAAATCTTTGCTCCAAGGAAGCAGAGGAATCAACTTGGGTGCAGATGAGACAAGCTCGCCGAAAGCACGAGTACGCTCAACTGTGACATGTTGAGCAATGAGGTCCTTGTTACAGACTTATATGAGACTTACGGTTGACAACTGCAGGTGGTCAGTATTTTCTGTCCAGAAGGAGAAAGAAGAAGAAGAAACGAGCCGAGCACATACCTGAAGCAAAGCCCTCCCACTCGCCACGGATGCCCGCGGGATCTCTATAGGTTTCAATAAAACCAATGTTTGACTCAACCTAGACTCGACCGTTAGATCAGAGCTGCTGCGGATATTCCGTGCCACTCACCATGGGACCCTTGTCTCTAATCCAGTATCTCTGGCTGTCCTTGAAGTCAAGCAGAGAGCCGGACGTGAAGGACTTCGCATAAGCCTCATGCATCTTCGCCTGGGTCTCGTTATCGCTGTTCTCTTGCGCCTTCTTGATGTACTCCGAAATGGCCTTCATCTCTGCAGCATAGTCTCCGTACACCAGCTTGATCGCCTTGTCCTTGAGAAGGCCATCCTCGAACTGGAACTCAGTCTGCTTGCCGGTATCACCTCCATCAGCGGGAACAGTGGTGACGGCAGACGCAATGAGCAGCTCGAAAGAACCCTCCTTGGTCTTGCGGAGACGGGTGTTCTCGGGAAGGAGGCCCTTCTTCTCCATCCATGCGGACACGGCCTCAATCTCATCCTTGGTAATGTGAGGGGAGTCGGGGTAGTAGGTAGTCATGTGGCCCTTGTCAGGATATCCAAGGTGCATCAGAGATTGCTTGTCGGAGCTGAAGATGGCGCCGTTGGTTGCCTTGTAGAAACGCTCAGCCTCGGGCGAGGTGGCAGCAAGAGCTGCAAAGGTCTTCTCCTCAGCTCTAGGAATAAATTTGGCGTCGCCGAAGCTCTTGTAGTTGCCGTTGTTTCCCAAGAACTGGGCAGCATACTCAAGGAAGTAAGTCAACTGGGTCTCATCGACACCGGCCTTCTTGGCGAGGCCGCTCCAATCGCCTCCGCTAGACTTGTGCAAGGCAACTATGAAGTCGTAGATGGGCTCGGATTCAGGGGAAAGCTGTCTGAGCACAATGCGGGTGCCAGCAAATGAGGCTCTAGAGGTGTTGATTAGCTCCCACACCTCATATAGCTCGGCGTATCCAACGCCGGAGGACTTGATTACACAACATCACGAGTGGAAGGATCTCCTTACTTGCTGATGAAGTGCGCATAGCGCTTCTGCTTGTCGGTGAGAGGCTCAAAGTGCTTCTCAATCTCCAGTCTCACGACCGAGGGCGGCGCATCAGCCAGGTAGTGAGTGAGCTCCTGGGCATTCATGGTGGAAAATCTCTGCCGGCAGGGTTTCGCAAACAGGAGAAAGTGGTTTCTAGGTCTGACAGTCTTGAGGGAAGTGTGAGTTGAGGAAGAAGCAACTCGCAACGAGGTCAGCCTCTGGAGGGCGGAAATGGATGAAACCCGCATGAGGAGTCGAGATAGTACGGGCTGGTCATTGGTCAATGATGAGGAGGATGAGCAGACGGCAACAGTGTTCAGACGCAGCCAACAGCGGGGAAGAGCCCCGCGAGCTGTATCAGCAGGTGTGCAGTTTGCACATGGTGCGAGCCACAGTCATTGTTTCTAAGACGGAACAGGCTGTGGCGCGTCGTGGCTTGGTAGATACGCATTGCCAGCGATTGGCTGAAAGCACCAGATTTTGGAAACAGCCTGTGAGGATAGCATCTTAGCCTGTTAATTTTGATATGCCTCAGGAACCCGAGCACCTTCCCAAACGGGCATAGAGGTGGACCAGGGCATTGGGAGCTTCAGCCACAATGAGGGGCAATTCAGGGACTTTTGTTAATGGGACGACTTATTCTTACACCAAAGCAGAAGGAGGGGCAAATGAGCAAAAAAACAACCAAAAAAAGACGAGGACATTCCCATCAGAACATTTCATCACGCACTGTAGTCTTCAACCTAGGGTCAATACGTGGGGGGGCCGGTGGGGGGACCCGAGGCTAGACGTGGGCATCTCTTTGGAGTCGTGAGTCGACTTCGGATTACACATACAGTGCCAGGTTAGACGCCTCTTTACAGCAAGAAGGGTTTCCCCATTCATTCTACCTTGAACTAAAAGAGCTGGCTGATAGTATTAGCACCTGATCGGGTTGATTTTTTTTTATATTTTTTTCTATTCTCATTTTCTGCTGTAATAAGACTTTTTGACCTAGTACTGTAGCACGCCCCTGTAGTAGATATCACATGGGTAGATGATTTGACGCTATATCCAGAGGCGACAGCGTAACTTTTAATCAGTATTAGTTTTACGGAGTTCCAGCAATATCATCACTCGTAATACTTGCTCTTTAAGTAAGGGTTCAAGCCTGGCTAGTCATCTACGACCAGGTGGCTCACCGTTATGTCTTGGCCGAGATTCAAGCGCTGTGTAAACATCATTGGCGACAAACCAAGCCGGGGACGGAGGTGAGAAGATAATTCTATGACAGAATCCCGACATATCAAAAAGATATGGATTCCTGTTCCGATACCGCATTGCTCACCGAGGGTGTTCAGTGTCTACATTTTTACCTGCCATTTGCAGAGTGCACCTGTCGGGTATCCTTGCATGCATGCTTTTGGAGACCAATGGGAGACTTCGCTGGGATCGACAGGTTTGCGCGGGCAGGCTGCATAAGCAGGCTGCAGAGTGCCCGTATCGAGGCTTGCCTGCAGGTAGCAATGCGACCAGGTTTGTTTTGCGATATGTGACATGAACCACCGATGGGCTTGTACAGTATACTTAGCTATTGTCTCGCCGCTGGTTGTCGTGATTTAGGGCAGGTCGGGTGGTCAATGCTGTCAAGAGCGGCTTTGAACGGCTTTCATTGCACAGAACTTGGATTTGGTGGCTGCTAGGCTTATATGTCTTGTCATCAACGCTGAGGAGCCCGCTCGATAAGACTCGGCCGAAGGGATGCATGGGGGACAATTAATAGCTGCCGTCTCATAGGCCCGCGTCGGTTTTCGAGTACTTCCACGTTATCATTCGACAGCACTGGCAACAGGAGGGAGATTGCTTTCCTCATGCAGTGTCAGCAAAGCAAGACTAAGTGTCGTGTCAAGATCTCATCGAGAGCTGAGCCCCTGACGAAGAAGGCAGCTGGATAATGGTCATCAAGCAGCATCACTTATTTGTCCTGCACTTTCGCGAATCACAAGGACATCGGCAATGCTGCTGCGTCTGCTGTAGGACGGATGCGGGCGGATCCCGCCCACAGGAGAGACGCATCGACCCGGCCGGGAAGGGGAGCCGCAGGCGCTGCGTGCCACGTCGAATTTGGCCGAGTTCTCGCCCGGGGAAGCGAGGAAAGATTCCGGGGTTTCCGAATGTTCGGACCATCTGCCTTGGCGTCTTGAAGCCAGCTTAAGCGCCCATGAAACTGAACACGGTGACATGGATTGCTCAGACTGAGGGGGTCACCGGGGAACATCCGCCTTGCCTCCGTGGCTTGATTCCGGAAAGGCTCATCAAGTTTCACTCGCCGCCTTGCATTCGTTATTTACCCTGTAGGGGCAATAGGGTGTTGAACAGAGCCATACGTCGTGTGCATTGCGCTTGTCCCCTCCAAGATTTCATCGTGGGCGGCTTGCCGTTTGACTTGATGCCTCGCATAAGCTAGCGCAGTACGCCGTTGGGGCTAGAGACGAGGGATCATGGCGCACGTCGCATGCCTTTGATACGGGATGAGACAGTCAGGAGGGGTTGTCGCAACCCTCGCAGCCCGGATGCCATTCGATGTGTTGGGTAGAGTACGTGGACAGCAAGACAGCCTTCTGTTGGGGCTGATTGCAGGGCGGAATTGACGCTGTAAAGATGGTCTCACAGCTAGTGGCTGGAAATCTCACACCGACAACTCCATCTCATAGGGGGGAATGAGCCGACCAATACGGGAAATATTCGCATGATTAGTGTTTAATTCCGCTCATCGTTGATAGACTCTGGCGGTTTGGCATCAAGCAAACGTCATGAGACATGTAGCCGGACAGTGGTTGGGATGGTTAGTGGTGGGGGGGCAGGAGGAGGACGGGGCACTGCTGCGCTACCGTCCGTGGGATGAGTGAGTGGTATAGTAGTTATTATGCGGTGGAATGGATGTGCAACAATGTGGTGTAATCGCGAATTCAGTCGATGCCAAAAAGCCGAGCCGATGCATGGTCCAACACGCAGATAGGTAAATCACCTAGTTAGAAGGAACGGGCGTACCCCGCTGAGTAGTAAGTCAGCTGCCGCATCACCAGAGCGGTGAGGGGCCGCCGAATGAACGGCACTGCAACGTTTCTACTCGTATCGGTACTAAGCGGTAGGGAGCACGACCTCAAGACTTTGGGAAAAAACAAAAACCCCTCATCCTTGTTCGCTCGCGTGCTATATTCCCCTGACCGTTGGGCCGGGTTCGATGTTGGGGGGGACCTGGCGGCGGGGAGTGATCTGGAGCGACCTACGGAGTAGTGCAACCCACTTGGAGAAGGCGGTCGAAGACGGAGACGGGATGGAGATGTGAGGAGGAACTGGGGAGTCTTGGAGAAGAAAGGGGGGGGAGAAAAAAAAGAGAAAGAAAAAGAGAGATAGAGAGAGAAACCCAAGAACAGCGAGGGCTGGAGCAATTGCAGCAAGCAAACTTGTGACTAGAAGACCAGGGCCTAGCGGAGTCTTGGGGGAAGGCCCCGTCGACTGTGGGAAAGAGTGGACGGATGAGGGGGGAGCGAATTGTCTCTACTCCGTACTCCGTAGACTCTGGCCCCTTGGGGCCCGACGCATTCCGAATGGCTGGAACGAAGTCGGTGTGATGATGTACGTACAGCAAAACCACATTTCCCTCGGAACCTGAGCCGTGCCGAAGGACAGGGCAAGGCAAAACAAAAGACCGGAAGATGCCAGAGTCAGAGCACCTGCACGGTGCATCCCACCTCCAGGTTGATGACGAGAGTCCAGGGTGACTGACTGGCACTCGCTGTGTAGACCCTACATAGTAGTGTACATACTGGGCCCGGAAGCGTGGGGTGCCTGCCGCCTTACACCGTGATCCAGAGTTTGTTTGCACGGGCTCGTAGGTATGCAGTCAGTCGGGTCGGTGGTTTTCTTAGGGAGGCTTCGGATTCCGTTTGATTCGTAGGGGTTGGTAGTAAGCTGTTGTTTGAGAAGGCAGCTTGGAAAGTGTACCGAATCTCTCGAGACATCCGTGCCTGCTGCCAGCTCCCTGCCATAGTGGCTCTGTAAATAGGGCCTTGAATCACCGGATCAAAATCTAGGTAGTTTACATGAGAGCGAGGAAGTGCGAGAACTGCAATGCTTGGCTGCACGCGCATCGCCGACCCGTATGCGCGTCTTCCCTATGATGTAATAATAACAGCTCCTCGGTGCTTGCCCGAAAGCACTCATCCGCATTTTTTCCCTTTAGCTGGACGAGAGAGACGGACACTAGGTCTGCTGACCCGGGCTGGATCTGCACAAGAACACAGGTACCTGGGTAACCGCGGCTGAAGTTCGGGAAAGAGCTGGGCATGTTACGTCGGGGTCCCGATGCATCTGCCGCTGTCTCGTCTCGCCCGGCTGCTTGCTGGACTTAGTGAGCTAACTCGGGCTGCTGCATTGTGTGTCTCTTCTCTCGTCAGCCTCTGCGTTCCTGGCCAATCTGTTGTTTCCGGGGGGTTTGCTGCCCGTCATCGGGACAGAGTTTCCCACCCCCCACCGAGATGGTTGGAAAATGAAATTGTCGAGACCGGGTTTTTTTTCTTGCTTGTCGAGTGACCTCGCTCCTTTTCCCAGGCCCCTGTTTTGTTCAGGTAATTATTTCCTAGTGTCTGTCTGTTCTAGAAAAGGCCGTCCCCCCACGCTGCCCACTTTCTCTCCCTATGCACGAAGTACAGTACTCTCCACATCCCATCCGCGACACCCCCCCCCCCCCCCCTCCCCCGAACCGCCCTTCCTCTTGGCTCTGCGTCTCCGCCTTTGTTTTCTTTTTTCCATTTTTTTTTCTTACTATTCTTTTTGACCTTTCTTCGTCCCTAGCACCGTCATGTCTTTTGTCGGCGACCAACTAGATTCTCCCAACTTCCTGACCGAAACCCCCGTTCGCCAACCTTTTTGGGCCCGCGATACAAGGTTCTGCGCTTGCCGGCGCTGCTTTTTGCTACTTCTGTTCTTTTCGGCTACAGCAGCAACACCTCCTCTCCCCCTCCCCAGTTTTCTTTTCTTTTCTTGCTTTACCCTGCTATTGTGCTGCAACCGCAATGTAGTGTAAAGGGCATCAACGCAGGTCCTGCAGCCTCATGTTAATGACAGGAGTGACCTGTGTGCCTTTTACGGTCACCAGCGTTGCTGGTTCGACGGAAACGAGGGATCTCAATCATTGACAATGCCCCATCTATCGTCACATACCACGCTCCAGGTACCTGTATGTAGGTAATAGCCAGTTCGCGACGGGGTATACCTGACGTTGGCACTCTTCGTAGTTTGTCGGGGATAGAAGGTTACCAATAGCCGCTATTCGTATGCTTTCACCCCACTCATCCCACCAAGCAATAACCTTGACCTCCACAGAAAAGGCAACTTACTTGACTCTTCCATTCGTCCCACGTTTCCTCCAGATGGCCACCCCTTCGCATTTGGATCCCGTGGAGAGAAAGTACAGTACATAGTTGGGAGACAGCAGTCAAGAGGATAGTGTAGAGTGCAGGGACGTAATTGTTTCTGGAGACACCCCCGCGGCTATTGGACAAGACACCCCACCCCCAGTCGTCAGTGGAGTACGGATTTCTCCCCGTCAGCCTCATAAGCCGTTTTCATTGGCTTCTCTGATGGCAAGGGGACGTCGCCATTTGGGAAAGCCGGGGGCAGCGACACGCCCCCTGTTCCCGGTTCCCTACCCTACCTGCCTACCTACAGGTACTTGCCTACCTAGCCTGAGAGAAGTCGGCTGAACCTGAGTCCAGGTACTGGAACCTGCTGAGCGCTGCCAGTGCGTTTTAGTTGCCGTCAGGCACCCCCCTTGGGTTCCCCGTTGGGTTCTTCCTTTTTTTCCTCATCCGTCCCCCAGAAGCAGCCCCGTCCTTGGTCACTTATAAAGTATAAGACAATGCCCTGCGCATTGCTCCGTCACTTGACTTTGGGTCTTGCACTTGAATCGTCTGCCCGCCGGTAGTAGAAGATATTGGATCCTTTACTTCTCTCATCTCGAATCGGCCCTGTATTTTCATATACCTACCTACATCGGCCGTTCTACTATTTTATTAGCATCCTGCCTACTGTCCGCCTCGACTCCCTGTTCTCCGGATGATGCAATAGCGTTATCGGCCGCTCCGCTCTAAAACTATACAAGACAACCACATTTGTGCTTGCCAACCCGCACGAAATCATGCTCTCCTACGACTCTCCCATGCCTGTTAATGGGCAGCCTCCAAAGTCTCCCTCGGGGCTCACGAACGGCGTCCAGCAGGCCGTCGCTTCCAAGACCCAGCCAAAAGTGCCCGGAGTTCCGACTTCCGCCGACAACGGCGCGCACGTCAACGGATCCCTTAACACCAAGTACCACCACATCTGGCTAGTGACGGGCCCGGCTGGCTGTGGAAAGACGACTGTCGCCGAGTACCTCGCCCAGGCTCTGAAGCTTCCCTACATTGAGGGCGACAGTGTAAGTGTTGCAACCCGCCTTGGCCTATTCTGGCATCTGTCTAACTCGCGCGTGAAAAGTTCCACCCACAAGCAAACATTGAGAAGATGGCCAACGGTGTGCCTCTGACCGACGCCGACCGATGGGACTGGCTCGTTGCGCTTCGCGAAGAGTCCCGCCACCAGCTGGCCGCAGGCTCCGACGGCGTTGTGCTTACCTGCTCGGCCCTGAAGCGCAAGTACCGGGACGTCATCCGTGTCGCCGGATACTACGATCGCTCCATCCTCATCCACTTTATCTACCTGTCGGCACCCGAAAACGTTCTCGTACAGCGCGTGACAGCCCGCAGTGCCGCGACCAACCACTACATGGGCGCCAACATGGTCCACAGCCAGTTCCAAACCCTGGAGCCTCCCATGGCCGACGAGACAGACGTCATCAGTCTCGACGTCAGCCGCTCTCTCGAGGAAGTCAAGCGGGACGCCCTAGCCAGCGTCAAGGCCGTAGTTGGGGAAGACGCATAAGCCACTAGCTGTCTCAAGAGGCGTACTTTGGTCGGGGTATTGTTCCTTTTTTGCGAATCATCCTACGGGATCATGGAGTTACGGGCATAGAACTACGAGCGTTGGCTTTTGGATATCACAGCGGCGTCAGCATTGGGATTAGGGTTACAAAACCGCTGGCTTGAAGAGGTCGGGCTGCATATAGTACACGGGTGTTTAGGTGGCAGCGGAGGGACTTGCGCCGTGAAAGGCATCCTCTGCCCAGCCAAGTCAAGCTGGGTGTGGGGGAGGGGGGGCTAAGTCGTGTATTGGCGGTTGAGGATAATATCAGGATGCGAGCTGACCGAATTGGGGTGGGGCTGGCCGTCAATGCGAAAGCAGCGATGCTGAGCTGGCGCTTGTTTCCTCACTCATGCAAGTTCAAAGAACCGGAGTGTTCTCACTGGTCGGGGCCCAGCTGGATGTTTTTGGTTCATCACTTGCAAGTCTTGGTTGAGAATACGTATAGCTGACGAAATATCAAACCGTCACTCATACCACCACCCACCCACCGTTGTACCTTGTGAGCCTGGCTGCCTGCGTGCACAATCTGGCCCTCCAGCAGCTCTAGACGAGGTCCTGTTCGGTCTCCCCAATACGGTCGTCAAGCTTCCCCAATCGAGATGCCTGCAGCCGACGGGGCGCGGATGGTCGGTCACCCTTGGCCGTTGGGGGATTCTTTAGCATTGGTTGGCGTCAGCTCGGTAAAGGTGTGGAGAGCGTTCGTCCGTCATAACTGGGCCGTTACAATTTCGTATTTTCCTACAGAGTACACCGAGATGGGGGAGAGGGGATGTGTAATGTCTGTCATATGTGAAGGCAGGGCGTTCGTTGACCTTGCCCTGTGGGGCAACCATCCCGGCCAAGACATCACGCCGTCGCGAAACGCTGCAGTAACATGCTTGTCAGACCGACATGCGTCGGGCAGCAGCTCTCCTCTTGCAGATGATCTCTAGGCACTCTGCATCTCTCTTTATTTTGTTTTCCCGGATTGTGACTTCGACGGGTGCCTAAACCAAGTACTTGTCTCCTCCCGACCCCGACCCCCGACCCTTCCTCCCGTATCTACACAATCAATGAGACTCTGATTGTAAATGTCGTCGAGCCATCCAGCCCGTCCGCCCACCCACCCACACACATACGCCATGGGTGAGTGTTGTTCCCCCAGTCTTAGTTGCCGCATCACGCCGGCCGGATGTTCTCGTTGATCTTGGTCGTCACCCTCCTCCCCTCAGATCTGGCCACTCTTCCCGTATCCCTCCTGGGGTACCTCTCTCCAGCCCCTCACTCATACGCCCCCATTCAGGGTGTACACATCATCGGAGGTGCATGACCATGACATCGGGCTCCTCCACGACCCTGCGCACCACCTCGGCGGCCCGCGCCATGGTCGCACCGTCCACCACGCGATGGTCCGCGCTCCAGCTGAAGTTGCACATGTGCTTCCTCACCACCCTGTCCGAGTCCTCCCCCTCGAACGCCGGCACGGCGCGCATACGGCCGATGCCGAGGATTGCCACCTCCTTGTCGACAATGACGGGCGACAGGTAGGTCCCGCCGATGTTGCCGATGTTGGAGACGGTGATGGTGCCGCCGCCGAGGTCCACCGGCGTCAGCTTGCCCGCAAAAGCCGCCTTTTGCAGCCGCGTCAGCTCCGAGGCGATGGAGAGGATGTTGAGCGATCCGACGTTGCGGATCACGGGCACTAGGAGGCCCTGCGGGGTGTCCATGGCGACGCCGATATTATGCTGGCTGCGCATGACGAGGGAGGGTTTGGAGGACGAATGGTCGATATCGACCCGCGCGTTGAGGATGGGGAACTGATAGAGCGCCATGGATACGGCCTTGATAATGAAGGGGAGGTAAGAAAGCTTCGCGACGCCTGTCTCGCCGCCACCCACCTCTGGAGCTGTTGCGAGCACGCGGTTGAGGCGGGTGCGCAGCTGGACGAGGCTGGAGAAGTCGATTTCGTCGGCGTACAAGAAGTGCGGTATCGTGAGGGAGCGCGTCATGGACTTGAACATTTGCTGCTGAGTGTTCGTGAGCGGGACGCGGGTCTCGAGCTGCGCGCCCCCGACGGGTCCCGGGGTAGGAAATGCGCCGGGAGGCGGGGCTGAGGTTGACGCCGGCTTGTCCCCGGACTCGCGACGCTTGACGAAGTTCTGTACGTCCTCCTTCAGGACTCTGCCATCTCTCCCCGTGCCTTCGATGTCCGTAATATTCACGTTCAAGGTCTTGGTGAGGTGCCGCACCGCGGGCGTGGCAAGCGAGGCATGCGTGCCCTTTGGCTGCCGCGGAGCTTCCTGTACATCGGCGCCCTGGGGCGCGGTGACCGCCGGCTCTTGTCTTGTTTGCCCATGTATCTGCTCTCCCTGATGCGTTCTCGCCTGCTGTTGTTGCGGCGAAGTGGGCTCCGTCGTGCTCTGCATGGGCCTCTCCACTGCCGGCTCGGTCGGGGCCGTCAGTGCGTCGAGGTCTTCCTGCTTGGCCCCGCCCTGGATGTCAATGTCGACAAAAGGCTTGCCGACCTTTGCCATGTCGCCAGCGTCGTAGTGTAGTTTCCTCACCACGCCCGAGAAGCGGCTTGTGATCTCCACTGAAGCCTTGTCGCTCTGTACCTCGCACAGCGGGGAGAACTCTTCGACACGGGCGCCCGGCTCGACAAACCACTGGATGATCTCACACTCCACGATACCTGCCGTTTTGGACTTGTTAGAGATTCAGTTCACTCGGAAGGCCTAGAAAAAAGCTGATTGTTATTTTTTAACTTACCTTCGCCAATGTCTGCCAGCAAGACGGGCTTGATAACCCTCAAATTCCGCGTGTCGTGGAACTGTCTGGAGGGGTAGACGCCAGCAGCTCTCGCCGCGGCCAGACGGGCCATGCTCTTGGAGACGTGCCATTGCATCCGTACGGCGCGTGAGCCGCGTTGAAGAAACATTGTGAGCCCTTTTTCGATAAGCAAAGAAGAGGAATACGGGTAAGGAACAATTCGCAATTTCTAGTCTTTCAGAGGAGGAAAGGCGAAAGCTACCCAGGAATGTGCGAACACCCGCTGCAGGACGAGCACGCTCGGCATTGTTTCTTCCCCAGAGACTCGGCTATTCGCGGTGTTCGGCCAGTGAAGGTCAATCGATCTTCCCCAATGACACAATGCGCCGAGGGGCAGCAAAAGGGTGGCCCGAGACCCGCAATGTCGGTTCAGTCTGTTTCTTAGCCCCTCTCTTGTCGGCTCTCTCCGCATTGCAGCGGCGATCCATTTTCTTATCGCCCAATGGCCCCTGTGGCTTGGAGATGAGGCGCAAGATAGGACATCGACACATGTGGCGCGAATTTTTCCACTGACCAGACGCCAGAGGGAATGACCAGACACCTCAACGACATTTGGCATTCGCATTGACTCCCCGGCCTTGTATGCAATGGCTTCAATCACCCCAATGCGTGCAATGGCCCTGTCTATGGGACTCTCAAGAAGGGCCTTCTCGTGCACCGTCTGCTCTTGCCGGCGGCACCTGAGCACCTCTCGTCCATACCTCGCTGGCAAGCCTCCGGCACCGGCACCGGCCCCGGGCGCCGCTCCTGTAGAAACGGCGAAGCCCGATCTCCCAGGGTCGGCCATCCACGCCCCGCGAGCTTACGGAAAGAAGATCAAGAACTTCACGCCCCAGCCTCTACCACGGCCCATCGGCATGGCGCACCCACCGCACCCGGAAGACAACTCAGGCGTCGATAGGAGGTCGCTGAAACAGCGGAGGGACGACTTTGTCGACTACGACAAGCACCTCGTGCGCCGTAAGGAGCTGTAAGTCGCACGCCACGGTGCCACATCGGGACTTGAGCTGACTGGTGGTCGTTCGCAGGAAAGAAAAGATGGCCCGCCCCTACTTTCGCGACTGGCGCAACATGCAGTTTCACGAGGGCAAGTCCTTCATCGCGCCCCCTCTGCCCTTCAAGGCCGACATGTCGCTCTTCTTCCCCAACTTTGTCGGCGACACGCTTGAGAAGAGCGCCAACAACCCGCGCGACACGACGCGTGCGCTGGTCGGAAAGTTGTCCGTTGTCGCCGTGTACAGCAGCCAGTGGGCCGACAACCAGGCAAAGACCTTCATTTCGCCCGAGGCGAACCCGGCGCTGCACGAGCTCCTAGCCAAGTCCCCGGGCAAGACGCAAATTGTGCAGCTCAACATTGAGGACAACAAGTTCAAGGCGTGGATTGTCAGGCTCTTCATGGGTAATCTCCGCAAGCAGATCCCGGAGCACCAATGGGGCAAGTACTTCCTCGTGCCCCGCGGCATCACCAACGAGATCAGCGAGTCCATCGGCTACCTCAACAGCAAGGTCGGCTACGTTTACCTCGTCGACAACCTATGCAGGGTACGCTGGGCCGCCAGCGGTCCCGCCCGCCCGGAAGAGCGGGACAGCTTGGTGAAGGGTATGAAACTGGTTCTTCACGAGTGGAACAAGGTCGAAAAGGCGGCGCTAGAGGCCGCCAAAGCCGCCCAGGTCGAAGAGGTAGCGGGCGAGAAGGAGAAGTCGTAGGCCGGGGCAGGGATGACAGTTTTTTAGGGTGGCTTTGTAAAGTCGACGGCGTGCGACAGCCAGGTCATGAATGACCTGGCCCTATTGCCTACATACCCATCCATGTTCTTCTAGTTTACAGTATGCACCAAAGATACCCTCGATTCGAGAAAAAAACGTCCATCAAAATTCCCAAGAACGCCTCCGCAGTTCCCTTATGCCGGTAATATCCCCAGTCGTAACGGCTTGTTGAAAAGAAACATGATGAAAACACAAAAGACCGTCGTCATCTTAAGTAAAACATGCCGCATTCCTCTGCCGCTGATCATATGAACCACCAAAACAGGAGGAAGCAAAATGCAATGAAGACGCCCATGATGATGCCGTCACGACGCTTCTTGGCCGAGATGCGGCCGATGAGGCTGTTGAGCCCAGGAACCTGGCTAGCAGCCATGGTGATTCGGCGGTTGATGCTAGCGAGGGTCTCACGCTGGATGTTGAAGCTATCCTGAACGGCGTAGGCCTGGGCGAGGACGCTGTCGGTCATGTTATGGCTGTTATCGATGCGACTACGCTCGGCAAGCATGTACTCAGCCTCGGCAGCCTCGGGATTGTTGGCACGATATTCGTCAATGTCGGAGCGAACGTTAGTGAGCAGATGGGCGCGGTCGCGGGCCTGGGCAATGGTATTGCGCAAGCGGACAAGGTCGCGCTTGTGCTCGGCGAGCTTCTCACGGGAGAGAGCAAGGTTACTATGCTTTGTAGCAGAGGAGGTAAGGGTCGCTTCCGAGTCGAGAAGGCGGTAAAGTTGGGAGATGACGTTTTCACGCTGGAGACTATGTTAGTGATGGTTGAGGTCCCGGGGGAGTTTCCATCGAACGTACCTTTTCAAGGAGTTCTTGTAACTTCGCTTCCGTTGTCCTTTCCTCCTCGGTGGGCCTTGCTGGTATATCTGCTACCGTCGAGAACTGGGAGTATGTGTGGAATAGAGTCTCGGTCTATGGAGGACGGATGTCAGGGAAGCCCGGTGGAAAGAGACACCATGAAGGTGAGGGAGCCGGTACCTGTGTTTCTAGACTCCGCGCTTGTTGCCGTAGCTGAGTCCAGCCCGTGTTGACAGAAGCTGCAGCCATGGTGCTGCGATGGTTGTTGTGGCTAGTTGTCTGTTCTGTCTGCTGCCCTCGACGTCGTTGATTCCGATGGGCTCATCTATGTCCGCATGTCTGGGACTTGTCAGCAGGGACCAGATGCAGCCTGGAGGAGCTTGGCGTCACATGGACCGTGCACCTTGAATGATTATGTAAAGGCTGCCGAGCTGCACCAAGCCTGCAGGTGCGGGTCAAGCTGCATTGGAGGTAGGTATTCAAGAACCTAGCGGTGGCAACACAATTGGGGACACAGCGAAGACTCGAGGAAAAAGGTTGTTCGGACATCAGTCTCATAATCCAATAATCCGATATCTAGGAAAGCACAGAGGCTATTGGACAGAAATCTACACGCGCTGATTTTCGCCTGGGAAACCGTTCACCTGCCCGACTTTGGAGCTCTGAAGGACCAGCACATGGGCAGTTGACAAACCCCCCATGCTTGCTCAGCATTCAGGTACCATCCTACCTAGGTAGATACCTAGGCGAGCGTATTGCACTCGGGGTAATCGGCTCGGTGGAGAGCAGCCATTGACAGCGGCCTTCGGTGCTCTCGGTGACAGATGTGGCTAAGCAGTGCCGTGGCGCATGCCAACTCCAAACCCCAAGACTCCATGCCTAGATACATTACCTACTTATGTAGGCACCCTGGAATAACATCAACTTAAAATCATTTCGTGGTGGCCTCTACAGATTAGGTAGGCATCCGATCCAAAAGAAGCAACAGTAACTACAATAGTGACCTTCAACTTTCTTTGTCCGGTTGCCTTCCCTCCTTCCTTTACCTAGGTACCTACTTTGTGTACTGACCTGTCTCTGATTCACCCTGCCGGTTCGATCCCTTTTGCCTCCCCGGATACTGGCCTACCTAACTAACTAGAGAGACTTTTTCAAACAGGTGAAGAAGAAATGAGAAAATTTCACTTGGCCTTTGTTACCTACCACTTTCCTACTTCATCCTCCTACCTGAGAGTAGTCTGTTAGTCTTCACTTACACCACCTTACCTCACCCCGTCAGTTCCCTACATCAGACACTACCTACTTAAACCTCTTCTCCCCTCGTCTTTCTGGTTTCCCACAACACCCTCGACAGACCGTTGTCGGATGAGATATCAGCGCAGATCTCACAATGCCACCCGGCCCAGCTGTCTTCGCCCAACCGGAGGCCTACCCGGGCCATCGGATCATACAACCGCACGACATGACAGCTATTCCGGTTTATCATGATACAGTAGTCATTGCAATTGAACAGCAAGGCAAATCGAAGGATGTTCGTGTCCCCAAGGTTACGATCGGCTACATGGTCATACCAGACCCTCAGAGACCGACACATATCCTCGCCCGACTCAAGATCAAGAGCGGCAACATTGCGTCTGGTAGGTTCATTCACCGTGATCTTACGATCCCTTTTAACTGAACTCAATCAATTTTAGTCCCTGAGCTTCATGTCACCGAAGGCGCCAAACACACGGATACCGGTTTGAGACGCCAAACGTCATTTTCAATCGGGTTGTTGTCCTAATTAGCACCGCGAGATCCGAGGAACTTGCAGCAAAGGCCATTGTTCAGATATGGCACAGCATTTAGGATAGAATTCGTTCCTTGAAGCAGCTCAGAGTTGGGAGGAATGTTGCCATTGAACAGATTATCAGCAACGAGACCAGTCTACGTCGGATGCTCGCAGAGTCGGTCGCCGGTAAGTATATCTAATAGCCTTATATCTGTACCATGTTTGCTCACTGTAGAACTCAGCTTTCACACCAGAGGCCTGGAATGCCATCGGACGGCGGTGGCTGCAATATCAGATCGCTTCTTCATCTCCGCCATGTTACACCAAACTATCTCGACGACAAGCCTGGACATCGGTTCATTTATTTGCGTCTCTGTTCGACAAAACCCGATACTACACGCAACTCCGACGACTTTGCCAAGTACGGCGGTAGGATTGGAGACCCATAAAGGCGAAACTGGGAACACGACCTTGCTCCGCTCAATCCCACGAACACCATGCGGCACTACATCGTAGCGCGTACGCACACCACTCAGCATCAGAAGATGGTTATCATGATTCAACTTGACGGGGTCTCCGAGAACGCCGTCGTGATGGCAGAGATAACTATCTGCTGCCTGTCTCGGACATGGAGCCTATGCTTATCTCTTCCGGATCCAACATTCAGAGTACTGAGACGGACCCCAGCGCCCTCTATAAGGGAGTGAGGACGAAACACCTACGGGATATTTGCGACAGAGCCCATGAAGGTGTTGGATTTACATTGCTCCTTCGAAAGGGCTGCAATTGGAATGTTCCAATCGAATAAATGACTTTCAAGCAACGAACATGGTTTCACTACCAGGTGACGCTGGGGACCGAAAGATGCCGGTGTTCCGACGGAGACACCGAACCGAAAGAACGACGGGATACAGCCGTGGCCACATCTTGCCTGTAAAGAAGACATGTGCTTGACTGTGCGAGCACACGGATACTTGCAGAATCAATCAGGTAACTATCGTACGTCTGGGTTGATCATCAACGCTGCAAGCAGCGTAGTTATACAGTGACCTGTATCGCCCAAGCCGCTGCAACAGCGCTCGTGAACCCTAGGATAGTGCCAGTTAATCCCTTGATAGGCCGTTGAATCGCTTCCTCGAAATGCCTCGAATTGCATCTAAAGCAGAATATTCCAGGTCCAGGAATAGCTAGGGAGCCTTTGACATTGGCAAGAGGGCAAGGAACATAGGCGAGGCAGTTAGTTCTTGCCCTCCCTCTCCCCATCGTCAGAAGGGCATGAGCAGTGTCATACTTGGCCAGTGGCCTCAAGGAAGGAGTCGTCCCCGCTATCCCAGCAGAGAAGGCATAGCATAAGCTCTTGTTGTTTAGGAAGATACTGCTGCATTAGGAAATGATGAGGAAGTACATGAGATATTTATATTCTCCTAGGTCGTCTTCTGTCTTCCTCCTGGACACGTGGTGATCTTATTGTTCATTGTACAATTTTTTACTCTAGCCTGTTTTATAACGTCGTTTGAAATCCGAATGATGTCCCTGCAGTTTGTTCCAAGTCTCCTTATAACCCCTGGAACAACAATTGTGCGTATGCCAACCACCGAACTTTTGACGCTATTTCCTGAAATTGCAGAGATATTCCTAGATGTAGTAGATGACAGTGCTTTTGAGAAAGTGGAGGAGGAGAAGCCTGCCTTGACACAATATGTTGGTGTGTGCTTTCTTTACTCTCTGTGTCAGCTTCTTCTTGTAATAGAGTGCTGTGGGACTCCCTTGTGCACAAGGTCTCATGTTTATAGTTACATGTTCTAACTGCCTTGTTTATAGATGAAATAGTCAAGGGCATGTCCCGTCTTTATTTAATAAATGAGTGCAAGAGCACCACGGCGCCACGAAGAAGGATCCCAAGAAGGAGACCAAGGAGAAGAAGCTGCTGCTGCCACCACCAACACTGCCTCTAACGCGTGCACTTGTGGTTAGCATGTCCCACCTACCTACGTGGATGCCCAGTAACCAACATTTAGTTGTTGCAACAGCCACGGAAGAGATGTGCCTCCGAAATGGAGGAGGACTCCGACCTTAATACCGTCACCGACACCACCCTGGACACCGACACCGACGCCGACACCGAAGCCTGCCCCACAGTGCGACGCCCGAAGAACGAACCGTTTTCTGGGCTGACCCAGAAACGGGAAGGCTCGTGCACGGTCGGTCCTTCCCTGGAACCTCGGTTAATCTTCGGCTTTCAGTTTTTGATTTTGCGCACAAATTCTTTTTTCCCGTTTCTGCCAAAACTCTCATATTTCGATCGATCACCTTAGCCTCTCTCACGACGTGTCGATACTAACCCAGATATCCAGCGCCACCCTCCATATCAGTCAAGATGGTGAGTGACCCTTTGCTCCTGATGCGATCCACGAACTTCGAATAGTCCCGAACATTTGCCCCGCGACGAGATTACGACCCCGCGTTCGAAGATTTCATATCTGCCCCGACGAGAAACACAAATACACTCATTTACAAGGACAAGAACCGTTCCCGCTGACGAGAAGTTATCATGTCGCAGTCGTCCGGAAAGGTCAAGGCCAGCCAGCTCTGGAACAAGAACAAGGATGAGTTGACCAAGCAACTCGGAGAGCTCAAGACTGAGCTCGGTCAGCTCCGTATCCAGAAGATCACCTCTTCTGGCAGCAAGCTGAACAAGATGTGCGTTACTATCCCCGTCCGATCCGAAAGCAATGGGAGCAATCCGAAGGATGGATGAGGAACGAGCGACTGACCGGTATTTTATCTGCCTGCAGCCACGACATCCGCAAGTCGATCGCCCGCGTCCTGACCGTCATCAACGCCAAGCAACGCGCCCAGCTCCGTCTGTTCTACAAGAACAAGAAGTACGCCCCCCTCGACCTCCGCGCGAAGCAGACCCGTGCCATCCGCCGGAGATTGTCCGAGAAGGAGGCCAGCATCGTCACCGATAAGGCCAAGAAGCGCACCGTTCACTTCCCTCAGCGCAAGTTCGCCGTGAAGGTCAGTTGAAATGGGATATCATGTCGGGAATCGATTCAGGGAGACGCGAGGAACAGTGAAGAGGGTTGAGACACATCATTCGGATTTACCAGCACAACGTCTGCTCGACATGTGTCTCTAGTCTCCCGGATCATTCTTGACAACATCCAACACTACCTAGGAAACTTCATCACTGACTTCCGATGCAGGCCGCGTAAATTAGCCGACCGCTCCTGGGTTAGATTTGGGGATAACGAAAAAGGTCATGGAGGCGTAACACGTTTTTGGCACACGGGGATCCCGAATTACTCGATGCATTGCATGGTCATGGAGGGAAATAAAAGGGTTTATTTGCGCTTTGTTATTTCCCCCCCTAAGTGCTGCAAAAACACAAATGGATTTCTCTCAAGACGGGTCAAACACATTGGCAAAGCGAACAAGTATGGATGGGGCTCGCAGAAATCCTATTCTTTCTGTCTCTCCCCATACAGCCCCCTTCTTTCATGTTGTAGTGGGAGGGAGATATTTCCCCGAGTGTGTGTTGGTAGCATAGAGCTGCCAAAAATGTCAAATGGGGCCTAAAGATGCCCCCGACTTCAGAAGTTTGCTCATGTTTGATCGTGCTCTCTTGCACCCAGGCCCAGTACTCTGCGCTCTTTAGTCCAACTCTCACCCAGTCCCCGGATTATACATATAACCTTGACAAGTCGTCGGGTTGGCTTTTATGTTCCTCTAGTATTTCAACGAGACGAAGCTTGTCATGGTCTAAGTCTTCAGTCTGGTTCTCCATGCACGATCTATTGTCCCGGCTTACTGGTATTTGATAGCCGGGGGTTGCCCGCTCGACTTGTCCTTTGGATGTTCTCACTGATCTGATGATAAGCGTTTCTTTATGTTTGCGCAGTGTGTCAACAGTGGCCAAACCGATGACCATCAGCCATTCCCCATATGGCATAAATACGATAAACTTGTCATGTTTGGTCGCTTCAAAACCTGTGAGAGCTGTGAGAGCGGTTTCCGATAATTTTGCAGAAGATGCCGGTATCACCAATCTCAGATGCACCTTATTGGACCAGTCTTCCTCGCTCACCATGCATTTAGCAGATATGTTAAATGGAAAACTTGAGGCAGCCGAAGTAGATAGAGGATGAGTGAGACTTGTAAAATATATTTCGGGTGGTGTCATGTTCACACATATCTTATCTGATAAAGCCAAAAGATACCAATGTAATTCTGTGACGCCTTCCGTTACTTGCGGTCTCGTATCTGGAAAGGTTGATCAAAGAATCAATTCACCTATTGAATAGCTCAAACGTTAAACTTCACATGAGATCTGGCGCTGGTATATCCAATAACTCTGAAGAACGAGAAGCATACAAGGCGACCATATAGGCAGGCTTCTATTCATGTTGGGAGCCAAACCACTTATACATACTATTCGCGGCATGGGATGTTCCCTTTGGAAATCCAAGATTCTAACCTGCCTGCCCGCCCTCTGTTGTCAGTGTCCCTTTACATCTATACAAGACAAAACCACTTTATCGCAGTGGGCTGATCTCCATTAAACTCGAGAATTGGTTAAGATCGCCCATGGTTTTACGGTGGGCACTCTCTTCCAGCATTTCCGCCACAGTCACCAACAGACCTTCTCGCCTTGGGCACGCACCACCTCCATTTCTCCCAAAGGTCATTGCCTCTCAGTTCCCTGAGGCCGCCGACCAAATATGTCGAGACCAATCTATGAAGCCGTTCAAACTTTGACGATGCCTCACCTCAAGCAACCCGGAGATCGCTGCAGTTCTCAACAAGTCAGGATAGAAAGTCTCCTCATCAACACCTGACCTCTTGTTTCTTTCCGCACCGACGTCACAATCCAAATCGCTGGTGCATGCGCAGCTCAAGAGCAGTAGTTTTGATCTCTGACCAACCCACCCCTCGTGCAGACCCTTGGCAATCTAGGGCTATTACCGTCTCTTCCCTCTTCGCTCGGGCACTTTCAAACACACGCAGGACAATTGTTGTATGAGTTGCTGCAGTCTAATGAAAACAAAAGAAAGCTTGAATTCAGAATCCCCTTTTTAGTGTGTCCAAGGAGTTCAAACTCCAGCCATGCTCATAAAGTACACACTACCTAGTATACAGCCAATATCGCGCCGCCCAAGATTATGACTCCAAACCTAGACACCGCCAGCTTCTCAGAAAGCCATCTGCTTCTTGATCTCGGCAATAGCCTTGCCAGGGTTCAGGCCCTTGGGGCAGGCACGTGTGCAGTTGAGAATCGTGTGGCAGCGGTACAAGCTCATCGAGTTGTCAAGGGCGGCCTTGCGCTCCGCTGACTTCTCATCACGCGAATCGGCGAGCCAGCGGTATGACTGGAGAAGGATGGCAGGTCCGAGGTACTCCTCCGAGTTCCACCAGTAAGACGGACACGAAGTCGAGCAGCAGGCGCACAGGATACACTCGTAAAGGCCGCTCAGCTTCTTTCGGTCGGCGACACTCTGACGGTATTCTTTGCCCTGCAGTCAAGGTTAGTCCAAACTGTCATAATAAAAAGGTGTACTCTACCACGTACATCAGGGGCAGGAGTGGTTCTCTGCAAGTAGGGCTTGATCGAACGGTATTGCTTGTAAAACTGGGTCAAGTCGGGAACCAGGTCCTTGACGACGTAGGTATGAGGCAGAGGGTAAACCTTGATGTCTGACGAAGACTCCTTGGGAATACGGCCTATCAGATGACATTAACATTATACTCTTCCCCGGTATGTTGAATTCATTCGTAGCAGGGGGGTTGGTTGCCGTGCTTCTAAAAACCACATACAAAGGCAAGCCAGCGTGTTTTGGCCATTGATGTTCATGGCACAGCTACCGCAGATGCCCTCTCTGCAGCTTCGGCGGAAGGTCAGAGTAGGGTCCAACTCGTTCTTGATGCGGATCAACGCATCCAACATCATGGGTCCGGTCTTGTTCAGGTCCAGCGTGTACTCCTGCATGCGAGGCTTCTCGGTCGGCGTGTCGGGGTTCCAGCGGTAGATGGTGAACTTCTTCATCTCTGGCTCCTTGGTACGGGGCACACGATCGCTGGCGGTTGCCAGGCCACGACGAGGGACGGTGACGGCAGGGCGGAAGGCAACCTTAGTGGCCGAGCCCAAGACTCGGGAGGAAGAGCGGAGAGATGCCATTGTGGCTGTTGAATTGGGTAAGAGTTGGAACAGACTGATGCAAGTAGTAAGAGTAACAGTAGGCACACCAGATGGAAGTGAGCGATTCCAAGTAAATGGCGGGTCGCGGTGTGGGAAGGCGGCGGTTCACCGTGATATTGTTATCCTTGGTGGCGTTCAAGTGAAATGATAGACATCATGGAAGTTTGTCAATCCCTCGGTTATTGGAAGCGGCCGGAGCAGGAAAAGCGGGTCTATGACCAATCATGAGCGAGTGATTTTTAACCAATCTCAGAAGTGCGGCTATTTGGCCTGTGCGGTTTTCATGGCCTATATCTAACCACTTCAAGAAGTGAAGAATCCAGTCCCAGATACACACCCAAAGTCCACCAATCAAATCGACACATACCGCCCGACCCCAACGTGACAACCACTTTGAGTGAGACAGAACCTCAAGACGCAAAGGGTCATGATGAAGAGAGTTGGCGAGATAGAAAAAGGAAAGTAAAAAAGTGGATCGAGTGGGCTTCCTAGCTTACAGAGGCTCAACTTTATTTAATCCTGTGTCAACTACCTCTTTCTTGCAGCATCGCCAATAGGGGCTCGATGGCCTGTCATGTGAAAGAAAGGGTTAAGCCGACGGAAGTCGTGCCTCATTTGATGATCAGCCGACCGTGTTTGTCTCGCTCATACCTCTCACGGAACAACCCGCCGCTTACCTATAAGGTTTAGTCGTCGTGATGAGACTGTGGAAAAACGGGGAGCTTATGCCGCACTGCTTTCCAGTACCTCTGTCACCAGTCGAGTTGATCTCGGAAAGTCCAAATGGGTATTATATCTATCAACGCTATAGGCTCTATTTTCTAAAGAGGCTTACTCTAGGCAAATAATTCCTTCCTACACACCTACGTTACCCGTGATCCTCGAAGTTTTTCTCGGAATTTAGTTCAACGCCCAGTACTGCTGAGAAGGTCACCTCAAACACTAGTTTCTGTTGCTTATCCCTCCATACCCCCCTACTTTAAGTCTAGGCACTGGTTACAACTGAGGAAGCAAGCACCTTTCCATCTGATCTTTCTACCTACCCCAGTACCCCATCTCGGAATTTGACGGAACTTTGCATGTGAACTTGGGTACGAGTACACGTACCCTATACTGAGTTTACAGTTGAGAGTCGGAGTTTATTCTCAACCATAGAGGCCAAGAGCACTTTTTAAGATAGTGAGGTACTAAAGTATGAACCTGGCGTTGGCTAGCTGGTCTACTTGTAATGCCTACCACCATCTAACCATCTCACATGCCCCCCGGAACCAGCTGTGGCTTGCTTCGAGGTGTGGCGCGCATCCACCAGCCACACCCCCTCATTCAACCAATCATTAACAGTGTGATTACCCGAGGTGCCGAGCTGGTTTATTGCTGAAGACGTGCGAGGTTTGCCGTATTCCATCCCGTACTTTTCCCCATACACCGGTTGTAGGCCTACCCATCACTTAGAGTTTTGGAGACCAATTCGAATCGACGGCAAGTGTTCGAAGTGCATGCAAATCTGGAGTCCTTTCACTAACTTCCCAGTTCCAGGCCTGATTTCCCTCTTCCGATAACGGTCAGTAAATGATCCGTACACCCGGCCCCAAACGAACCTCCCCCATCCCAACATCCTCGGCCGCCACCCTCTTCCCCTCTGTTTGTCGCGACACAAGCATTCATACGTTCACAAAGAGAGCGCCTACTGATACTTCAAAACAGTGTACGCATCCACCATGGCCTCATCAATGGCGTTGAGGAGATTTGCTGCCAAGCCTACTGTACGTTACCTTCTGATCCGGTTCACCCCTTCGCAACTATGCCATGGGAATCGCCTTCGAAGAGCAGAGCTAACTCAACCTCAGTTCTCGCAGGCGCGTGCATTCTCCACGACCAGATCTGCGGCACGGGTCTTCGCAAACCGCCCTCTCCGCGCAAAGGAGGCCTCGCCCTACCTTTCCAGCAAGTACCCTGTCATTGACCACGAGTACGATGCCATCGTCGTCGGTGCTGGTGGTGCTGGCCTCCGTGCCGCCTTCGGTCTTGCCGAGGCTGGCTTTAACACAGCCTGTATTTCGAAGCTGTTCCCTACCAGAAGTCACACTGTCGCTGCTCAGGGTGGTATCAACGCCGCCCTGGGAAACATGCACGAGGACGACTGGAGATGGCATATGTACGATACTGTCAAGGGCTCGGATTGGCTCGGCGACCAAGATGCTATCCATTACATGACCCGTGAGGCGCCCGCCTCCATCGTCGAACTCGAGAACTATGGATGCCCCTTCTCCCGAACCGAGGACGGAAAGATGTGAGTAGGAGCCATGAGCCAGATCGAAGTGACGTACGGACGCTGATATATATATACCTTCTCCTATAGCTACCAGCGTGCTTTCGGTGGTCAGTCTCAGAAGTTCGGCAAGGGTGGCCAGGCGTACCGTTGCTGCGCTGCCGAGGACCGTACCGGCCACGCCCTTCTCCACACTCTCTACGGACAGTCTCTCCGCCACAACACCAACTACTTCATCGAGTTCTTCGCCCTCGACCTGATTATGCAGGATGGCGAGTGCCGCGGTGTCGTTGCCTACAACCAGGAGGACGGCACCCTGCACCGATTCCTTGCTAACCACACTGTTTTGGCCACTGGCGGTTACGGACGTGCTTACTTCAGCTGCACATCCGCCCACACCTGCACTGGTGATGGCATGGCCATGGTTGCTCGCGCCGGTCTCCCCAACCAGGATCTTGAGTTCGTCCAGTTCCACCCTACTGGTATCTATGGCGCTGGCTGCTTGATCACCGAGGGTGCCCGTGGTGAGGGTGGTTACCTCTTGAACTCCGAGGGTGAGCGCTTCATGGAGCGTTACGCCCCCACAGCCAAGGATCTCGCCTCTCGTGACGTCGTTTCCCGATCTATGACGATGGAGATCCGCGAGGGCCGTGGTGTTGGTGAGGAGAAGGACCACATTTTCCTCCAGCTTAGTCATTTGCCCGCCGAGGTCCTCCACGAGCGTTTGCCCGGTATTTCCGAGACTGCTGGTATTTTCGCCGGTGTCGACGTTCGCACTCAGCCTATCCCTGTCCTCCCCACCGTCCACTACAACATGGGCGGTATCCCAACGAGATACACCGGTGAGGTTATCACCGTTGACGAATCCGGCAAAGATAAGGTTGTTCCCGGTCTGTTCGCTTGCGGTGAAGCCGCCTGCGTCTCCGTTCACGGTGCCAACCGTCTCGGTGCCAACTCGCTCCTCGACCTCGTCGTTTTCGGCCGTGCCGTTTCTCATACCATCCGCGACAACTTCACCCCCGGCACCAAGCACAAGCCTATTGCTGCTGATGCTGGCGCTGAGGCTATCGAGACTTTGGACAACGTTCGCACTCGCGAGGGTACCAGAACCACTTCTGACGTTCGTCTGGCTATGCAGAAGGCCATGCAAACCGAGGTCAGCGTTTTCAGAACACAGGAGTCTCTTGATGAGGGTGTCCGTAAGATGACCGAGATCGATGCTCAGTTCCCCGATGTCGCCATCAAGGACAAGTCCATGATCTGGAACTCTGACCTCGTCGAGACTCTTGAGCTCCGCAACCTCCTGACTTGCGCGTAAGTTTCATGCTGTCTTTGTTTTCATGCTGGGGATGCTAATCGTTTGTCAGTTCTCAAACCGCCGCCTCCGCCGCTGCTCGTAAGGAGTCCCGTGGCGCCCACGCCCGCGAGGACTACCCCGACCGTGACGACGCCAACTGGATGAAGCACACCCTGTCCTTCCAGAAGAACCCACACGGCAAGGTCGACCTCGGCTACCGTGGCGTTATTGCCAACACTCTGGACGAGAACGAGTGCAAGGCCGTTCCTCCTTTCAAGCGTGTGTACTAAGTTGTTTCGATTAGAAATCGGTGTCGGGTGTTCTTAGGAAACTGGGAATGTGTGAGAAGCTGGAAGTAGAGGAAGAAGATGGAGACGGGTGGGCAGTGGAAGGCATATCAAGGCATTCATAATACCACGACGAACAATTTAGTTAATGATCGTGGGTGAGCCATCTGGGTGATATCGCTACCTACCCTTAGAAACTAGGCTTTTAGGGCTGGTGCATACACTGCAGGCTCTCGGGCTTTGGCTCTGGAGTTAAAAACGTGTAAAGTAGGAGGAAAATTTCATTTTGCATATAAGAGGTTAAGAAGGCCTATGGCCTCGTACTGTGTGTGTATGTCTGTGTATGTGTGTGTGTGTGTGTGTGTGTGTAGAGCTTCTGCTGGCAACGACTTTCACTTCGGCCTCAGCCAATACACCAGCAAACAGCACCTCCGTTACACGACTTCAACAACCAATGGGTACGTGACTTTTAAATGGTTCTGCAGTAGGTGTTTAGAAGCCGTCACGACCTTGATAATGGATTCAACTATACCATCTTCGCCGGTTGTCGCCGACGTTCCGGCACCCAAGTCCGCGTATGCATCCAGGCCATGGTTGAAGTCAGATTCAGCAGTCGTTCTGCATTATTGGGTATTCCATACCGTACCCTATTAAGACATTGAGATGTGGCACAGGTCGGAGGTGCCCCGTAGCATATGATTAGATTTCGCTTGGTATCGTACTGCTATACCGCTTCCGTCCATGTCTATTCGACGTGGCAACCGTAACTCATTACTCGACACGTAACACTTTTCTCTCTCGCCCAAAATATCAGTCGAATGCAAAGTACGCCCCTGTCTGTTGTTTCTTTCGCTGCCGACCTGAACACCGAAGCCTGGTATGCCGTCGTGAACCCGTCTCCAACAAACGCCGGTCCGGATTTTGGAGCCTCCAAAGGTATCTCATAAGACGTTGACAAAAAGTGATCCCTGCCAACTGTCATGCGTAAGGACCTTGCCCTCGAAGAAAAGGAGCAAAAAAAGAAACCCAAATTGACACTCCCCACCGCGATTCAATCATTTCGTATTCTTCGTGACTCGGCCGCCCATCGTCCTTCTGATGATTTGCGAAGTTTCAATGTCCATTGCAGCGCCGCCGTTTTCCTTGGGTCTATGAGTCTTCTCGTGCCTTCGTTTCTGGTCAAGTCTATGGAAGTCCTTGTCGCAGAAATCACACTTGAATGCGCCTTTGACATTGTGGGTTTTGCGGTGCTTGGACAGGTTGGAAGACTCGCCGAACGCCTTGCCGCAGACCTCACAGCTTAGAGGCTTCTCGCCTGTATGGGTTCGCATATGCATAGCTGTACCATGGTTAGTAATTGCAAGATGCCTTATGTGAATGTTCCACTTACTTAGCGCGCTCTGTTGCTTGAAAGCAGCATCGCAGCCTGGATGCTGACATGCCCACGGCTTCTCTCCAGTGTGGATGCGCATGTGCTGAGCAAGGGACTGTTTCGCAGATAGTGCCAGGCCGCAGATTCCGCACTTGACTGGCTTGACTAGAGACCAGATTATTAGAAAACCTCGTGGTCAAGAAGGATAGCACAGCAACTTACAACCAGTGTGCGTTTGCAGATGTCGTTCTAGCTTGCTCTTCTGCGTGAATTGTCCGTCTCGAGAACAACCCTCCCACCGACATCTAAAGCCATTGTCTGTCTTGTTCAAATGTTTGAGATGCTGCTCGCGGCAATGGTTCTGCAGGCCCTCATCATCTTGGAAAACCAACCCACAGATATTTCCTCCCCCTTCATTGTGCCACTTGCAAGCGAACTGTTCCGACGTGTTGGGGCTAGCCGCAGAAGGGAGGGTGTTGGGGGACGTCACTGGTGATGAAGTTGTCAGGCGCCTCGAGATAGAGGAGTTTGAAGATCCTCTGTTGGGGAGAACTTTTGCAGAGACTTGGATGTTGCCCGGTGAGTGGGAATGAGTATGTGCGTGCTGATGTTGGGAAGCCATCAGAGGCATTGTAGGTGGGTGTACTTCCGAGAAAAAGTTGATTGGCTCTCCTTCTGTGTGCTGGTGCTGATGTTGCGTAAAGATATGCTCGATAAGATCCGCAGTATTGTTGAATTCAGCGCCACACGCAACAAAGTTTGTCTGGTCCGAGGGCACGCAGAAATACTCCTGACCTGGATGGGTGAACACCTGGTGAGGTATGGGGCACTTCTTGTTGTCGAAAGGTAGATTTTGCTCCATCAAACAGGGACGCACACAGGCCCCAGAGGAATGCTCATTGGCAATGTGTGCCGCCCATGATGCCCAGTCGAAGTTGCCGTGCATACTTGCGTCCATAAAGGTGGCAGGAAGGGAGTCCAGATCGCATTGATAGAATCCATCCATGTTCATTGATTGGGCCACCGTTGAGGGCAATCCCCCATTGTGAAAAGAACTTTGGTTGGCCGTTGTCATCAACCCGTTGTCGAAAGAGCCCTGGCCTGAGAAAAACTGTGAAGTTTGCAGGGAAGACATCGAGGAAGTAGCCATCGCATCTTGACCCAAGGAGGTCTCTCCGCCGAAAGATGCCAACACGCCGGCAGCGACTTTGTCCTTCTCCGAGAGCGAGCGAGACAGACACTCGACGTCTTCACAGGAAGCAGCCCGCTCGCATTCATAGTCGTCGCAGGCTGGGCCGCACTCGGCATCTCGACAGATGTCACCGGCCTCGCTGGCACCACAGTCGCTTGCACACTGATTACAGTCCAGACTGCTGCACGCCGCCGAGGTACTATCATCCTCAACGTTAGGACTGGAGTCGGTGCGGATCATGGCAGCGAAGTCCACATGGGCGGTTGGCGACATGAGGGCATTCGGGCCAAAGCCCACAGGCGACTGGGCCTTGGTGTCAAAGAAGTTGGGTAAACCGGGCATTGTAGAGATGCTGTGATGTCTTCGCTGAAGCATCGGTATCGAGTTCAGGTTGATTCGAGGGTGGTTATGGTTGGGTACGGGGTGGTGCTGATGATTGTTTTCGGGGCCTCTGCAGGCGATGTGGTCGTACTTCAAGTCCAGACAAGATTCGTCATGGGAAACTGAGAGAGTCCCGCCCAGAAAATGATCGTGTTCGTGATCTGGCATCATTGTTGAGTAAGGCATATTGAAAAGGGACTGATTGAGATCGAAGGCCGTCGGGAAGCCATTTTGATGGTCGTCCATGGCTCAAATATGGCGAGGACTTCCAAGTTATCCATGCGCCCGAGGAGTTCCCACGAGGATCACCGCTGACAGTGGCTTGGACCAGTAGGAGGAAAGTGCTTGGAGAAGGGAGGCAAGGGGGGGGGAAGGAGAAGGAAGAGCCGCCAAGGTAAGACCCGAGAAGATCTGGGGCGGGAGGTTTCCAGTGCTCGTGGCGTGGAGATCCAATAACGTTCTGACGAAACAGGGGAATATGAGAGCGAAATGGCAGTTTGGGAGGGAACGAGGTGAGACAAGACCAGGCAAGACACCCGGTGACAAGGTTTGTAGTGACAAGAAGCCAAAGGCCCGGATCGGACTGGACACCAGTGATTCCTCAAGGAACCAAAGGGAAATCAGCAGCTGTTGCCGTTCTTCCTCTGAACCCACGTTGTGGGAAGGCGGTGTTGCGGGCGCGATGCCTGGGTAGTCGTGTGTGGTGCGGTGCGGTGCGTGAGAACCTTGATGGCCTCTGGCGCGAAAATGCGGCCTCTCTCTCTCTCTCTGTCTGGTGACGGAGGGGCTAAACTGGCCAGCGTAACATTGGAATCCCTGTCGCCTCTGTCAAACACTGCAAAATAGGTGGCCATGATCTAATAGGACATACCTGTTGGTCTAGCTTGATATTGTAGCGACGATGTTGCGTCGAGTCTCTTTTTTTCTAAAGCAATATTGAGGATTGATTCGGTCGCCCAGAACAAAGTGTGATTGTCCCGCTTCAAGGGCTGTCCAAAGGCGATGACCCCTCCCCTTCATATAGTCGGCATCGACCCTCCTGGCCCAAATATCTGAGAACCTTATTTCGCGAAGTGATGGTGGGCATGTCGGTGAGATCTCTTGAGATCTCTCTCATGCGTCTCTGAATAAGGCGTTGCCGCCAAGCACCACGACTTTCCTAACCTCAAGAGAGGCTGACATGACAGCATGGGGGGTGCGGAACAGAGACCACAAAGGGGCTCGTGGTAGGCAAATGACCCATATTTGTGGCCTTTCCCAGCGGGAGAGTAGCTCCTCATTGGCTAAGTTGATATCTAAGGGCTATACGTAAGCAGACATGTATGAAGCCCCTTACTGCGTTGTTTGCTCTGGGATCTGTGCATCGCCGCCAACCGGCCCTCGTCCAAACCTACCCTGACCGTCATCCTCGCACCCACCTCTCTTGACGTAAAACTTGAATACGCCATCGCCTGGTTATCCCACGATCTGCATGCAACTCTAACGCCTCAACTGATGGGGGGAAAAGAAAAAGAATGAGAAAACCCCGCCGTATCCAAACCCCGCTTTGAAGAGCCATCAACCTTTGCCGGCACCAGCCGCAGTCAGGGAAATGGTCATCCACGTACGTTGCTGCTCGTATCGCCCCTCAGTTAAAGCTCGTGGCTGCATTTCCATTGAGCTCCAAGATGCGCCTTGTCGGCCCAGATCCGATGGCTAAGAGCTGTCGGAAGATCTACAAGCCAAGCTAGCTCTCTGCTAGCTGGTCAGTTGCCCTGCAAAAGTCGAAAAGTCTAAAATCGCACGTAGGCTGTAGCAAACGAAGAAGGAGGGGGAAGAAACGCATACGACACCAGCAGAGCAGTGACCTCAACTCAATATCAACCACCCCCGTGTGATTGTCTTGAGTGAGATGGCACCGAGGGGGGCTTGAACAGAAAGTTCGCCCGCTTGGGATCTGGAAATTCTCGCCATGTCCTTTGTGCAGCTTACCTGTTGTATCCTGACGCCCAGAAGAGCTACGCCTGTGTTGGAGTTTTGGCCATTGGCCAATCTTCTTCCCTTTTTTCTTCATTTTATTTTATTTTATGTACTTTTTTTATTCAGAATTTTGGTCGCTGCCCCTCCGTTGGCTTACTTCTTTGGGAGTGCTTACACAAGGTATCCGCCATAGTAATGCTGTCTCGGGCCAAGGACCCCGCCCCCGCTGTAGCCTGTAGAGAAACCAGCCTAGGGAAAACATGAGTGACTGTCACTGCGCGGCCAGAGGACAGCCACGGGGGGTCCTTGTCCACTATCAACCCCAGCACCGCTAGCGTCATCCCCCTCCGTCGGGTGGCATGGCAGCCAAGCCGAGTGTGTAGTGTACGAGTAGAGCGTCGCAAGTCTTGGCTTCATATCGGTAGACGAGGTTGCCTTACGCGGCCACTCTGTTTCCCCGACCAAAACCAAACCCCTTTGACTTCTTTCCTGCATGACCTATTCTCCATTCTCAGCTGCACGATGTGCGAACACTCCCATCGCGCCCACGAACCTCGCAGACGTCATACCACTCCGTAAAGGCGCATTGCGACTGACGATCGCGTACGCCCGGAATCCCCGCCTTCCCGGAATACCTACACTGACGTACACTCCGGCCCCGAATTGACCCATCGCCTCCGCATTCCGACTTCGCCCCCGTCACCCCCCCCCCACACGCGAGCGACTTGCATCGAAACCCCCCTCGCCCGCCTGCACAATCATAACCTGACTCGGTCCCAGAACGCAAACGACGCACCGAGAACCGTTACACATCCGGGCACCAGAACCTCGAACTTCCCGCCGTCATGGGCTCCGTCTGCGGCAAGGAGGATAAGGAGGACAACTTCACCTCACCCGGCCGTCCCCTCGGCACAGCACCCCCGCCTCAGCCAAAGACCGCGCCCATTCCCTCCAGGGTCGGCGGACCCCCGCGGACCCTCGGCGGCGGCGGCAGTGGTGACGGCAGTGGCGGCGGCGGCGCATCCGGCCAACAGTCCGCCGACGCGGCCGAAGCGAGGCGCAAAGCCGCTGAAGCAGCAGAGGTAAGCATTCCTTGGCTCTTTCCCCCCCCCCCGCGTCCCCCACATTTGCATGCCCTCGGCCTCCACGGCGCACGCCGCCAGTGGACCACAGCTCCTAGAGCATCCAGTCAGCTGACTACGAGATCTCCGACAGGCCCGGGCAAAGGCAGCGAGCAAGTCGACGGGGAAGCTGTCTTCGCAGCTCAATGCGCAAAAGAAGCAGACCCAGACCGACCTGCTCAAGGATGCCAGCGCTCAGCAGCTGCGACAGAGGGACGCCGATGCGGCCGCAGAGGCGAGAACGTATAACTAAGGCCGAGATACATGCGACAAAGGTGGCAAGCTAAAGAGGAGGATGAGTAGAGACAAGCGTTTAGGGAATTTTCTTTCCAAGCTGAATAGCGGACGTGGAGGTGCGCGTTGTTTTGACAATACATTGTTGGCTTCTGTTTTCAGTCCCTCTTTCATTGTTGAACATTTCCGGCGTATGGGGAAGCAGGTCTACGTTACTTATTACACATACTTCTGGACTGACTGGCCCGAGAGCCCAAGAGATGTAGTTGAGCGCAGAGCACCTTTCAATACAATGTGGTTTCACTTTCATAAAAAATAAATAATAAAAAGGGAGAATCAAAAGCGACATCTTATAGTGCAATCAATTGGATTCCATAGGCTCAAAATGCAAACAAAGACTAAAGCAGGGCTTCAATGGACATTTCTCAATTGCTTCCAAGTGATTAAAACATCCCCGTTGTTCCTCCTTGTACTCCCTGAACCTGGCCGGTTGCCCTAATTTGTTGATGGGAAAGGAAACTAGCTTCGACTGTATGACACCCTCTTCGCTGCCGCTGGCCAAGCGTAGACCATCCGGTTCATGTTGCCCTGCTGCACCTCGAAGAGCGCCCCTTTTCTCGTGAACGCCACCATAGATTGTATCCCTAAATGTACGATATACTACAACAAGCGCAGGCAGGAGTAGACTTATATAACATTGTAACGTCCGGAGGCAGGAGCACGGCTGTCAGCCGTAACAGCGGCCACAGTCCCTTCGCTGAGGAGTCGGGTAAGCTCAGTCATGGCAGCTCCTACCACAACCTCAGTGTCACCTTCAACAAGAATGTACAGCTTAGGGTCTGCGCCCGGCGGCACTTCCTTCCCAGCTGGGTAGAATGTTCCCTTGGTCGTGATCGATACGCCAGTGGCCTCCAGGATCTTGGCAACGTTGGTTCTGTTCGTGACAGCCCATCTGGCCTTTTGCGGGAAGTCGTTGATCTCGAGCGTGGCGTGGTAGGCACCAGCGTCGGGACCCTTGTTGTCGATGGGCTGGCCCGAACGAAGCTGACCAGCTTTGCCGAGTCTCTCGTTAATGTTCCTGATCGCTGCACTGACCATGTCGAGAGGTTGACCTGCTTTGCCAGTGGCGGCCGGTGCGTCCTTGCCCTTGGCATCTCCTTCATGCTTGCTAGTGTTGCGGGACACAATAGCCGACACCTTGGACTGGATATCAGTAACGGAGCTCTTGACTTTGTCCTCCTCGGTCTTCTCTTCCTTGACGTCATCATCTTCGCCCTCAGCCTTATGAGTCTTGCGCTCACGGAGACGGGCAGCTTCGCGCTCAGCATCCAATCGGTCCAGACCTTTGCCACCAAAACCAGAGGAGTCCTTGGCTTTGCCTGACTTGACTTTTTCCTTCCAAGCCTTGCGCATCTCTTCGAGACGCTCAGGTACAGGTTGACCGCTCTGCTCAAGTGCTTTGGCGACCGCAGATGCGCAACTTTCCTGCTCCTCGGTGATGTAGGTTACGGCAGTACCCTTGTTGCCCGCTCTACCTGTTCGTCCGCAACGATGGACATAGTCTTCGGAGTGGGAGGGACTGTATCTATGTTAGCTAAAGTGCACCAACAGTTTCATCGGAAACGGAGGGGAGAAACGTACCAATCATAGTTAACGACCAGCTTGAGCTGCTTAACGTCTAAACCACGAGCGGCAACCGAGGTCGCAATGAGGATAGGAACAATGCCCTTCTTGAAGTCTGAGATGGTGGAGTCTCTATCAACCTGGTCTTTGCCACCGTGGATGGACATGCACGGGTAGCCCTTGGTCATGAGTTCCTTGAGCAAGTCATCGGCCTTTTCCTGACGTTCAACAAAAACAAGGGAGCGCGCATCTTCGTCTTTGTCATAAAGCTCGCCAAGGAGTCCCAGCAGATGGTAAAACTTTTGGTCTTCGGGAACAATCTCAACAATTTGCGTGATATCTGACGCGACAACACTGCGGCCTCCAACCGTAATCTCGACCGGAGACTTGAGCACCTTCTTGGTCAACGAGTCGATGATACGGGGCATCGTCGCCGAGAACAGGATGGTTTGACGATCCGGTCGAATGTTTGCGAAGATCTTCATAACCTGAGGCTCGAACCCCATATCGAACATGCGATCTGCCTCGTCAAGCACAGCATATGTCACACGACGCAGATTCGTGACGCGACCCTGGTTGGCGGCGAGCAGATCGATCATACGGCCGGGTGTGCATACGACAATTTCCGCGCCGCGCTTGAGCTCGGCAATCTGTTCTCTGATGGGTGCTCCACCATAAGCACAGACAGATCGCAGGCCCATTGCCTTCAAGAAAGGCTTGCAGTCGCGATGAATCTGGACAGCCAATTCACGAGTTGGTGTCATGATTAGGCCAATAGGGCCGTCAGTGTCCTTGAGAGGGGGCTGGTCCATGATATGACGGAACATTGGGAGAAGAAAGGCAAGCGTTTTACCCGATCCAGTCTTGGCAACACCGACAACATCGCGGCCTGACATGATGACAGGGAGAGCCTGCATTTGAATGGAAGTGGGTTTATCGAATCCCATGTCTGCGAGGACATCCAGAGTGCGGCGTGTCAACCCGCACTGCGCCCATTTTTGGACGGGTTTCGGGATGTTCTTGCCGGAGACTTTGATGCCGTCAAGTTCCAAACGGAGCTCATTGGCTTCTTCCTCAGTCAGAGCCGCAAGCTCCGCAGGTTCGACCCAGAAATTCTTGCGAATAGGGTGCAGGTCGAGCTTGCTATAGTCTACTGTCGGGATATCCTTCTTCTTGCGTTTCGCTGCCATGGCTAGAACTGCGTTGGGGTCTTTGCCATCTTCTGTCTTCAAAGCGTAGTCATCGTCACTGAAGTACGCCTCTGGCTCTTGGACCTTCTTCGATGATGTACTTGCCTGGAGAACCGTGGGTTGGGCTTTGGTGTCTGACAAATCGGCCATGAATGCATCCAAAGGATCAACATCGTCTTCCTCTTCGACATCCATCTGGTCGGCTTGAGAATCCTCGGCAGTGCCGTTGGTGTCCGGAGGTGGTGCAGCGTCTTGCATGTCGAGGTCGGCCTTTGCTTCTTCTTGCGCTTCTTGAAGCTCTCTCTCACGCCGTTCGTGTGCTGCACGTGCGGCGGCAGCAGCCTCCTCCTCAGTTCCGGCGAAATTGCCACCATCAGACTCGTCGTCCTCGTCTTGATCAGCATAGGGGGTGTCATCAGCCTCGAGGGGGAGTGCGGGCAACTTCGTAAGTTTTCTTTTCGTCCCCTCCTCCTCATCGAGGTCCAGCTTCCGCTTGTTTGCAAGCTTCTCGCTGTCAGCTGCTGCCTTGCTGAAGCCAAAAGTACTCAAGTTGCGGTTGGCGGGCAATGCCGAAGCTGTTGTCATTTTGTGAGCATGTATCTCTCTCATAGGACGTGACGCATGCATACCTTTTGTGATAGGTGCGAGGGGAGCAGTTGGCTTTTCAGGACGGCCCTCGAGCGAGCCCAATACACCGTTTGTACCGGCATTCTTGTGCGACGCTGCCGACTTCTTCGCGATAGCTTTGGGGTCAAACTTACCCGCAAAAGGGGCCGGGGATGCAGCTCCTGACGCGGTGGTCTGAGTCGGCGCAGGCGATGCCACTCCAGGGGATACAACGGCAGGGGATGCAATAGTGGGCGAGGCGACAGATGGTGAAGCAGCGGCCGGAGACGGCACGGACTTCTTGTCCATCTCCGCAAGGAGATTTCTAGTCTGACTCGGATTAACCTCATTCTCTTTATTGGCCTTGCTCTCCCTGCTCTTCTTCCACGCCTCGAGTCGGGCGAGTCGCTCGGCCTTCTTGTCAGCTTCGGTCTGAGCTGGGGTGGGCTTGAGCTTGGCAGCCTGCGAATCCGTGTCAGTGATCATAGCTTTATGATGAAGGAGAGTCTGTCTCACCTCTTTACCGGGGATACTGGCACTCTCTGGAGGCGCCGCAGGGCGTGGGCGGCTGTCGTCGCGCCTGCTGCGAGGACGGGAGTCAGCAGTTCCCTCTCGCCTTGCGCGAGTTCGATCTCTAGAGTCGTCCCGTCTCGGGCGATTGTCTCTATCGCCGTCGCGGGGTCGCCGTCTGTCCAAAGAACGATCAGGTTCGGCGTATCTATCGCGTGACCTCCTGCGGTCTCTATGACGGTCGTTATCTCGTCGGCCTCCGCGGTAAGAATCATCGTCTCGACGGTCTACAGAGCGCTCTCTACGGCGGAAGGAATCGCGATCACGGTCGCGGTCGCGTTCGCGGTCTCGGTATCGGCGCTGTTCGTAGTATTGGTCAGATTGCTCCCCATCATGTCTCCCTCGGTGGTGGCGGCTTCTCACGTCGGCAGGTGTCCTGGACCGCGAGCGACGGCGGTAGTCTCTACCACCGTCATCGCGGCGGTCCCGATCACGCCTGTCATCTTCTTTGCGGGGGCGTCTCGCATTATATTGGCTTCCTGCAGGCGATGGTGAGCGCGAGTCCCTGGTCCGAGCCATGTTGTAGGTCTCGAACTCTCAGCAAGACACTACGTTTGGTGAGAGCTACTTTTTCGGCAGGTTCTTCACTCGAGGGTGTCACCAGTGGTGGTTCTCAGATCTTGTAGTTCTTGGATGTGAATAGACTACGTCGTGTTGTTGTTGCGATTCCACAGTGTCTGTTGAGCTGGCGATCTGATGGCGACAGGCAGCTACTAAAGTTTGAGGTGAGGGGCGGGAAAAGGTCGCGACGTGGTAGATCAGATGAAGATGCGCCCCAGAACGGAGGCTGACTCCCCAAGTTTTTAGCCGCGCGTGATGCACAGACCACCCCTCCAGCCACACCAGAATCTCAACCTGTGGCGCTTCATCATATTAGCTTCCTTTTGCATTCATCTGTTCACTCTCACCATGCTCAAGTGCTAACATTCCGTACATACCATACTCCTTCGCATTCGAACCCATATCTGCACCAGAAAGATGGGTGGCCTGGTCGCATACGGCAGTAGTGACGAAGATGACGAAGTGCAAGAATCTATTCCCGTAGAGGTGCTTTTTCCCCCCCATTCACTCTAAATCCTTCCTTCACTGACCATGATCACTAACACATGGATTGTAGACTGAAACTCCCAAGAACGTGACAGTTTCCACAGATGGACCAGAATCAAGTGAGAGACCACTCAGACACGCGTCTTCTTGCAACCTAGCATTGACCAGCCCTCAGATGATGTGGAGTCATCACAACCATCCACAGCCACGGCACCAGAGCCGCAACCTTCACCCAGCGACGTGACAATTGGCCCGGTCCAACAACACTCAGTCCCTTTAGGCCCCTCCCTCCCTCCGTTGGACTCCCAACGCCCCCAAGGCACCCCTTCTCAAGACGGTGACCCGTCCCAACCCCCAGCCTCACCCTATACCGCCTCTCGCGCCCTCCTTCGCGACTTGACCCTTCCCCCCGTGCCGAATCTTGACATCCCGCCGTCGCCTCCCGGCTCTCCGCCCCCGGCCCTTGAGGCCAAGTTCACCCAGTTCCTCGATCTTAAGAAGAAGGGCATCCACTTCAATGCCAAGCTCGCCCAGTCGGCCGCCCTTCGCAACCCGAGCCTGACGGACAAGCTCATGGGCTTTGTCGACCTGGACGGACGCGCGGGGTACGCTACAACGCTGCCCACGGATCTATGGGACCCGACATCCGAGGAGGTGCTGCCAGAGTGGGCCACGAGAACCGCGTTGAGACAAAGCCAGGAGAGGGTGCGCGCCCAGCGAGCAGGGTTGAGGAAGGGCGGAGGACCTGTGGATTTTGTGCCGGCAGCGACTGCCGGGATTGCTGAGGTCAGTTCTCCTGCCGGGGCTGAGCAAGGCAGTCTCTTGCGCCCAGGAAAGCGTAAGGCGGGTGCGTTTTGAGCCTGTGAAGGGGCATTGGCAAGGCGACCCCTCCATCAGCTGCCTCGAGCCGGACGATGGTGACTGCCGAGAGCTCTCCATCGTCCTGTGAGACGCTCTGCCACAATAAGCACAGTACATGATGTAAGAGCGGTGGCCGCTACAGTATCCACAGGGTCCATCAGAAGCCAGGCACTCTACACGCAGGGACAGATGATTGCGGACTGCTTCACCGCTGGGCATTCGGTCTGAATATATTCTAGTCGACTACTGAAGGTCCTGGTATAGTTGTAGTGCGCGGAATTGGGGAAGTAGGAGTCCGCTTCAGCCCGACGGCCACAGAATTCGCCGCGCCGAGCGAATGCCCCCTGACGGGGCCCCAAGGTTTTCAACGACGTCTCAGATGGTTCTGTACTTTTCTTGGAACCGAGGCGTGCATCGCCGCTGTCGAGAGGGTGGGAAGCACGTTGACCAAGGCAGCCAACATCCAATGCTGGGACCCGCGGCAGTAAAAATATAGAAATCCATTATTTGATACCCACATGAGAGATGACGTCACGGCAGTGTGTTACCGTGCTCAAGGTGTACGACGGTGTGCCGTAAAGTATACCGTCGTCCGTCATATGTGCCGTCGGATGGCGAGGGTTCCAGGGACACGGGCTGAGTATAGATGAGTTTAAGTTCCTCCTCACCCCCCTCTCCCTAATCTCTCTTATCTTAATTTCGGACAACGGTCGCACAAGGCTTTGTGTCACTTTCGCACAAAATGGTTCAGGCTATCGGTTCTAGGGATGGCATCCATGAGTTTAAATCTTAAAATATAAAGTCGACGACATTTACAGTACCGTCAGTCAGCGTATCTGTCACGAAGGTTGTTGTCATGCTTAGGGACCAGACCTCGGTCCCATTCCACATGAAAATACTCGACCCAAAGTTTAAAGATATCATTATTCAGTACACAGATTCTTCCCGGCTTCTTCGCCGCCGCATCTGGGTACATATAGCCACGCCAGAGGTCATGGTAGTCTAGTTCTACATGCAACGCTCTGCGCCAGCCGTTGCTTCGCAAACCCTTTAGAAACCCCATCAATCATGTCCGCATAAGTTAGGCAAACAGCTTTGCCTACTTGAACCGTGAATCGGCATTTGTGCATGCTCTCATTTCATTACAAGCATCGTTAAAAAAAGAAGACCCGCTCAATGACAAGACATGCTGATGTTCAGGGACTGCTTCAAGGCGGCCCCAATGTTGATGTCAGTGATGACCTGGTCGGAGGCGAGGGCGTCGGCAAAGTAGGACAGCTTCTGGCCGTCGTTCTCGACGTCCTTGCCGCGGAGGGCGAATGGGACGATGCCGGTCTCGCAGGCTGGGCGTTTACCAATGGCGGCAAGGACAGGGGCCTGGCTGATGCTGGCGCGCATGGTGACATTATTCACGCCTGGATACAGTACGAGGTTGTCGATGTAGACGGTTCCAATGTCCTGGCCGTCGAGGAGATTGGAGAAGGTGGCATTTCCCTTAAGGAAACAGGTGTCAGAGTTGAGTTGAACACCAAAGGGTGCATAAACTTACGATCTCAAGAGTGAGGACAGAGTGATTGGGGATGGAGACGTGGCCCTTGAAATTGTTTCCTCGGGCGTCGGGCGTGAGAGATATGGAGCTTTCGGTGACGTTGAGGCCCTTGAAGCCATTCAAACCTAAGTTTTGTGAGTACGAGCATCTACGCTGCCAAGTGTCTTGCTTGCGGGCTTACCTTTCAAGGTCATTGTGTTCCTGAATACAGCGCCGTACCGCCTCGCAATGCCGTTCACCTTAATATGAGTATTGCCCTTGACGGTGACTCTGACAGACTCGTTGTTCTGAAGCCAGGTGTTGAAAGTGGTGAAGGCCGCCATGTCGGCGATCTCGATGGGCTGGCTGATGTTGACGGTCTGCAGCTTGACAGACTTGGTTTCGGGGAACTTGAGGTTGACGAAGGGAGTGTGCGGCTCCAAATCTTCAAGGTACATGACGCCGTCGAAGGGCTCGACGGTCGCCTTGACGGAGCCGTCCGATCTCAGCGTCGAGTTGATGGCCATGTTATAAGAGTTGGATCTTGTGTTGGAGACGATGATCCCGTCGACTGTGAGCTCGACATGATCAAGTTTTGACTGGGCAATTTTGGGGACGGCAACGAAAATACTATGCCCCGTTAGAATCATGTCGCCGTAGTCAAGGTACCCAAGACAGCTCAGACTCACATCAAGAGAACAATGAGCAGGATTGCGGCGATTATTCCGATGAGATAGATCCACCAAAACCTTGCACAGTGCCTCATGCACGTCTTCCTCTTACCGCCTCCGGAAGAGTCGGAACCACCAGCGACGCTCTCGGTGTGAGAGATTTCGCGTTTATTCATATTGTCTGGAATACTGCGTTATGTGTTTGCATATGAGTGCGGATGTGCGTGAGTCTATTAACGCGAGATTGGAGAGGATTGTCCGTTTGACGACGGCGTCAATGGCAGCTCGACAGTCGTGGGTCTAGGATGTCGAGCAACGACGTGAGCGAGCGGAACCCAGGGAGTTTAAGTAGGAACAGAGATCAAGAGACATGTTTTCCGGGGTAAGAGACGGGGACGCCCAGAAATGGCAGGTAACCTCAACCATCACACGCGCGGCGGTAGCTCGAGATCTCATGTCCACACCAGCCCGCATGTAACCCTTTTCCTTGCCACACATCGACACATCGCCCCATCGACGAACTCAATCCAGTCGACAGGGTAGACAAGGTAGGGTAGGTTGGAATGCGCCGCGGTACCCGGGTGTTTGCACACATCCACATGGATGATGTGTAAGTGTATGGAAGGGTATTTGATTGGCAGTTACCGAAGGGGATAGATAGATTAACAAACTACCTAGGTGGGAGCAACTGGGGATTGGCCGGTCAGATGGCATGCCGTTCATAGACCGAAACAGGCAGAATAAGCTACCAATGTCTCAATACGTGTCCGGGGAGAACCCGTTGCAAGGGCAGCTCGGGGCAGCCTTGCCAAATTGGGTGGCATACCGAGAACAATCTCGACACCATCTCCCACATGCAGCCACCCCGCATTATGTGAAGGCGGACTAGAAAGCGCTGAGGGGGTCTGCCAGCCAACATCGCAGTTGCAATAGAGAGCGTTTCCTCGGCATCTTGTGGACAAACATTGAGCATATGAAAGTCAAAATAGGTGGGTACACGGATACGATTGTTTGTGCTTTAGTATGTTTGCATGTTTTTGTTTGTGGGGCGAGTGAGTGAGCTACTGCAACGATGAAGCTGTATCTGTTCAAGTGGTTTTAGATGGGCAAAGTGACGATTTGACGATAGGCTGGCAGCCAGTGTTGAGCAACCGAGATCATGGGAAGAATGAAACGTCCTCGAAACCATCATGGTTCTTTTGACGGAGGCGAGGGAACCAGCGGACGTTGGATCCTACACAGTTCGTTCACCAGCCACCTGGGCGTCCAGTGGCCGCCTTCTAGCGTTGAGAGGGTATGCTCGTGTGCCCAATCAACCTATCAAGACACCAAAGCTGAGGAAGTAAGTCCTCGCATTGTGCGCCACTGGTGAACCCCTCGGGCTTAATGGGGAAGCCAATGAAGGTTCTCCAACGCTCCATCGAGGTCTCTCTGGATTGAATTTTAAAATTCTGGCCGAGTCTCGGCTTGTACATACGTAATCGGAATGGGTAGCGTCTGGAAAGGTATGCAAGCGATCATCACATGGACGCAATTTCAGAGATACTTTAAGGACCCGCAAGAAGAAATAAAGGCACCATTGAGCGTGCAAGCTTGGGCTGATTGGGTGACACACAGAGGGGAAAGGAACCGGGCCAGAGGACGACGGCTCGAAAGAAGAGACCGCTATGGCCCGGCCGGATAGCGCGGGTGTGGGTGAGAGTTGACTGGACCTGGATAGATTGGGCTCGGAGATTTGACGCAAAAAGGCCAATGATTTGCCTTGAGAATACGAAGGGGGTGGTGACTTTTGGAGAATGGCATGCACCGCAAGCTACCTACTTGGGTACCTAGGTAGGCACTACCTACAGTACTAGGTCAAAAGTCTTGTTACAGCAACAAGAAGGGATTGCGTTTGTACTGTGAAAAGATTTTTGACCTAGTACTGTACCTTCACGTACATACAGATACAGATGTATCATATTATCTACAGCCTTAGTGGAAATGGGTGACTTCTTTGACTGCTAGCTGACTTTTTTAAACGTCGCACGGGCCAGAGCAGGTTGCACCAACTGGAGATGGAAGTTACATAAGCAGTGTGCTTATGTCATTTCCAGTTGGCCCTATTACCGACTACCTAGGTGCCTACTCTATTCCCCTGTGCGCTGAAATGGGGAGCGCGACGGTAGAAGGGATAGTGGGGGTGGAGCTTTCTTGTGACGATAACGGCGGGGTATTTTTTCACCGCTTGCCCAAAGGGGCAGAAACCTTCAAAACTTCCTGCATCAAAACTTTGCCTACCCCCCCCAGCTGTGTGATTGCGTTGATGAGTCGTTTCTTGCTTTGGGGAAACACTGTCCACCCTCTCACTCACTGTCTTCCTTCTTGACCACCGGCGCCTCTCCTTTGGTCTACTCCACCCTTCGCACCTAGACTAGATCACTTTGCGTCGACTCTTCCCACCATGGTCAAGAAGCCTATCATCGGCCTCCTTGGAGGCGGCCAACTCGGCCGGATGTTGTGCGAGGCCGCGGGGCCGCTCGGCATTGATATCGCGATCCTGGACGAGGCCAACTGCCCCGCTAAGCAGGCAAACCAGAACAGTCGGCACGTCACGGGCTCTTTCAAGGATCCGGCCAAGATCAGGGAATTGGCTGCCATGTGCGACGTCCTCACTGTCGAGATTGAGCACGTGAACACGGAAGTCCTCGAGGAGATTGCGACCCGTGGTGTCATCACCTCCCCGGGAACAGTAAAGAGGGTGCCAGTTCACCCCCATTGGCAGACTCTGCGCTTGATCCAGGACAAGTACTTGCAAAAGGAGCACTTCGCCAAGGCCGGTCTTCCCATTGCCCCGCAAATGGCCATAGAGTCCGGCCCCGCCATGCCGGAGAGCCTGACAGCGGCTTACAGGACGTTTCAATTCCCTTTCATGTTGAAGGCGAGAAAGGGCTCCTATGACGGCCGCGGCAACTTCAAGGTCAGGGGCCCTGAGGACTACGAAGCGGCTATCCAGGCAATGGGCAAGTTGTCCTTGTACGCCGAGAAGTGGGTTCCCTTCGACATGGAGCTGTCCGTCATGGTGGTACGGACTGAAGACGAAGATGGTGAGCTCAGAAAAGTGCACACTTACCCAGCCGTCGAGACCATTCACGAGGAGAGCATCTGCACCAAGGTGTTCTACCCGCCCCGGAAGGTCCCTGTCGACGTGTGCGAGAAGGCCCGCCAGGTAGCTGGAGATGTCATCAAGACGGTCAAGGGACGCGGTGTTTTCGCCGTTGAGATGTTCTTGCTGAAGGACGGTGAGTTTTCTGACGAATCGCGTCGATATAGTGAAACCTGACATTGGTACAGGCACCATCACCGTCAACGAGGTTGCCCCTCGTCCCCACAACTCTGGCCACTGGACCATTGAGGGTGTTCCCTACATGTCGCAGTACAAGGCGCAACTATACTCCATCTTGGACATGCTCCCGCGGTCCATCAAGCTTCAGCCCCGCGTGTCTAGCGCGCTCATGCTCAACATCCTTGGCGGCGCTCGCGAGGACTCCCACGAGGAGCTAGTCGACCTTACCGCGTCCCTATACGATGACAACATGGACGTCTTCCTCCACCTCTATGGCAAATCATCCAAGCCTGGCCGTAAAATTGGCCACATCACAGTCACAACCCACTCTCCCAACGCCAACCTGGAGAGACTGGCCACGCCCCTCATCAACGAGGTGAACTACATGCGCGAGGCTCGCCTTGACGCTTCTTCTGAGCAGCTCCGTCTGCAGGAGTCTCCGGCCAAGAAGACCAGCTCCCGTAACTCGGACAAGCCTCTCGTTGTAGTTACTATGGGTTCTGATTCAGACCTCGGCGTGCTCAAGGGCGCTTTTGAGATTCTTGAGCACTTTGAGGTCCCCTACGATCTCGACATCACCTCTGCTCACCGCACTCCCCACCGTATGGTCGAGTTGGGTAAGACTGCTGCTCAGCGCGGTATCAAGGTCCTGATCGCAGCTGGTAGGTTTTACATGCGTCTCCTGGTGTTTCCATTGCGTTACTGACAATACGTCTAGCTGGTGGTGCCGCCCATCTCCCTGGAATGCTGGCATCTGAGACCACGGTCCCAGTCATCGGCGTGCCCGTCAAGGCCACCCACCTCGACGGCCACGACAGCCTGTTGAGTATCGTCCAGATGCCCCGCGGCTGCCCCGTTGCAACTGTCGGCATCAACAACTCTACCAACGCTGCCCTCCTGGCTGTTAAGATTCTAGGATCTTTCAGCCTCGAGTACCAGCAGAAGATGTCCCAGTACATGAGCAACATGTCCCGCGAGGTCGAGCACAAGGCCGCCAAGCTGCAAAAAGTAGGCTGGAAAACGTACCTGGAGAGCAAATAAGCGAATTCAAGGGGGCTTTTTTGTTGCATACTTCGGGCTTTGTTCCGTCTTTAACAGTGTTGATTGATACCAGCAGCGGCGTATATAGGGGATAAAAAAGGAGGCCATAAATTCAGATGGAGACTACAATGTCCTATCCATTTCAGGCGTGGATTCCATCCTCATTTCGACATAGTAGCGCGCTTTGGCCGAAGGCAGAGCCAGTTGAAGGATAAGGGGAGGCACGACCTGGAGAGCTTTGGCAAGTCTTGTTGTCATCACAGTGGAGAAGTGTTGGGTAGCCACGGCGGGGGACATTACGATGAGTAACTACACTACACACACCTTGTCGACTTCCAAGAACCAAAGCTCGTGCAGGATAAGCTGCCAATTATAGTTGGTGTCTCGCCGACTTCGAAATCTTGCGTCTACTTTCTCATTGATGCTGCAGTGAGAGGAGCGAGTTCATGACTTCATGACAAGAATGGCCCCTTGGTCCTGCCGTTCTTTACCACTCGTGCCGCGCAGAGCCTCGGTGGCATATCCGTAGTTTCAAATTCGATGCCTCGCGCTGGTTCTCAATGTTTGCACCGAGGGCCTGAATGATGGAAATAGTTTATTCGCAGGATTACTTTAGGTACCTTTAGTGAAACCGCCGCTTTGCAGCCAGCCATAATGTGACGATTACTCTCATTGCTTCGCCGTTTGTCTTCCACTGTTCCCCACTCTCCAATTGAATGCACCATGACGTTTCTCTCACCACACTTCCCAGCATACCAGACCCCTTCGCCGATATAATACCTTCTCGGGTCGCTCCATACCGCCGGACTTACTCTGACCGAGAGAACAAATGACTGTTGCACACAATCAATGAGTCCAATAGATGACTGAGAAAAAACCTACTTCGTCGAATGGGGATAGCCCCTAAATGGATTCATTACACAATACCATAGGCCAGCCGACAATGCAGGCTGTGTGTATGGATTGTATCCAAAGCCTAAACTCGCAAGAATTACAGAGTCTCCTCTACTTCTTTCCTCTACAATGATCTTGTATTCGACTCTACAACACCAACCTAAGCTGAGCGAGCGGGTATTACAGCTTTGACTTCGCCCATAGGCCAATCTTGTTCTCGATCCCAGATTCGCCGTCGTAAATATCTCTCTCCACCGCGCGGGTATTAATCTAGGGCACTTGTCAGCATACGATCCCTCACTCAAGTCTCTGGCGTGAGGAGTGTGGTGATGTAACTCACAAAATGGGGACCCAGGTCGCTGACGCTTTTGGCGCCGAGAAGCCTCATGCACGTCTCCATCTCTCCTTTGAGGACTGGGCAAAAGTTAGCGACTCGTCCGCAGCAATATGTCTCGCGCAGTACGTACTCTCATATGTCCTCTCAACACCGGCCTGGCCACCGGCGCCGAGACCGAACAGCGCGGCTCGACCGATACCTACCGCCTTTGCGCCCAAGCAGAGAGCCTTGACGATGTCGGTTCCGCGCTTGATTCCGCCATCGACCCAGACCTCAATCTTATCAAAGACCTCGGGGCAATACTTGCGGATCTCCAGCAGCGTATGGACAGCGGGAGGCGCCGTGTCAAGGGCACGGCCACCGTGGTTCGACAGGATGATGGCCTTTACTTGCGGAGCGTATCTGGCCGCAAGGTAGGCATCCTCGTGCGTCTGCAGTCCCTTCAAGACGATGGGCAAGTCTGTATGCTGTGCCAGCCAAGGCAGAGTCGTCTTCCAAGTCAGGTCGGCTGCCGTGCCGAAGAACAGCTGTTGCCCCACACCGCCGCCGCCGGGCCGTTTGGCCTCGTCGCTCTTGGAGTTTGACTCGGACTCGACCTCGAATGCGCCCTCGAACTGCTGCTTCTCGTCGAGCTCACGCTTTCCAGGCCACGGAGCGTCCAATGTCAGTGTGATGTATTTATAGCGGTCCTTCATGGCGTTGATGCGCTTTAGCATTGCCTCGCTCTTGGCCCTGTCATTTTGGACGTAGAGTTGCCACCCAAAAACTTGGCCCTCGGGGGAGCCCTCGATGATCTGCTCCGGCGTCATCGACGCGTTGTTCGACACGCACTGCATCGCGTTGAACTTGGCCGCCGCCCTTGCAATGCCGCGCTCACCATCCGGGTGTGCAAGTCTCGCCATGGCCGCCGGTGCCACAAACAGAGGAATTCCTACATGGTGGCCCAACAGGTTTGTAGAGGTATCAACCTTCGTGCAGTCGACAAAAACCCGCGGCCGCAGCAGAATCTGTCTGTATGCCTTGTTGTTGTTGCTCTTGGTCCATAAGTCGTCGCTAGCCGAGAAGTAGTATGCCCATGCCTTCTTCGGGATAAGCTTTGTAGCGGCCTCCTCAATCTCCTCGATGTTGAGCAGCGTCTCTAGCCTCGGTGGGCCCTCCGTGGGCTTCTGGGACTCCGCTTTCGCGGGTGCGGGCTGTAATATCGCCAAAGACTCGGGGTCTACAGTACCGAGGCATTTTTCGGGCAGGAGGTTCTCCTCGAGGGTACCCGGGGGGTGGATGGGGTCGTACTCGTCTGTTGCATCTTTGCCGGAAAGCTTCACAATGATCTTGGATCCGCCAGGGTGGGAGGGGAGGAATTCGGTCACATCGTACACTTTGCCGTAGAGCACCACCCAACAGCTCTCGGGTGTGTTGTGCTTGACCACTATAAGGCAGTATGAGCATTGGCCTGGACAAGAGCTACGAGCAAATCGGACCAACCTTCTTCAGCAGTGAAAACCTTGGACATTTTGTCAGTATTCGAAGGCTCTTCTGCAATACAATACAGACTACTCAATGAAAAACATGGAAGGACGTCAACAACTGACAGAGCGGGCACATCATCGTATTAAGTCGCTAATCATTCGGCGGGAATTACCCCGTACGTCTGGACACTAGGACCATACCATGGGGTTGATCCGGGGTTGGGAGCAGCCAGCGGAGTCTGTCAGTCATCGAATCAACGTGCACTTTTTGGTCAAGCATTCCGTGGAGGCAGTGGGGAAGGGGTAGGGGCCTCATTGTGGATTCTGGAAAGAACACCGCGCGAGTTGACCCAAACTCGCCCCGACTTCGGACATGTCGGCGGCTCTCGGCGCTAGACGCTTCGCTTCGGTTTGGCGCGCCAAATGATTTTACGGGGACGTCATCGCTCCGTTTGTCCCGGGGGCGTTTGTAAATTTCATGGCCGACGTTAAGCACTCGTTCAACGACTCGATGGCGACAGCACTTCACGAATAATTCAAGTTCTTGTTTCGCATCACACAAAGCAACATTACAAATACAATGAGCATGCGCACTTCAATAGCGACAGGCGCACGAGAGATGTCTCGCCTTTGCGCGAGGTGCCGGCAGCAGGCAAAGGTGGCCCGGCCATCTGGGACAGTGGCGACCGCACGATGGGTTCCGAGAATGAATACTAGCAGTACGAGTCAAAAGCGATGGATGTCGAGGACGGCCCCCTTCTCCCGGCCGGTAACAGCGGCCCAGACCAGCGAAGCGACGGCTGCCTCCAGCTCGCAAGCAAGCAAACCTCCCACGACGCACTACGACTTTTTCCCCATCACCCTCCCCGACGGCCCGCCGCCCAAGGGTCACTTCCCAATCGACCAGCGCGCCCTTCGACGCGAGTTCCTCCGGCTACAGGCCAAAGCACACCCGGACATGCACCCAGCAGATCTCAAGGCGCGCGCTGAGGCAACGTCGGCGCGTATCAACGAGGCGTACAAGACGCTTTCGAACCCGTTGCTGCGCGCGCAGTACCTTCTCTCGCTGCGCGGCGTTGACGTCGCCGAAGACGAGACACTCAAGGTCGAGGACCCAGAGCTGCTGATGATTGTGCTCGAGGCGCGTGAGGAGATCGAGGAAGCGACAAGCGAGAGCGAGCTGGAGGGTCAGCGCGCGGCCAATGACGATCGCATACGCAAGAGCGAGGAGGTGCTCGAGGAAGCTTTCCGTCACGACGATATCGAGACGGCGAAGCGGGAAGCGGTGAAACTCCGGTATTGGGTAAATGTTCAGGAGAGCTTGAACAACTGGGAGGCTGGGAAGCCGATTGTCCTGCAACACTAATAGAACATGGGGATGGTTGACAAGGGAAGATTAAACCAGCTTGTCTTTGCAGTCGAGGCAAAGTGTATATCTATCTTGGCCGGGAAGGCTCGGCCGTCATCATGAGCCGATGGTGGGCCGATATTTTTGAGACACCCGGGTTTTCACAATTTAATGCGTGCACAATTGTGTTCAATCCCACCAATCCCTGCTTTTAGAAGTGGAGGACACAATGATGCGTGTCCTGTTTTGGTCAAAATCCCCGGTAGACCGAAGAACCCCGCCAAGACGGTTCCGTTGCCAAAACAGCCCATTGACTCAAGTCCCAGTACTACGGTCGTTCACTCAGAGTTGAAGGTGCTTGCCAGAGTGCGCCTGCTTGCCGGTTGCGGAAGTTCTAAAATGAAAATAAAAAGTGATACTTCACGGTGACCTTATATTTTGGACTAGGCAGACGAGGGGATATCGTTTAGTAGAGTAGAACCGAACATAACGCCTTAGTGCATCGGCTACGGTATGCGCTCGCGCACTTCACACGAGTCGCTTCCCGCTATGGGTTGGTTGCTCCCTGTAGTCCAACGTTGAAAGTCCGCGCCTCTCTCGTCCCATGTAGAATATATTGGGCTCTAGTTCTGGATAATATCAACGTGTAAGGCGGCAATTTCAGTATCGCAGCAATCTGCATGAGCACGAAACATATCACTTCGGCAATTTGTACTTACATACTAGGAAAGTCGTGTTTCCCGGGGCTGTTGTTATAAGAATCATAAACCCCATAGCCACTGACCATCGCCTGTGGCCCTTGCACCCCCTCCCCAATGGCCCCTCAAAGCTCCTACCCCACCATACCTGCCTGACCTTACCAATGACAAACATCCAACAGCTCAGCTCCTCCAGCTGCTCCGCGATATCACGGTAAACCCACAAGCTTGCAAACGCCTTCTCTTCTCCTCCGTGCAACCCAAGAGCAACCCTTCACGAATCTCCGGCACACTTAAAAAAAAAAGGGACACCGCTCGCAAGACCTCTCAAACCATGGCGCCCTCGCTAAAGGTTGCCGAGGCGCTCGCCCAGGCCGAGTCCGTCCCGAGAGACAAGACAGCGGCATACGAATCCATCATCGCCGACATCAAGACCCTCTCATCCCCCGCCACGGCGGCCGACGACCTCGCCGCCGTTCTCGACGCCGCTTTCGCCGCCTCTCTCGGCATCGTCTCGACCCGCGCCGTGCTGGCCTCATTTGTGGCCACCCTCCGCGACCTAAAGAACGACGACCTCTGGATCGCCGTCGGGAACTACACCCTGTCCCAGCTCGCTGCGGGGGCCCAGGCCTCGTCCTTCCTCGACCAGGCCGCCGCCGTCCGCGAGCTCGTCGCCGAGGCCCAGGAGAACAACGAGGACTTCCTTGACGCCGCCAAGACGCTGGCCGAGATCCCCCTCGACGGGTCCCAGCGCAAGGTGACAAACGACGACAAGGCTCGCGTCTGGGTCCGTATCGCACGCAACTACCTCGAGGTTGACGACACCACCGCCGCCGAGACGTACGTCAACAAACTCAAGAACATCATGCACACCGTTCAGGACCGCGACCTCGACCTGCACTTCAAGCTCTCGCAGGCCCGCATCCTCGACTCCAAGCGCGACTTCCTGGGCGCCAGCGGCCGCTACCACGAGATCAGCGTCAGCCCGGCCATCGCCGAGGAGGAGCGCCTGCACACCCTCAGCATGGCCGTCAAGTGCGCCATCCTCGCCCCTGCCGGCCCCATGCGGAGCCGGGCCCTGGGGCGGCTATATAAGGACGAGCGGTCGGCGGGGCTGGACGAGTACGGAATGCTGGAGAAGATGTTCTTTGACCGGCTGCTCGCGCCCGCGGAGGTGGAAAAGTTCGCGCAGGGCCTGCAGCCGCACCAGCTCGCGACCACTGCCGACGGGTCCACGGTGCTGGCCAAGGCCGTCGTGGAGCACAACCTGCTCGGCGCATCGAGGCTGTACCGGAACATCGGCTTCGAGGCCCTCGGCTCCCTGCTCGGCCTCGACAGGGAGAGGGCGGAGGAGACGACGGCGAGGATGATTGAGCAGGGCCGGCTGCTGGGCCGGATCGACCAGCTCGAAGAGATCATCTGGTTCGAGGGCGGCGAGGCGTCGGGCAAAAAGGGCAGCGGCCGGGCCGAGGTCGTCGTCGGGAAGGAGATGCGCCGGTGGGACTCCAACGTGCAGAATATGGCGGAGGAGGTGGAGAACGTGACCAGCGCCCTGCAGAAGCAGTTTCCCGTACGTTTTCCCCTGTGCGCGCCACCACGCAACCGGCATACAGCTCGCTAACAGTCATGTTTAGGACTTTGTGGAAAACAACTTGGTTGTCTGAGATGATGGTTACGAAGTACTAGGACGTTGAACACGCACATCACCGGCGTTGTAAAAAAAAGGCGGGAAAGGGGGTCATTGGCGTTTTAAGGGATTCATGCGTTCAAAAGGAGACATAACACAGCAAATCGTCACAAGCACATAGGCACAGAGAGAGATACGTGCGTACTAGAAGCCAGTAGCCGGCGGATAGAGCAGAGAATTTTAGGAACAGATAAACCACGTGGTGCATCATTATCATCATTTGGTCTGAAGGAGAAGGAGAAGAAGAAGAAGAAGTCAAGGTGCCTAATTCAAGTCCCTCATCCTCACAAACACGTACCCCCCGCTCAGCGACCGCGGGTCGCCGTCCTCCTCGTCGAAGCAAATCTCCTCCTCGACATGGCGCCGCGCGCGCCGCGCCCTCCGCGAGTTCGGGTTCCGCTCCAGTTCGACAAGGTCGCCTAGGGCCTCGGCGACGTGGGTGCCCATCCAGTCGTAGCCTGCGACCGTGAGGTGTAGGCCATCGTCCCAGTACCGCTGGCGCTCCCGCTCGGTGAGGGAGTGGTAGGGGATTCTGGGGTTGAGGTCGAACGCGTGGCTGAACTCGGGAGATTAGTTATCGAAGAAAGGGGTGCCCGCTACCATGAGCCGAGGATCTGGTCGACTCGCACGGGAGCGGAAGGGAAGGGGGGAAGGGGGAGGAAAAGAAATTAAAAAAGAAATTGAAAGAAAATGAAACCCGGGAGGGCACTGCGGGGAGACGTACTAGTTCGGTGACTGGTGTGTGAGGATGGTATTGTTGAGCCGGCGGCGACGGCTGTCGAGCTCGTCGTCTTGGTTGGCGCACTCGGGAACCGTCAGCGCGAGGACCTTGGAGCCCTTGGCGATGGCCGAGTCGTAAACCTGCCGGAGAGACTCGAATATCCTTTCTGGCGGCACGCTGTATGCGAGGTCACTAGTAGTTGCGTCTTAGCGTCACGAAGTCCATACAAGTGTGGTTGAATGGCGGTGGTGGGTGAGAATGAGTGCAATGGTGGACCTACTTCGTGCCGCCTAGTACGACGACCCAGTCGTACGCGGCCTGGCTCGCTGTAGCTACACATCAGCATCTGGTCCATCAACGCAGCGTGCTATGTCCTAGAAGAAACAGGGAAGAAGAAGAAATGAACCAGCTGTGAGTCACGCTCCATGAGAAAAGAAAAGTTTTTTTTTTAAAAAAAAAGGCAAAAAAGGTAAAAAAAGGTCAAGAGAACATGACAATAATGCAAGATAAGAGCACAACAGCGAGGCAACTCACTCTCGCTCTCGAACCGCTTGGCGAAGGCGCCTTGCGAGACCAAGTCCCCAGGCATCCCGTTATCCGTCGCGATGACCCGCGTGTCCGAGAGGTCCCGCGAGAGCTTCTTGGTGAGGGCGATGGAGTACGGGTGGTAGACGGCGCCGTAGGCCGAGTACCCCGCCGTCAGCGAGTCGCCGAAGCAGAAGACGCGGAGCGTCTTGCCTTCCGACATCGTTACCGCGGTTCCCCGAAGGTCGTTCCGGTGGGTGTCTTTTTGAGTGTCGAGTGTGTTTCTTGACCAGTTCCGGTCCGGGCCAGTCTAGATATGTTTCGTCGCCTCCAGATGCAGGTCCGGTGTATGAGTCGGTTGACGGTTCTCCGGTGTGTGTGTGCGTGTGGGGTTCTCGGGGGATGTCGTTAATGGATCTGTGGTGTTGTACCCAGGATGCCAGCGGCCCAGCGGCGGATACAAATCAAAAGCGGTTGTAAGGGTATCAAATATAGCTTGTTGTCGTCACTATTGAGATGAACAATTCGGGATGTTAAGGGTATTGTGCGATGAGCCGTCGGAGGTCGTCTGCATTAAGGCTGACGGGGGGGAGGGTCGTTCGTTCTGGGTCAGGTGGGGCTGGGTGGCGGAGGTACTTGCCGATAGGCAGACGCGCACTTACACTATCCGTACCTACAGGTTAAACGAGCAAATGGTGGGGGCGCGGGGGAGAAGTACCTAGCAAAAGTGCCAAGATGGGAAACGGGAACCTCTGTGCGTTTTTGATCGAAGAAAAAAAAAAAAGCTCCCCCAGCAGTCACCGTCGTCATTGCGTGCTGTTGACTCCACCGAGAAACCCACCGGTCCGGCGTGGAGCACGCAACTGAGCAGCCAGCAGTCACCGCCTCCCATACTGGGCACCTAGCTACTGAGGAGATATTTAGTGAGAGCACAGGCAGCAACACTAGTACCTTCACGCATACCAAACAGCAACAGTAGCGACAGTGATAAACGGCACGGTTCCGGGACGAGCCGTGCACGATGCTTAAGCCGCGACCCCGTTCCCTGTTTTGCATCAACCCGGAAACCAGTCTTTGCGCAGAAGTGCACCCTATGCCTGAGCGGTTCCTGGGGAGCAACGGGTTGGCTAGTTCCCATCACTGCCCTTCCGTCATTCCCTTTCTAGGAGCATGCCCGAGACGAACGTGCTTTTCCTTGTCTCGCAATGCGTAGCAGCGCGGCTCATCAAGGGGTTCAAAAATTGGACCTTCTCTCGGAAAGGTCGTCAATTCTATCTCCTAGCTATCTATACCCAGATCATGTCCTGTTTACAGCTCCACATCCAGCCCTGGTTTCCCTTACACCTGACCCCGTTCTACTCTGAAAATGCCGATATAAACATTAGTTACTTTACAAGTCTGCTATCCTCTCTAGGTCCATGGGATCTTTGTTGGTATCTTTCCCGTCCGAGGCAATCCGAAGTAGGTATCATAAGCCAGTCGTTTCGTTACACACGCGCACACACAAACGTCTAGGGTAATCGGACGTCGGGACCGCCCGCGTCCGTCGTCTCGGAGATTCCTAGGGGGATTTCGGTGGAAAATCACACCAGCTCCGGCTGGTACCACCGACCCCTCTCCGTGTGCCACCACCTGTCCTTGTCTTTCTTGTCCGGCAACGTCGGCGATGCGTTCCACCGTCCCTGGCATCCGCCCCGTCCGCTGGCCGCGACATCTTCGCCGTTGTCCGCCGTCAAGTCGGCCATCTCGACCAGCCCGCCGCGATCGTCCTTGGCACCAGCGTCGGGCCATAGGTTGTACATGATGCGGCTCTCCACCGTGCCGATGAACCCCGCGATCCCGTGCTTCTCGAGAACCGTACCATCCTCGTCAATGATGTTGACGAAAAACCTCGGCGACGCACGCGCTGCCTCAAGCCGCGCCTGCGCCGCTAGCCGCGCGACGTGGAGGTTGCTGCCCTCTCGGTTTGCTTCGTTTCCTGCCATGGGCGACGCGGGTGCCGTGGGCGAGCGGGAGTGTTTCTTCAGCGGAACGGGAGGGTTGGCGCCAGGTGTAGGGAACGAGGAGCTCCTGGCGGGCCCATTGGGCCCGCGGAAGCGGTCGGTCGCGCTGTCGGTCCTCTCCTGCGGGCGGCAGAGGGCCTGGAAGATGCCCTCCGGATCATTTGGGGTGCGCAGGCTACGGAGAGAGGGGAAACCGGCGGCGGCGATGCTGCGAGCGAGTATGGAGTCGGCAGCGTTGGCTGCGGCCGTGTTGCTCGTAATGTCCCAGTGGAGCTTGCGGAGGGAGTTGGAGGCGAGGTAGGGCATGAGCCAGATGAAAGTGTCCTCAGGCAGGGTGGGGGCGAAGGCCTGGACGAGCGTGAAGGCCTCGAGGTGGGTGAAGTTGGAGAAGATGCGAGCCAAGGCAGGCAGGGAGTCGAGGCCGACGTGGCGCAAAGTCAGGTTCTGGATGGCCTGGCTTGTCGGCAGAGTGGCCAGGGCGGAGATGCCGCTGCTGGTGACACCCGGTACGTGCATGAGGGATAGTGTACGCAAGGGGGGGAGCGAGAGCAGCGTGCTGTCGTTGAAGGCGGTCACCGGCATGCGCGACAGGAACAGGTGCTGCAGAGACGTCAGGCGCGCCAGCGCCGAGCTGATGAGGTTATCCGGGGTGAGGGTCGCGCCGGGGAGGCAGTGGACCGTCAGGGTCGTCAGGTTGGCCCAGTTGGCGTGCCACTCGAGGAAGGTCGCGCTCTGATACGGCTGCAGGTCACCGGGGGTCACGGAGTAATCGCAAGCCTGTTGCGTGGGGGCCGCGGCGTTACCGCCGGAGCTCGACTTGAGCCGGTGCTGTCTTTGGTACGGGGAGGGTTCGACGATCCAGTCCATGTGCTTGAGTTGCTTGCGAGTCGACAGCGCGTGGGTCAGCTTGCTGAACGAATGGTTATACTGGGGGTGGAGGCCGATGAGGCGCTCAAAATTGGGACAGGCCATGATCAGCGCTGCCACCTGATTGTGATAGTCCTCCAATGCGATCCCGGCCGGAGGTCTGGGGACCTTGACTGTGTGAACGATGCCGGCAAGATACGGGCTTGCCCTCAAGGTCCGTCTGAGCAGCATCATCCGCGTGCCGAATGTGAGCTTGTGTCGCTTCTTCTGGGACGCCGAGTCGGCTCCCACAAGCTGGATGTCCTCGTACCTGGGGCGGCCGTTAGCAATCGCAAACGCATCGTGGAGCGTGGAGGGTCCATACAAGGCCACCCGTGCGAACTTGCACCATTTCCTCGCCGTCAGGCTGACCGAACACAGATCCCGCATCCAACATGTTGCGCAGCTCTGGCTGCCATTGCCAAGATGCGCCTTCTTGAGCTCTCCCAGGATCAGCTCCAGAACCTCACCGGGCAGCTTCGCAAAGATCTCTCCAGGCTTCGCTTTTTTCCTGAACACTGTCGTCTGACTCGGTCGCGGATACATGTAATCGGGCCTCCACATGGTGGAGCCCTTGGAGTCGATGCTCGTTCTGTTGCTGCTGTACGACGAGCTCCGGCAGCGTGTCTCTAAACTCTCTCTTGAGCTGTTGATGCTTGTGGTGGTCATGGAAGACGCCTGGGAAAGCCTCCGCGGCCGGTTGAGCGACACAGGCATCGCCTCGAATACCACTTTCGGATCCATGGGTGTCGTCTGCAATGTGTAAGACCCGCGAGAGGCACGCGGACCCGATAGTGTTTGCGCCATCATGAACTGTTCACCCCTGTGGTGATACAGATCTTGAGGAGCGCCGAAGTAGGCGGGAGCTGGGCCGTGGCTGGCGGCCATGACGGGAGACAAAGAAGTAGAAACAGGGGGTTTGACGGGAGCGGCGACGGCTGAAGGAGGAGCAAGGCGGCCAGGAGCGTTTAGGCGGTTACCATCATGTGCGATGTAGTTGGAAGGAACAACAGGAGAAGCGGAAGCCCGTCTCTTGTGTTGTTGAGCTTTTGGGTTGCTGTGGAGAGGAGACCAAGAACGTGTGTTAGTTCGGAGTACTTTGTACTTCAAGGATATAAGCAGCAGACGGAATTTGGCAGCAGGCAAATAAGAGCTCGGAAAGGATAACAAATCAGCAAACGGTCGGACACGGAAGGAGGAACATTCCAAGAAGCAGAAAAACGTCAGCTTGCGGTGACGAGGGGGTTATGGCAACGTTTAATACGAAAAGGCCCGGGGAGAAGGCAGAATGAACGACGGCCAAGGACTGTCACCGGCAACGGCACCAAGGAAGAAAAAGGCTGCCGCTGGGCAAAAGCCGTAACTCACACTACACACCCCACATCACACCCACACCCACACCACATCCCTGGACCCCTCGACTCGATGGAGGTTGGCGCGGGCAACGAGGTGCGAGGGCGGTGCCCGGACCAGCGCTCTGATGATCCTTACTCAGATGGAGTCAGATGAAAGAACGGCACGCTGCTTGCATCCACTCTTCACCACCGGAGTTGCAGCAGTTTGTGTAGGAGAACATGACCCTTCAAAGCACGTCTCTTTCCCCCTCCCTGACCCTTGGTCGGCCTCGAGGGATAGCTGCTAGGTATCCGTACATGGCAATGTGAATAAGGCGACGGCTGCTCAGCCATGGGGTAGCGCGATGAAGTCGTAAGTTCTCAGGGAACTCCCACGCTTTCGGGATCCGACTAGCCCAACTGGTGCAACCCAGCAGCGTGGGCGCGGCGACAGAACGCCTCCAGCGCCCCTACTTTAGCACCTGCGCTAGGGGTTACACTATACTCTGTAGGGCGCGAAAACGGACGAGAAGACAACGAGGAGCACAACAAGCAACGGCTCTACTCTGAAAGAAAGAAAAAAAAACCAGCAGAGACGCGCGCGCCACAGTTCCTGGTGGAAATTAGGGGAAGCTTCCTCGAGGCTTTGGGGGTGATTACCCCCTGTAGCTTTATTGTCCCCACCATTGTTGGCTGTATACCCAGCCCCGGCACACGCGCGAAACGTCTCCCTAGCAGGTAGGAGCAACTTGCATGTGGCTGGCTCCCCCTTCCTCGACCAGAGAACGCTCAAAAGACTCCTTCAGATAGAGAGAAGGGGGGGGGGGTGCGACAACGGCACAGGCAAGGATGAGCAGTGTATCCATGGACCCGCTTCTTCTGAACTGAAGCTGAGGGTGAGATAGGCTGCCAGGGGTGTCTCGGCAGGGGGGGAGGAGGGGAAGGGGAGAGAAAGCGGGAAGAATAAAAAAAAGTCGTGAGATTTCGAGCTTCGTTTCGAGCGTCGATTCCTATTTCAGAAGTGACAGGTCGAACGAACTGTCTCCGCCCTTGCGCAGGGCTGGGGGTACGTAACCTGAGGATGCGCCGATGCGCCGGGAAAACTTCAAGGCATCTGCAGGACGTTGTCATGTCATGTTGACATTCTCGTCTTGTATCCACAAGTCGTAGCCTGCTTGCTTGCCATCTGTCGGTGTGGCCTCCCTGGATGCGTGGCCCAGTGAAGGCACGTCGACAAAGAGAAAGTTGTGGGAATTCGCAACTATTCGTGCACTAGCTTGACAAGAGCTTCCGTTCGACCCAGCTCCACTTGGAAAACCTGGGATCGATGAGAAATGAGACGTGGAGCTTCTGCCCCGTCCATTGCCCTTTTCGTCAGTCGAAGGAGACGACTCCCACTGGCAAGCCATATAGTGTATGATGGCCCAAGGCGTCATCGCGAGGGGCAGCGTTGCGTGGGAAGATGCGAAAATCCCACAGAAAGCAAAGGAACGAGATAGGGAATCAAAAGAAGAAGAAAAGGGAAGGGGAAACACGCCCCAAAGCATGCCAGGAATGATGCGCCGACGGGACATGGGATGAACCATGGTGTCAGAGCCGGGGCGCCGCCTCATGTTGAGGCATGCGGAGCGGGATGACGGGATATCAGGCGGATGAAACTGACAGCGTGACCAGACCAGCAGCAGGAATACGAAAGCCAAGCACCTGCAAAGTAGGTAAGGGGGAAGGTGCGGGATTGAAACCCCTTCCCGAAGGAGGGAGGGAAGAACTATAGAAACATGTCGACGAATGATAAAAAGCAGCACTAACGGCCAATAGACTATGGGCAAGGCAGCCGGAAGAAACCAAGAGGGGCGGATACCGGAAAAGGCGACTTACAAAGCGTCTGATTTGTGGCTATTTTTGACATCGAGGAAAACGTGTGCGTAGACGCCGCGTCGGATCTCGTTGGCACGCTTCTCGTCCATGGCCGACAGCGATTGCCTTGCCCTGGCAGCCCCGGTACCATGAACCGTCCGCGCGGCCGCGAGTCGATAGTCTTTCTGGTGCTCAACGCCATACTTGTCGTGGCAGTGGTCGAGTCCGTAGTCGGGGTCGAATCGCCGGATGCCGCTGTACGCGCTACTCATTGCTTGGCCCACTGGTGGCATCTCGTAGTATTGCCGTCCGCTGACCATCTCCGTCGTTGGGGAACTGCTGTCACCGTCGCCCGTATTGATAGCGCCGCTATTGTTGTTTAGTCGTTGTCGTTGCGTCTATGTGGTCCAAGCCGTCGTCGTTGCTGCCGGCGTTGATGCTCTTCTTCGACTCCTTTAGCTTCTGTAACCCGTCCTGTCCTGGGTGGGTAAGGTTTTGTTTGTTTCCCGCCTGGTCTGTCCGACTCTTTCTCTATGCCTCTCACGCTCAGCCGCACCGCTAACAACCAAGCCCGGGCTCCGCGAAGAGACGACCTCTTTATTTAACGCACCAAATAGGGGGACGTCTGCAAGATCCGGTCTCATGAGGTCGTTCTGCCGTAATTTTAATATACCGACGTGGGGGTATCTTGGCCAGTGGGTTTCAGTTCAGTTGGCAGCCCCGCTTCAACCAACTTGAGGGCATCATCAGGACCGGGGCAATCAGCGAAGAGTTGGAAAATGGAAAAGGAACACGAGGCTCCGACTGATAAAATGCGTTTCGTAGGCCATATAAACGAGAGACGAGGGGAGATGAAGGCTAGAAAAAAGGAAAGGGAGTCGGTGTGAGAACAAGAAGCCTGCAAGATTGCAGCCTTCATGCGCACCAGGTGCATTACACCTGAGATCGAGAACAAACCTATCCCCCCTTGTTGCAATATAATGTAGATAGAAATCGCAACCTGGGAACCGGGCCCAGGCCGAAAACTAGTTAGTGCCCTTGTTGCTCGGCGCTCGCGCACTCTCGGCCACTTGGGGTTCCAAGCACCTAGACCTGCTCGAAGCGACGCAATATGGCGGCAGCAATCTGCAGTGCAGCGGCTGGGAGGTGCCTTAGCCCGTATGAATGATTGGAATACGTCGACCGAACCCCTCCTATGCCCTCGTCTAGCCCGTCGCACCTCGAGGAATCGACGATGTGTCGCAGGCGGTGGGCACTCCCTGCAAGCAGGCCACGGTTTTCGAGACGGCAAAAGTAAGAAAAAATCAAGGTTAACGGGGTTGCTGGTTCTCTGGGTCTCATAAGCGATCCATCACCTGAGTGGCGGAGCAATCCCATCAACCATCCACGACAACTGGTGGGGGTGACGAATGAGCGGATTGGCAAAAGCCAAGGTGGCAGGCATATCGGCGCCGTCGTTGCTTTGCGGGGTTGTGATGAACCGCACCGACACCCAGTAATATTGTCCTTTGCAATACCTACTGCACAGCCCTCTGTGCCCATTCAGAGATGTAGGTACACGCCTTGTCATAAACTGGGCACGCGAGGGAGAAGACAGGGACAGGACGCTGCCTGGTGTCGTCTCGGGCGAACAGAAAGAGGAACCCTGCAGCTCATCATCATCCCTCGTGCCCGTCTGATTCCGTCTCTGCTCGTTTCTATCGGACCACCGGTTCGCGAATAGCGTGTCAGTGAGTGAGGCTGGACCCCGGAGCGTCGAATCGATGGAAGGATGATGAATGGGGGAGGGATGTTGCTGGGAACTCTGCTGGCCACAACTCCATAAGCTTGTCTCTGCTCTGGCACCATGTTCTGTTCAAAAAGTAATTGTTGGTGTGCCTTGGCGAAACAATACCTAACCAACATCCAGGAACCCGACCAGGAAAGCAGGGAAGGCGATCCCTCAAGCCAACCAACCAAGCGGTCCTCGCTTGGTGTTCGGCTCAACAGGCCTGGAGGCAGCTTGCCGGCTACCGTCCCGTTGGCGCGTGTTGGGGTCGTATCAAAAATGTCAAAAGATGGGCTCGTCAATCTGGATTGGACATACGTATTGCTCGCATCCCGCCTCCGCACCCGTACCTGCATCCCGCGTGCCGAGTCGCTCCTCGCCCAGGGCATCCCACACCATGTATGATGTACAATCTTTCTCGAAGAGCTGAAACAGAAACCCGTAGCAAAGCCGTTTCGATAGCTCAAGACACCATTCCTTGAGTCTTTCCGGCATGCTCCCTTACCTCTATGAGCCTTGGGGCCGAGAAGGAGAGAATGGAAAGTGCCGATGGATCGAAGCAAGGTAACTCGTTCAGGCAAAGCGGTTGCTTTGGCGAGAAATCGGTGCCTGGATCCCGCCCGCGCTTAGCGTCTTAGGGGAAAAACGAATGCACCAACCCCTCGGAATTACGGTGATGGATTCACGTTCCTCTCGGTGGTCAAACAATGGGCTACCTATTGTCGTGAGAAACGAATGGGGGCCTGGATTTCGAAATTCCACGCGCGAGAGCGTTTCAAGATTTCTCTACCTGCGTGACGCATGTCGAAATGATGTAAGCCTGAAGCCGTATGTATTCTGGGGGGCAGGCTCAGCTGAAGCGGAGACAGGGTGGAGAGGCTCCAGAAACGCCTCTGCTTGTACTGTATCCGTACGCGTCGCATCTCCTCAGCCACTGCCACCATGCCTCCACGGAAGGCGGGCGTCACGCCAACATCCTTTCTGAACAAGTTTTCCCTCCTTCCTTCGCTTCCTTCTCTCCTTCACTTGCTTTCTGCCCAGACAGCCGGAGTTCTTGGCAGCGCCTTCTTCCCCGTGACGCCCCCAGCCTCTTCTCCACAAGGGGGCCCGCGATTCATCAAAAAGCTCCCCACCGAGACCTCACCATTGCATCATCTCGTCGTCGTTCTTGTCGGCCTCGACGTCCCTCCATCTTTTATCCCCGCTCTCCGGAACAGCCTCGCCGTACTTACGGGTACGTGCTCCCAAAATCTTGGTAGGATGAACTGGTCTCAACAGGCAGATGCGAACCACTTGGGTCGGGCCGGCCGTCTGGGCGAGAGGAGAGAAAGTCAATCCGGCTTTTGCCAACTTTTCTTCTGTTACTTATCATATTGTTGTTGAAGCTCGCTTGATTTACAAACGCTCCTCACGTTACATCGTCCGCCTCCGGGCAAAAAGCCAGTGCGTGCGTGAGTGCAATCTAGTCTCATTGGGTAGTCCGTTTGCAATTCTCTGTGCACACCAAAACGTCCGAACCCTCCAGACGACGCCCCGGTGGCCCGCAGCGTGTCCCTGTCTCCACGGTCTAACCGGCCACGCTACCAAGATCTTGCCGTGACCGGGTGCCGCTGTCATCAACTTTAAGATCCTTGGACGAAACAGCTGGTATATGATGTGCTTGAACCTAGTGTTGCTCGGAGAGGAGAGGGAAACAATGGGTCATGTACTTTCTACCGTCTCCCCAGTCGACCGGGCTCGATCTCGGTCCAAAACCGACCTACAATACAATTCGCAGCGCTGGCCGTCTCTTGGGCTGAGTCTTGGCCCGGCATCGCTCTGGGATCGGCATCCTCTTCCCAAAGACTAGGTCGGGTTGTGCCGCAGAAGTTCTCGGGTCCCTCCAGCAACGTCTTGCACGTCCGTTCCCTGGACAGTCACATACGCACAATGAGCCAGCACAGAGAGGCTCATTTCGGTGTGTTTCACTTAAGATGCCATGCCTCTATACCCCTCCAGAACCCGACCGGCGAACACTAGCCAAAGCATGCAAATCTCGATGCAGCTATCAGATCATTATCCGTATAACTACGCCTAATGACGCGGTGCATAATAACCAACCACCCCATCCGTACAACCCCCCAAATCACAAATCTCACCAGTACTATATTCTATATACAAACCATTCCTGGGATTTCCCAAGGTCATACTCGAAACACTAGGCCATGCCAATGTATCCACAAATCACTCATCCGCAAATCTCACTCCACGCGCGGGCCGCTCAGCACTCTTGCCTTCATTGTCTACCGTAAAGCGAACACGCTGGGTTTGTCTCTCATCCAACTTGGCCGACTCCTCGTTGCCCTCAGGTTCGGCGCCGCGGGGGCGCTTCAAACCATTCGACAACGATCGGTACGCCGACTCGGATTCCCTCCCGCTCTCGGTAGGACCTTGGCCCGTATGATCAATGTCGCCCAACTTGCCGCAGAAAATCGGCTGAGGGTGGTTCAGAGGGACCGTCTGTGCTAGATAGTCGTTCTGGTCTTTTGCGAGAGGAATGATTCTGGCATTCCTAATCCAGTTGTAGATGGGACGGTCGTCCAGGATGGACTTACACTTCCAGTGCTCAATCTGGGACATGCTCTTCTTGCGCTCAACAATTACTTCCTCGATGCTACCCCGCAAGACAAGCGTCTCAACAGTCACAGGCTTCTGCTGGCTGATACGCCGGGCTCGGCCGATGGCCTGCGTTTGGATCTGTGGGTTCAGAACAGGGTTGATGAAGTAGATCCTCGAGGCCGCCTTCATATCAAGGCCGACAGCTGCCTGCGTCAAGTCCATGAGGATGACACTAGAAGACTTTAGGACTCGGAGCTCGAGGTACATATAGGGAATACACTAACCGGAGTTCGGGGTCATTGTTGAACGTGTTAATGTAGGACATCTTCCGCTCGTACGAGAGCTTCTTGGCATAAATGAAATGACGAACATGAATCTGATCAATCAAGTCAGATTGTCACCGCCACTGCACAAGCCGACACATAAAACTCACCACCTCAAGTATACCCGCCAGGTACCACGCCACGTTCTCGTTTTCGTAGAAGATGATTAGCTTCTCCCGCTCCTGGTGCTCGACAATGGCGTCGATCAGATAGGAGAGCTTGGCCGACACAGTGGAAACGAGCCTTGCCTTCTTCAAGTCGTCTGGAAGGTCCTGCTCTAGAGGGAGTTGGCCTGGTTTCTGCAAGGTGTTCGGTCGGAGATGGCGAGGGACTCTCTCGCCTCCCAGCGCCGTGTTGCCTGCGAGAACACCGGAATTTCTCAGTGGTCGCGCATCAGCCTTGGTGACTTCTGCAACGGATGTGATTTGCCCGGCTTGCTCCTTGCGGCCCTCTTCTTCTAGCTTGCCATTCAGGAGACTATTCAACTTTGTAGTGTCGTTCTGGGAAGAAACGATCAGTTTTTGTACGGCAAGCACCATGCCCGCATCGGTGCAGGTAGGATTCGTCTTTCTGTCGTCCAGAGACCAGGCTGAGCCGACACCGTTGGGCAGAAAGTCTTGGATAAAGATGGGCACCTCGTTGAACTTGTTGCTGTATTCTTTCAGCTGGTTGTCGATGGCAGTTTGGGCGACCTCCATGGCCTGCTTGAGCGATACCTCATCCTCTTCACTGATGGGCACCTTCTTCTCCTCGACGAATGATTGCGCAGTCTCGAGCGACCTCTTGATTTCATCTTTGGTAAAAAAAGAGCCTCCAAAGAAACTGGCTTGCTTCAAGTTGTGAAGCAGCTGAAGCAGGGCTTTCCGCTGATGCGGGTCGAAAAAGTAGTCCCGGTCGACTCTCTGAGATTGAACGGCATTGAAGATGATCATCATCGAAAATATGTTGAGCGACAGCTTATCCTGGTAGGATCCATCCAGTACAACTATCTTCTCGTTTACCGATGGAAGTAACGTGTTTAGCTGGGACAACCGGTGCCTGATGAGTAGCGAGTTCAACGTAGCCCGGAGAACGCCTTTACGACCGGTGCTCCGGGAGCTGTGCTGCGGCTGCATCACGTATACGGCCCAATCCGCCGGTGTGTCTGCCGTCTCATGCACAGAATTGGACCAGGGCCTAGCATTGAGGTACAGCGATGCTATCGCCCCGATCTTCCCAAGATCCCCTTTCTCCGCCTCGGCCAGGGCCGCTGCCCTGTTGGCAGTTTGAGGGGTGTCTGCAGTGACGTTGGTGAAGTGTTGGTCGTCCACGCCGAACAGTCCAGTAGCGGGTGTACCGGTCACGATCCAACGGGCAGAGAATGACATGGCGTCGATGGCAAGAAGAACGTTGCTCTTGTTTGCAATTTTGGCACAACCCAGCTTGTGGCCTTCGTCGACGATGCATCGCTTGAAGTGGACCTCTGACAGAGGGCAGCCCAGCATCATTGTCTCTCTCCATATTCTGTCCAGCCGTGAGTTGGTGACCAACACTATGTCATAAGTGGACAGGGTCCTGGGATCAGGGATTTTCTCGTTATGGCTGGTGAGCTGAAGAACCTTCAAACCAGCCGGGCTGTCTGGACTGACGGTGTGCTTCTCAATCTCCTGAACCCACTGCCGCACCAGGTTGTTGGGCACAATCACAAGTGACGTAGGGCTGTGCCATATCTTCCTCAGTACTGGTTTTATCAGAGGATCGCGGCGACTGAGACGCCTGGGTGGGCTAGCAGGGACGTGGTAGAAGCCGGGGTTGCGCTTGATGGCATCAATGCACTTGGAATAGACCATCTCTTTCGGCTCATAGACGTTGAAGTAGAATTTCCAAGCAGCCGCTTTGCTGGTAGCAGCAGATGCAGCCATATCTGCCAGTGAACCAATCCGTTTCCTCACGCGAATGTCGCTTCCCTGGTGTAAGTCAGGAGTGCGGGTACCCGAATGCCTGGAGGCAAGTATAACGGCCAGGCATACGAGCGTCTTGCCAGAGCCCATTTGTTCGGCCAAGATGCCGCCTCTGACCCCCTCGTAGAACCTAGGCTCTTTCAGAAGGACACCAGCGCTGAGATCGTAGTAGAAGGTCCCGCCAGTCTGGTCGGCCCCCTTGGCAAGTCTCGGGTCGAGGACCCGGCCAGGCTGGCTTTCACGTTGTATCATGACTGCAGCCGAGCGCCGCTGATAATCATACAAGACAGAGGTCTCCCTCAAGCCTGGAATGTCGCCATTCAGCAAGCTGTAGGCGGCTTCTCGATCAGCAGGGTTGGTAATAGTGTCCGGGGCAGGGTCGGGAGAGGGGATGGTGTTAAAGAGTCGAAGCAGGGAAACCGATTCGTCATCATGGCCGGCATCCCCTTCCAAGATGCAGTCCAAAGCTAAAAGGTTACCAGATGGCTGGAAAGACCAAGCTTCCGGCGCGAGGTCCAAGAGGGAGATGAGGGACTTCCGGGACTTGTGCAGCTTGGCACGGGCTCGATCAACGAGTCGGTTATCAACATCGTCGGGCAAAATGTATATTCTCGCGACGCCGAACTTTTCACTGTCAGGGTTGATCCTAAGTTCAACGCGAATCCATTTCTCCGCTAGAAGGTTCGTGTAGTTCTTGAAGGATCCCGACCTCAGGAAGATGTCGTCAGTCTCGTCAAATGATCCGGCGGGGTTGCCGTTGACGGCCGAGGGAACGGGTGCAATGCATGTCCAGTTACCAAACTTCTCCCACAACTTCCTCCATTCTTCATCTGTGAGTTTGCTGCCCTCTTGCGTGATGATGAGGCTCCCCAAAGGAATATAGCTCAGCGGTGACGACATGAGGTGAGAATGATGTGCCACCCGGTGGGCGCGGCGTTAATAGTGATGCTCAGTACAAGTCGTCATCCGGCAGAGGCCACGTAAGTTGTCCTCCAAAACGAGGCAAGAGCAAGTTTTGAGTTTTTGGAGCCGCGTGGCTGATGGAAGCTTGGGATGGTTGATGGTGTTGTTTCAGTGTAAGAGGAAGGAGCCAGTTGGGTGAGTTTACGTTAGGTAGATAGGTAGCGAAAGGTAGATGCCTGGTACAGTGTCAATAGCTAACAAGCACAGTCCTACCAAGCACAGCTAGTCACACGAGATACAGTGCGGCGCAGTCGATTCAAGTAATGCGCGGCGGCTTAAGTCTTTATTTCGCATTCGCCATTCTCCCAACTTCATCCGAATATTCAACCCGACAGCCTGGCTCTCCAGCACGCAATCTCCCTTCGCTATTGGTTCAAATTCCCCTCATATCCCCGGCTAGCACACCCCAGAGAATAATAACGTTTTTCTAGTGTGCATTGCCGCCCTCCGAACGAGCCGACTGGTGGACCGTTACGCCTTGTTGTTCTAGGGCTAGGAGGTAGCATTGAAGGCAACACTCTTACTCGGCTTGCCAGCGGCGGCCTTGTCGAGCTGCACGTTGTTGTCGAGTTTCTTCTGCTCCGCGTCGATCTTGGCCTGGTTGTTCGCACCCTGGGCCTGCTGGACCTGGAGCGCCAGGACCTCGAGTTGAAGCTTGAGGACCTTGTTCTTGATCTTGCCGACGGTGAGCGCGGCGGCATCGGCTCCAGAAGCCTTGGCGATGGCGTCGTTGAAGCCGCCGGCGTCCGTCTCGGCGCTCTCGGCGGCGACACGGGCGCCCTGGAGAATGGCCAAGTCGTTTTTGCTCACTCCCTTGAGGTTGGCCTTGAGCTGAGCGATCTATGCGTCATTAGTCTTACTTGTTACAATTGATGACAAGCCAAGAACGTACGGGGAATTTCTGGGCGACCTCCCCGAGGGCGTTGCCACCAACGCCGTCAGAGACCTGGAACTGAGAGTAGTTCTGGACGGTCAGGAGGTTGGCCTGGCGCTTGTCGACCGCCTCGACCGGGGCAGAGAGGCCGGTGGCGGCAAGAGCGAAGAGAACGGCGATCTTGGAGAAGTACATGTTGTTGGTTGGTCGGATGGGAGCTTGCTTTGCTTGTTTGACGAAAGGTATGGCCGGCTTTTATAAGAAAAATATTTACAGTTCAGAAGATATGGTCAAGTGACGAGTGATGAAAGAGCGAATAAAGAATGAGAGGCACAGCGCAGCTGTGAAAAATGAGAGGAAAGTTATTATTGACTTTGATGTTGACGATGGATGGCGAGCAAACACAAGACAAAGATTGGCCGGGGCGATCGGGAAGTCTTATACCAGAACTTTCTATAGCAAGGACAGCATCTCATCTCCCTTTCCGCAACAACAACAACCCCAGAAGCTCCCGATGGGCGTCTCAACCGAGCCTTGCTGCAGGCATTCAGGGTCGAGCGGGGATGCAACGACGACACGAGCATATGCCAGGGCCGATCCTTGACGGGCTCCATAAGAGAAGACAAGCTTCTTTGCCAAGGGGAGGATCTGCGAGCGTCGTCGATTATTCTCTCAGTGTCTCCCGGCCCAGTGGGATGGGTGCGTTTGCCACTCGCTGCCTTGGCCCGTCCAGCGCGCCCGTGTCGACCGCCCACAGGTTCTAAGCAGGATGAAGGGTTGGGCTGTGGCCGTTGCGAGTTTGAAGTTTGTCGGGGATCATGGTGGGCCTGCCTCACACCCATGGCAGCTAAACCCGATGAGGCGGTCGTACACAAGTAGCAAGCTAAGTAATTACCCAACCAAGTGGGTAGGTAGTGCACACTACGCAGCACTTACCCGTCTTGAGGAAGTGGTGTCACGGTCTTTTCCACTCTGGTCGTCCATTGGTGACCACTAGTTGAATATTCCAAAAATCTACCTACGGCATCTACCTATCTTACCTAGGTAGCTAGGTAGGTAAGTGCTGGTAGGCAAGTATGAAGTAATCAGTCTTCATCGCGCCCAGAAGCAATCCCGGAGTCACTCCCGCGTTGGTCGCTTGCTTCCATCCCCCCCCCTTCACGCTTATTACTCGTTTCTGGCCCGTATGAGATTTCTTCGGATGACAAGGGAGGCCCGGGTGGACCATCACCTGGCGGCTCCGCATTCGCTTTGGTGCGCTGCTCCCAATCATGTGGTCGACGTTCGACTCAAGCTTTCTCGGCATCTCTGCCGTGCTTGACACCCTGCCCTTCACGCGCCCCTCCTCCTCGGTTGTCATGACCCCTCAAAGACAAGTGCCTCCCGCCCACTTGGGCCGCCCCGATGGTTCTTCGAGCGTGTTTCGAGCCTTGCGGATCTGCCACTTGCAACCCTGACCAGGGGGGAGATCGGACGTCAACTTCTCCCGGAAAATCCAATGGCCTGCAGCACCGCCCATTTGAGAGACCCCCGACACCCTGAACCCATAACATGACGCGTCGATCTTAGTGGCTGCCCATATTCAAGGATCCATGGCGCCTCATCTTGGGGGCGTCAATTGAAATCTTATTCTGGATGGAAAGGTGGCCGGCATGCGCGCGACGTGAGTCAAGAAGCCGCGCTCTACCGCCCACCAGTTCTCTGACGCCGGCGTCTGGATCCACGGAACCGAGGTGGTTCCTTGGCGGGTTTTTGAAGCAAGGGAGCATCTTCCGGCCTCCTATGTTGGCGCTGAAGGAGAGGACCTATTCGGTTGACAGTCAACGGCGTTGTATCCGTCCGCACCGTTGTGTACCTTGGCTCGGAGGGCCAGTCGGTTTTTGGAGTTTAACGAGCGAGTTCGCTTCGCCTCGACATTCTTGATGAAACAGCTCCGTTTCCATGCCTAGTGCGAAGCTGCGCGGTTTCGAAAATATATGTCAAGTTCCAGAGGAAACATTCATATGAGGTAAAGTAGTTCAATTCTTGGGTATCCGGCTAACAGTACCCTCGTGTGGTGTCAAAGCTAAAAAGTTTGGAAGCATGCCTGCCCATAATGCCAGGGACACCTTCCATGTCCAGAAAGAAAAGAAGAAAACAAGAGATACATCTATCCAGTAGATGTCGAAGAAGTCAAACCAGGTCGTTAACGTCGTAAGAAGAGGGTCGTAAAAAGAAAACAGCCTGCAACGCCAGAGTGTATGTACCTGACCGTCTACACCCAATTCTAAACCTGTATACCGTTTCTGCTCATATCACGTTTCTAACCCAAAAGATCAAGCGACGAGTATCGCCTCTCGGCACTACTCAGTTCGACCCGAACCCACCCGGAAAGCCGGAGCCGTTGGGGCGGCCAGAACCAGCAGGTGGCCCAGAAGGTGGCCCAGAAGGCTGGGGGGCGGAAGGAACAGAGCCGTTGGCGCCGCCGTCGGACTGGTAAACCTTGACCGAGTTGATTAGCCAGAAGGCCTCGGTGAAGGCCTGGGGGTTCGCCGCCACGTAGTCGGAGCACTGGGGCGCGAGTGCCTTGCACTCGGCGTTCTGGTCCCACACCTTGCCGGCCCAGTCGCCGCACAGCGCAATGTTGAAGACGAGGTTTTGCTGCTTGAAGTGCGAGGGGATGTCGCACCCGGCGCCTCCGTTGAATTTGGCCATAGGCTGGCCCCAAGAGGCCGGATTGGGGTTGCCTGAGCTGATGTCGCCGGGGATTGAGCTGCGCGGAAAGAACCACACCGAGATGGCCTGGCTGTTGAAGTCAAGGGCGTAGACGCCGCCTCCAATGGCGTTGAAGCCGTCGCCGTAGTTCTGGTTGCTGGCCGTATCCTGGCCACACCCTGTGAAGGCAGAGTTGTTGTTGCAGTCCTTGCTGTTGAGCTTCGTCGACGAGAGCGAGCCGTCGTTGTTGATGCTGCAGCCGGGTCCCGTGTGGAGCGTCACCGAGTTGGACTCCTGCGTGTTGACGCCCTCGATGATGTCGATCTCGCCCGAGTTGGGCCTGCGGAAGGGGCATGGTCAGTTGTCGGGTTCATCTCAAAGCTCAGAAAGTGGCGGATTGAATCGGAAACACTTACCAGTTGGGACCAAACATCCAGAACGCAGGCCATACAGCACAGCTACTCGTCGGCATGTGCTGAATGTCTGCGACGAACAGGCCAGTGTCGAAGGCCTTGTTCGACGTCACCCTCACCGACTGGCGGTTTTGGCCGGTGGTCTTTGAGTCGACGCCGAGGTAGATGCCGCCCCTGGCATATCCGGCAAGGCCCTGGTCGTTGGCCGTCTGCGCGCTCGTGTACTGCTGCGAGCCTCGCGTGGGGTCCGCCTCGTCGAAGAAGCTGAACTCGTCGAAGAAGTTGGAGGCGTCGTAGTTATCGTGGAGGACGTACTTCTGCTGCGCTTGGGCCGGTTCGGGCGCGCAGGAGAGGAGGAGGGCGGCGGCGCCCACCAGGAGCATCTTGATGTTTTGAGAAGGCATTTTGGTTGTGATACGTGATCGAGATCTTTGCGCGTGTTCTTCTTAGATATGCTTGCGCGATCCCTTCTCTTTTTGCCTTTCTTTTCCTATACAAAATTCTGAACGGGCTGGAAGCTAGGTGTGTATGTGTTTGTCTATGTGCGTATTGCTGGGATGAGGGAGATGTGTCTGAAAAGACTTTGACTCAGAATGAGACGAGAGTCAGTCAAGATGTATGAGATGCCGAAGAAGAAGAAGAAGAATGATGTCGTCAGGTCTGATGTGAGCCGGTCACTTCAGGTGGTTGGTGTGAAAGAGGTTCCCTAGTGTCGTTGTTGCGTCGCTGGTTTGCTTGGGCAAGAACCAGGGATGAAAGAAGGGCGGCTGGTCTGTCTTCCGAAGAATTTGAGAACCGATTTTCTGATTGTCCAAAGGAGTGGAAAGTCCAGTAGCATAAGTTGCGGCTGGGGCTTGGTATCGGTAGTGTCGACCGTTCTCGGTGGGGTTTCAACGTCGTGTCGAGTGAGTGGTGAGATAAGAGTGAATGACGGAACCCTTCTGGTTCTCTTTCGTACTGGTGTTTTCTTGGCTCTATTCAATAGAGGCTGACTTGACTCTAGACTTTTGACTCAGACCTGAAGCCTTGGGGGTGTTGCACTTGGCAATAAATGTCCAGATGAGGGAAGGTGGAAAGTGAAGTTGGAAGCGAACCAAGGGCGGAGGCGATCAAGGAGTGGGACCTCTGCGATGACGATGACTTCGGCTGGGGAAGGATTGAATAGGCCTACGTGCCTCGTAGGGGCTACGAAGTGAAGTGAAGAAAAAGAGAATGGGGGGGCCACAAACGGGCTGGAAGAAAATGTGAAAGAGGCTGAAGAGGAGTGGTTGAAGAAGACCAACACTAAGCACGACACATGGCAGGAATCAAGAGCCTCAACCACATGGGGGAATGCGGCCAGCTAAATACGGCTCGAGGAGGTCAGCAGCTGTGGTGGGGGAGAGAACAAGACTAACCCCCCTCCCCCGGCAACCGGACAAGATTTGGGGGGATCGTTGGAAGTGACCTATCCCATCTGATCTCTCTCTCTCTCCGTCTCGTCGCTCATATGTTCTACCGGGTTCGGCTCAAGGCCGCGTCGCCATAGGCACACAAAGGCCCAGCTCGCCTTGGGCCCGGAACCGTGGTGAGACTTCTTGCCCCCCCCTATCTTTTACGCGTACTTTTGCCATGTCGACGACTCCTCTGCGGACCTTGTTCGTGCTCCATGCTCAATGCTCCATGTTCCATGCAAGTGCGAGTGTGAGTGTGATTGCGCGAAAGAGCGTGCTCGAGGGTTCAGTGCCAACGAACGACAGGTCCTTGTTTCAATGGGTTTACCCGCCAAGGCCCGACGTTGACGGTTCATTGCCAGGGGAGTCCCCGGCAAACGGGCGCAGGCAGGCGAGGTGGGGAGCGAAGACGGGACGATTGAGGGAGACACCGGGGGCCAGTCCAACTCCCGCGATCTCGGTGCCGAGAACAAATTGCTGTGCACTCAATAATAGGTACCTTGCGTGTGGGGAGTGCATGGTATGGTATGCACAGTATCTACAGTATGATAGTACGTACTGGATGCCATGCGAAGCCGCCTCTACCCTACCTAGTGCTACGCTAGTGTACTGTGTCTACTACCGAGACAAGCACCCAAGTTGACGTGTGAGCGGG